AATCGTTCAAAGCGATGATTGACATCATGAACATCATTCATATAACATTTGCTACACAGATCATAGTTGGGACAATCTAAACAGTGCCAGCGCAGTCCAGTGATAGGATCTTCTTTACAACCATCGCAGCTAATAAATAGATGTTTCGCGTCTAATAGAGGAGGAAATCAGAATATGAATTGGCGAGATACCTTACGTTCAGGTGTGAAGTGGTATGCCTCAGCATCCCAAGTGAAGATAAGAGTAATCTTCGAAGTGATGAACACTACTTAAGCAGCAGTGAAAATAAGGACTGAAAAAAATTCAAGCCTGTGCGGGAGTTGAATCCATGACCTACAGATTTGAATGATTCTTAGTCTTTATTCTCACAGCTGCTTAAGAAGTGTTCACAATTGCGAATGCGATGATCACTTTCATCTTCATTTATTAATTCGTGGTTCAAATATACGATATTTATAGATTCACAATTGTTCAGGCATTATAGTTCCGTCCCTAGTACACAATGTCCTTCTGTGTCTGACTTCGTCGAAGAAAACACAAAGATTTCCGAAAAAAGCGGAAATGTTCCACTGGTTCTCAAAAACAGCCCCATATTTTTTGATGAATAGCAGAAATTGCATAAGATGTTTGGTGGCTACACGAGGTTGCACGATGAATTCTACTAACATGTGTAAAGGAAAAGTTGGCCCGTAGCTTTGCAAAGTTTGCACGGCCTAAGCATGTTATGATATTGAGCTGTTGATTAGTAAGCAAGCTGATAAATGAGAAATCTGCATATTATGCAATTATGTAGGTCTGAGAGTTCGAACTCTATGCATATAAATTTCTGTGAAATAAAAAACAAAGCGTCAATCGAAAAGTTTGCCGACCTTAAATTTTGTATGGGAAGCATTTAATAAGAAAGTATAAAATTTGAAACGAGGCTCGCTATTTGAATTTTGATCACGGTTGTCACGGGATCTCAACTCCAGTTGAATATTTAATTATTTTTCCGTGTCAATTGTCAGTCCGCATGGTTTCTCAACCTCGTGCTGGTGTATTAAATTTCATTGAAATTGTGTCCTCATTTGCTGCTTAACAGAAGTGCTGAGATTGCAGTTTCTCTTCTTTAAGGAATATGATATTCAGCTAGGGTTGTTTAGGTGAATCTAGGCAAATATTTCCGTTTAAAATAAGATAAACAACAAAAAACATAAATGGTCACTCACCGCCATTTGTGAGACAAAAAACACGAAGATCGTGTTTCCCTTCGATTCCAGCCCTGTAGTCGTACTTCCCTCCACAATCCCACTGTACGTAAACAAGCTGTTCCGTCACAGGCGACTTCTTGTCTTTTCCGACTTGAACTACTGTACCCACAAAACCTTCTCCGCCATCTTGGTTTCCCCATTTCCAATCTTGACCACGAACAACTCGGGTGCCTAGAAGATTTATTGCCATAGTTATATCAGGATTTTCCTTATCACTTTTATACCGACTAGATCTGATGGAGCCTTCTCGAGATCTCTTCATTTCCGAAATAACGCTGAAGCAAAATATATTGCCTCAGAAATGTTCCTGTTGGTGAACCAATCGTCAGATGATTACGATTCAATACCCTTCTGCCGGTTTTACACAAAGCTAACAAGTTCCCTTCTCAATTCTAAAATGAATCAAGATGTGTCAGTGAGTAAATTTGCCGATTGGGGCTGTCAATAAAATGCTGCATAGGCGATAAAATGCTAATATAGGCAGCATACTTTTCCTAGAAAACTAAATTCATTACCGCATCTGTCGGGGATTCCCCAACACATTATTCAAGACACATTATTGGTTAATTGAAAGTTGCGTTACTTTACGTTTCTTGCTATGGTAATTTTAGAGAACCTGAAATAGGATTAGGAATGGACACGAGGAAACAGATAGTGATTGATGAATACACTCTGTGTGGATGACGGTATTTATTTAAAAAGTATTGCGTGGATTGGGTATGTTGAAAAAAATTATTTTACCTCCACGACTCTGCAACAATTTCATTCGCACAATATTTTGATATCTTTGTATAATTTGGAAGTTCGAGTTCGGCGAAGAAATCTACAGATTTCGGAGAGTTGTTTGCTTTACAGTTCTCAGAATTATAAGCCAAAAATAGAAAAGCAAAATATTGAAGAGGAAAAAAAGTGGAAAATAACAGAGATCTGTAAAATCCTGAAAATTGGTTGATACATTTGATTCCGGTCTAACATCCATTCTGTACCTGCTAAACCTGCTTTTAATGCTTTAAATGTATTTCACTTATTTTAGCAAGAAGGAAAGTTTTCATTGTATTTGTACTGAGTCCTTTGCTGAGCCAACAAAACACACGTATCTTTTATCTGGCACCACCCCTGTCGGATCTTACATAAAACCCTGTATGACACGCTCTAGTTTAGGTTTCAAGGTAACGGTTTTTTCGTTTGTACTTACAAACCACCTTTCACATAAGGCGGAGCTTCCTTGAACTCTCTAAGAACCTTCCAACCAACGTTCCATCCAACCTCCTCATACGGAACAGATCCCATTTTTTCGCTTCCAGAGAAAGACCAGTCCTCGGTATCGATCCCATTGGAACCATTCCTCCTTCCGGCGCATTCCTTGCACATGCTGATACTGATGAGAGTTCGATTTGAACAACACGAACGGCGTGTCCGTAGGCAGGATGATGTCGTTTTCGGCGTGCTCATCCGTGCGGCAGCAATACTCAATACGCGTGTTTTTGGTAAACTTTCCATCTGGCATAGCTCCCCTATAATTTTTTTTGTTATCGCTAATTTCATCGTCCTAGTGAATGAAACCTGTTTCATGTGTAATCAACCATCTCACGAAATGAAATGCGAGAGCATGCCAATTATATTTTATATTACCTCAGTAGTAAAAGACTTAAAGAACTTTACAAGCAGACGTTTTGGCTCACGTTTCATTTGATAATGTAATGGTCCAAGGTAGTGTTTTTCTCAATTTATAATCTCAGCGCCGGAAATGCAATTGGAGCAAAACACGAGTCACTATTGCGTAATTGGCACCACTCGTACAACTGCATGCTGTATGAATGACAGCGCGTTGGCGTTCGTGCCAAAGGAAGATCCCAAAGGTACGCACAGTTCGCTTAAAATATTTTTAATGACCATTCTTAAACATATTTTTCTAGACGGGAGCCAAAACGTCTGCTGGTACCCAGAGTAGAAAAAGGTAAGTCAAGTCAGTCTTTTGACGACGAGTAGTTCATTTTCTAAAGTTCTTTAAGTCTTTTACTACTGAGGGAATATGAATTATAATTAGCATGCTCTCGCATTTCATTTCGTGAGATGGTTGATTCTACATTGAACAAGGGAAAGTAAGATTTCAGGGGGAGGTGGAGGTTTCGTTCGATTCTCGTATTTCATGTACTTGACATAATGCTGTCTCACCTTATTTTAGACATTTACGCCTTGTTTTAGATGGTTTTAGTTAGTTTGCGAGTGGCTAGAGATGTTTTTGAGGTCGTTGTGGGTGGTTGTTGAAATATTTGAGGTAGTCGTAGGTGGTTGTAGGTGGTTTTAGGTGGTTTTAGGTGGTTTTTAGGTGGTTTCAGGTCGTTCCATGTTCTAGTACTTACGCAAAATTTCAATGAAAGGCAATGTTTTATTCTCTAGTGTTTACGACAAACCTACAGACTCACATAGTTGTAACCTTCAAAGGTTACTAGTGTAGCGGAGAAGACAATCCGAACGCACAATATAAATCACGATTTAATCAAGAAGTACGTAATCAAAATTACAAACGAAAATAAGGAGATCGGTGTGAAATCGCAGATGAAGAGGGCGAAGTAAAGATTGAAGATAGCGTGGTTATGATTTGATGATAACGTTGTAGCTGAATTTGTGCGGTTCGAGCTAAAAGGAAATGCAGCAGAAACTAAACTAAGAAAATATCCCTGAGAAATTTAACACTAGCCTAATGAACAATGAAGCGATTATAACGTAAACTGAAAGCGAGAAATAAATCGATATACGTATCGAAAAAAAAGGAAATATCTTAAATGTGAAATAAAGAAAAACTTACTTTGGTCTAGCTCCTAATGATTGTAGATAAATCGCCGACAGCGGATCGTACGCGAATAGCAGAAAAAAATTGGTGGCGTCGACAGCAACTTATAGCGATGAAATATGAAATATAATATCTGGTATATGTGTTTAAATGAAACTGATTGAAATAAAAACTTATTAAGTAATAATCACTAACCAACGAGGAAATAACAGACCGGAATAAACCTAACAGAAAAGCGCACAAGTTACGCGTTTCGAAACTAACAATAGTTACTTGTTGTATTCATCTTCGCATCCATCACACGTCAAGAATTCAATACCTTTTTCACGATTTCTCAGAATTCGTCGTTTATGTAGTGACGACTCCGATTTTTCCGAAAAATGAGAGGCAATGTGCCAGATTTTCGATAAACGTGGCTATCCTGTTTCTGTCGTTCAAGCGGGCCACCACCATGCCCAACAAATTGATCGACAGTCAGAACTACAAACGGCTGAGGAGGACAACACTGATTCCATTTACTCTCACATTTCACCCTCACAACCATGCGGTTAAATCTATCATTCTTGAAAACTTTAAATTATTCCAAAACTATTCAGAAACTGGTTTTATCTTTTCGCAACCTCCACTACTTTTACTAATTTTATTCAAACGTGACAAAAACATTGGCAACTTTTTGGTCGGAAGTTCGTTTCAAACCAATGACCAACCTGAAACTTTCAAATGCGCTCGCTCATGATGCAAAACTTGTCCTTATATTCATAAAGTAGAGAAAATGTCGGGACCCAAGAGATCCATTAAGATTACTAATCACTTTACGTGCACCTCCGCCAATGTCATTTACTACATGACTTGCACTTATTGCAAAAAGTTATACATTGGTGAAACAGGAAGACGGATAGGTGACCGATTTCGAGAACACCTTCGCGACATAGAAAGAAATGACAAGGACGCATCCAAACCAGTCGCTTGACACTTTAATCTCCTTAATCATTCTAAACAGCATATGACAGCTTGCGGCCTTTCCCTACATCCAGGCAGTTAGGAAAGCGGCAAAACTTTAGAACAAAAATTTATTTTCCAAATCGCACTCTTAATCCTTACGGTATCAACGAGCGCCTTTTATTTAACTAATTTGTTCTTGTCTTCTCATCACCATATTCCCACCAATAGAGTAGCTCCATTTTCTGCATATAAACCCACACACAACCCACAATTCCTCCAATCGCTCTGACGAAGGGCTAACGCTCGAAACGACAGCCTTTAAACTCTTTACGGTGGCGAATTTACGTTTTCAACTCAGTTCATAACACTTAATTACTCAATTTGAACTCGTTTGATTCATAAATATTTTCCTTCGTTCCATGTATTGTATTATGAATATATGGCCTTATTTGACTCGATTTCTTTTCGAGAAGCTCACAATATGAATCTCTTTTTTTCTTATTTCGTTGACCTTTGATGTAAATCTTTAGTACTGTAGAACATAGAAAAAGACTGATTTCACTCAGCAGTGGTTGTTCATCGAACGAGCTCTCATGGCGTATCGATAGATAGTGTAGATAGTGTTTAACCCACACAATTAAAACATCTGTATTTTCATCTCAATGGGCTTCTGGCAAATATGGCAGATACTAAGCTGCTTTGCACAAAACTGACATGTGCCGTGGCCACAGCGGAAAATGACGTCCTTCTTCCTTTCCACGCAAATACAACACACAACGAATTCCTCCAATTTCCGAAACTTTGCTTCAAGTTGCTGATATCGCGAGAGCAAGGACTTGTTGTTTATTCCAATGATTGGGTTACCATCTGCGAAGAGAGTTAGAGCGAATGGAATTCAATAATATTTTCAGCCAATTTCTCCCAAGACAAACCAAATAATGATAGCATTACGAAGCTGACAAAGAATCTTCTTTCCTTTCCTTTCCTTCCTTTGAAACTCTTTACGGAGGTCAATTTACGTTATCAACTCAGTTGGTATTACTAAATTACCTCGTCTCTTCTCTGTTAGGAGTAGATATTAAAATTTCAAGCTTCCGGCGATTCCCGTCACCATCAGGAAGATATGCCGTGAATCGATGTTATGAATCGTCGAAAGCTTGAAATTTTAGTTCTAGCTACATCGGTTTCACCTCGCCAGCGAAGGATAACATCCAAAGACTAGAAAACTTAAAATTTGTGCGAGTTACCTCTCGTTCTTTTACCAGTAATAGGCGTTTTACAATCCAAACATCTCTTTAATCGGGCTGCACATTCTGCAAACGGATTATTACGTTAATAAGTGATACCATCAAGATGTTTTTTTCAAACTGTGTTAATCTTCTCCACACTTAATCATGGTCGTTCCTCCTTGAATCCTTTTTACCTTTTCGCGATTGTCTTCTCAAGGAAACAGGTATTTCAAAGTCGCTTTCTTTTTCAAGGCAATTTTCTTTAAAGGAAGCTTGAATTATTTCAAACTTAGAGACAAGGCCCATTTAAAATTTGAGTGGTTAAAACAGAACAAAAACAACAAGTAACACAAAAAGCATAGCTACCTGTGCATACAACAGTGTGGCCACAGGGTTTGAATGCAACAACAGCCTCAGCCTCCTCACATATGTTACACAGCACTTTAAGATCATCAGATGTCGATGGATTTTTTTCTTCATTTTCTGTCTCCTGATCCATATTAACATCGTCGTCTGTTGATTGTGTCTGCGATTGTGGGCCCTCGCTGTCGTCCATATCTGTGTCGGTGTTATTCTCTGCCATTTCAGCAGGTTGAACGACACTGTTGTTTGAGATGTCTGAGGCCCAGGTTTCCACTGCAACTTTATTAGTCACTTCCAACACCACATTCTCCTTGTAAACAAAAAAATAAAATAAACTCAACTACTTTGATAAACCATAGATTTAAGATAGTTTAAACAAAAAAGAGAGACCTAATGAGGCATTTTAGTCCAGTAACGAGTCTTTTTTTTATCCAGAACAGACAAGCAACTTCGAAAGAGAATTTTGAATGCGTAACGCCACTTAACTGGCCACCGAATCAAAATGAATGCAACAAAGATGATCGGAAACCCCCAACAACCGTTCCGTCTAAAATAGAAGGCTTTTCTGTAATATTTTGACACTATTATGTACAATATCCGAGAAAACCATCGTCATAATTACTACAGATGAAAAACGTGAACAGAAGGTTTAAAAGCAATAAAAGATTGAGGGCGTCAGATTTCTTATGTTGCTTCTGAGGATAATCCCCGTTGTAACTTTTCTTTTCTGATATAAAATGGTACCATAAAAGTGCTTTTAAAACTTCGCATGAACTTTTTACCAGACAAAATGTGTCTTCCTCCATTATATTTCTCACCAGGGCTGTTTCCTGCGATACACTTTCAGTTGTTTCGCCTTCTTGAACGTCTTCACTCTTCATCTCGTCTGACATCTCCTCTGATACTGATTCTTGTTGATCTCCACTGCATAAGGCACTTATTAAGCGCCGTAAAAACGTATCTTCTCCCTCATCAGTGCTACTCGTACTATCTGGTTGATTTTTATCATCTTTTTCAGTTTCGTCTATCGGTGTTGCCGCACTTGCTGAAGATGAAGCATCCTCTGACTCAGGTTCTGTTTGCGACTCGCTCGACGACCCAAAACTTGGAACTTTCTTATTGTCTGTGGTCCTAAAGTTGTTAAACAAAGTGTAATTTTTAGTTAAATATCATATATCTAAAAGTAATTTCCACTTTGCAACAGCCTTCATTCATTTGAAATCCTTTGGACTAAATTCAGGCAAGACATATGGAGGCTATGCGGAGAATGTTCTTAGTCGTGATCAGGATACAAATTTCATCAGAATGACAGTGTTTTGGACGCGAGGTATATAAATATTAAAAAAATACACAAAAGCTTTTAAATACCGTCCACAGGCTGCAATCTTCCGAATGAGTTGCTCAACTTCCGATCCTCGACATCTGGTCAGCGGTGTTTCCCCTGAGCCATTGACTTTCCATACGTCAGCTCCATAGTTCAACAAGCAGCGTGATACAGCAACGAAGGACGCACTGCTCTTTCGTATTCCAGGTAGTAACTCCGGACCATACTAAAATAAAACAACACCATTCTGTGTAGAAGGCCAAAGACACTAACAAAGAACCAACTGATCACCTTTCCCTTTACATCAATTGTACTTATTGCAAGCAGCATGAGAACCCTTTTTAGGTCGGTGCACTACATAGCAAAATTAACTGGGCGGACGATTCTCAAAGGGTGTGGTTGATGGAATAAATTATTTGTCTATCTGCGTTCCTTGCTTAGTCGTTTTCACGAAGTTAGAAAGCAACATCGCTTGAAGAAAGAAAATAACAGTAACCTTACTTCACAATTATGTTATTGTCTAAACCGATGTGAATAACACATGAGCTTACTTTGGATTTGCTTTTAAACGTCTTGGTAAAAGCAACGACACAGGCATAACCATCCATGTTATGATTATTTTACATTACCAATCCTATCACGCTAAAGGGGAGAAAAAGAGAGATAAAATATACAATGTCACCTTCGACAGCTGGTTGGCCTGTTCCAGGCGTTCAGTTGGCAAAACAATGGCTAAAGACTTCAAAGTAGCGGAAGAGTGAAACAGCTAAGGTATACGTGACCTGACTCCTCCGCGACTACAGCACCGTTTACTATCGAGCTTTGATCTACTGACTGAACGCTAGAACAGGCTCACAGCACGGTATTTTGTAAAGCTACTTATTTACCATTGCTCTCGGATTACTCTGTAGTTCGTGTTCCCTCATTAAACTGATGTGAAGTGCCGTATCTCCGTCATTATCCATCGAGTTCACATTAGCTCCAAAGTCCAACAACAGTTCTACCATGACTGAGTGCCCTGCATTGGCGGCTAAATGAAGTGCCGAATGATTTTCAGCGCTTGGAGCATCTACCTCACACCCCGGCTGTTAAATAAAAATATCCTCTCATTATCGAAATATGTTTATCAATAAGAATTCAAATTCATGATTTAAAAGGTTTTGTAAACTTTTGTTAAAGTTCTGGATAACAAGGATACGCAGTGGCCTGAAGGTTAGCGGTCTGGACTCCAGACCCGGGTTGTTTACCACTGAGATCTGCCTGGGTCACTGTGTTGTGTTCTAAAGCAGGTAACTGAATTTAGCCCCTTCTTCTGGCCAGGAGAGAACATCCTGACGGAATTTCATTTACTATATATATGATATACTAGTAGCATCTCAAACGGAAAAGATTTTTTTAGCAATGTGCGGAAAACAACACAGGACGAAATCACATGTTTCCGTATTTCTGAAACGTGGCGGAAACATGCAACTCCATGTTTCCGTTATGTTTAACATGCACAAAAAGTGGTCCGGTTCGGTTGTATACGCAGCAACGGAAACGCGAGAAAACGTCACGAAACCGGTAACGGAAACACAGGTTATCCGTCGTGTTTCCAGAACGGTTTAACATGTTTCTGCCACGTTTCCGTTTACGGATTCTTGCAATTTCGTCCTGTGCAAGGATATCAGTTTGGTGTCATGGACCACTTTGCCAGTGCAAAGCCTACACTTCTAGCAAGAGCCTTAGCAATCTAGCCTTTTAGCAATCAATTTTTTGCAGTGAACTGACCGTAAATGAGAGCTTTTACTTTTCTTTCTTTTTTTTTTACAATGGGAGAATAGCCGTAAAAGTAGTGTTGAATATCCCAACCAACCACACACAGAAAGTCGTATTCCGTTCCGAGATTGAACACATACGACACTCTTTCAATTCTGTTAGAGCAGTTTAACTACACAGGGAGTCAGGGAGAACTTTTTTTTTGTATAGAGTACCTTCTTTAAAAGGATCTTAGCTATCTCACGATGATCGTTATTTGCTGCAATATGAAGGGTCGTAAACCCATCATCTTTGACAACATTCAAGGAATTCCCGGTTTTGGCAAAAATTCTTTCCACGCCGCTGTAAATAGATGACAAAAAAGATTTAAGAAAAACTGGATGTCAGAGCGGTTAAACTAAGTAACAGCATAATAACTACTTCATGACTGAGATTTAGTCTGGTTTCCTCCTGATCACTCATCACCCCAACTGTCCAAATTACATGAAAACCAGGCCAAGTAATGACCAACGACCTTAACGATCAGGAAGACCATAAAGTTCACGTTAGACCTTAGTGTGCGTATAAGCTTAGATTTTCTATTATGGCAAGTATGACCCAGACGTCTCGAAAACTGCGATGATCTGTTGTAAACTATGCCCTGGGTCTGGGTACACCTGAATCAGTTGGCTATCTTACCCTTACTCTGATTAAGACGTCAAACTGAGTAGTGATGTAATTATTTTGGGCATAGTTACCGTTTATTTCCTTTTAAAACAGCAAGGTGAAGATAGTTGAAACCTTTTCCGTTACAAAGAGTGTAACAAATTCTTGGACAGTCTAACAGCATATCCACCATGTTGTGGTGTTCTAAAAGGATGGCATCATGGAGAGGGGTATCACCATCTTCGTCCTGAAAATGGTCAAGCGTAATGTTTGGAGTCACGGGGTGCCTTTCCACTTTGTTTTATCGACTGGTAGCTTGGGTAGCAGTGTATTTGAGCACGAAAATGGTTGGATGAAAACATCAAGAATGGGTGCGTCAAATAGTCCAGTGCAATAGTCAAAACAGTTGAGTCTTAGGACCTCCCGACGTCAGTCATAGACTTTTCGTGTACGTTTAAAATAAACAAAGGGGATTGCAGTTTTAAACTTTACAACAAAATGCGTCTGAATAAAAATATGTGCAATGTTTGCTTGGTTAGTCGGAAAGTCGAGAAGGCATCGGGACTTTGTATGCCAAGGAGAACTGATATCTTCAAAGGACCCAACGAACCTGAAGATTGACGTCACACTCAGGGCACTGTGTCAGGATCTGTACTGCCGTTTCGTTTTTCTTTTGCACAGCCCAATGTAAGGGTGTGTTCTTATTACTTCCATGTTGAACATTTGGGTCAAAACCTCTCTCCAGTAACAGCTTTAAGGCTTCACCGCTTTCGTCTCTGAATGATCATAAGGATATAAATGCAATAAAACATCGCGCATTTTTGCATTTTATAGTTTAACTTAAGAGGTTAATTATTCTGCTTTCACGTTAATGTCGTAAAGGAAAAAAGATATCAGCAATAGCATGCAGATGGTTTGCGTTGGGTCCTGCGAGTGTTGTAAAACCAAATGTTAAGCAGTCAGAACCAGTCAGAACATACAAAAATATCTTGGCGGATGAATGCAAATGCAGAACAATCACATGCTGTCGAATTTAAGCACAGCAATAGTTACTTCGTTTTTAGTGGTTTTCGTTTTTTTGTTTTTCTATTTAATTGGCTGAGAGGATGGCTAGAGAGTTCGAAAGTAATCGTTTGGCGGAGGAAGGCAAAAATAAAGTGATCTCGGAGTCGAATTATAAGTTTGACCACCTAACTTAAAATTCCTTTTTTTATGTCAACTTACTGGTAAGTAGAGACATGCATGGCTGTGTATCCCTGATCATCCTGTATTTTGAGTAATAAAAGTGTATGAATAAGGAAGTCCCACTCCTGAAACACTTAAAATAAATAGAATACAAGCATGTCAAAATAATAACCTCAGCTTGTCGATCATGAGTCTCTTTGTTATCCTCCTCGTGCAGCACTAGCAATTACAATAATTTGAACGGGGCAAAAAATAACAGTAATTATAAAAATAATGTTAAAAAAATATTACCCACCAGTATTTCCATATCAGCTCCTCTCTCAAGCAATTCTCTAATGATGTCACAATGCCCCTGGTAACATGCTTCATGAAGAGCTGTGCGACCATCCACTAGCTCATCAATCTGTGCAGAACGAACGATCACGTCAAATTTTCTAAAACGCCACTAAATTAAATTCAAATTTCATTCTAGAAGTTTTCGAAAGTATACTTTTCGTTATCACTGCTAAAACCTAAGTTGTACAGTTCTCATCTTATACTCATATTTCTCATATTGCCTTGATTTAAAAAAACTTTTAAAACTTGTAAATACTATCTGCAAAAGTAAAAGGAATGAAAGAAAAAAAGTACCCGTTCTGGGTTAGCATCCAAGATTTCCTTGAGTCTCAGGAGGTTGTTGCTTTGTGCAGCATTCACAAGGCCGCGGTCCTCCTGTTCATGAGCTTGACGTTGGAGACTGAAAAGCCCTGATGAAAAAAAGACGACAGCAATGGTGAGGAGACAAAATTCCGGAATAATACTTATGACATGTGCTGTCAAGGAATATTTCTTCTCATTTCTCAGGGCAGTTTTCGATTGGGTGACATAGATGACTTTAAATTGCTCATCTCGCTTTGTGAGTGGTCGAGAAAACTTGAACCATCCTCTCAGCAAATCGGTTTTCATGCGCTTCAGAGGTTTTACTCTTTTGGAGTTAGACTACCCATCTTTAATGAGGCTTTTAATACTTTTGTGCCATAACTCTGTACCTAACGGGTCTTCGCTGCCCATGTCACCAGACACTGTTGACTGCTGGGGGTCTGGGTCTGTGACAGAAGTCACAGCAGCCGGGCTCAACATCCATGTGGTGCCTTCTACTGACACTAAAATGCCACCATCACTATCAACTTCCAATACCTTTCCGGTACGACCAAGGATCTACAAAAAGGAATAAAGAAGCATATTAGTTTGTTTAAACCTGCTTAGTTTTTCAATAGTTTTTGGGGGAACACGTATAATTGGCTCCAGAGTTGAGGCGTGTATCGTTTACTCTTCTAGCTTCTTTTAGATTACAGTTTCAGCTTCCGCACATGCCCTCAGGAGTTTGCGTTTACGTCCAAGTGAAAGCCTACAATTATAAGCAAACCAAAAATCATAAAATGTATAAACATTAAAAATAATCTAAAAAAAATTAAACTTACTGATATCATGGACTCGTTCCATCCTCCATGTTCTTTTTGGAGCTCTTTGACTAAGTGTTCATCACTTTTAACTACAACTTCATCGCCTTGCTTAAATTTTTGTATCTGGGTAAAGAAAGTATATATAAAAATATATATAAATATGACACTGGAATGTTGCCTTTCAAGGTGTGTTTAATATAGGTAATTTAGTGTTAACAACTGAGTTGAAAACGTACATTAGCCACCGTAGTGTTTTCGAGCGTTAGTCCCACTCCATATCGCATATATATGACACTTCCATAGCTGTTGGCCAGTCAATCGAGTGATGATGCTCTAAATTATCAGTAATTACATAGCGTCCATTGTGTACAGTCAAAAATTTAACAAACTGTGAGTGTTTAACTTTGAAAAAACCATACAAATTTTGACGTAATTAAGTAATGTAGGATGTTTCTTGATCACTCAAGCCACTCCTAATATACCTGACGACAATGTCTACGTCAATTGAAAAAAAACCAAACAGGGCTCTTTCATAACATAGATATAGTTAAGTAATTATAAGTACGAACTTCTTGGCGAGACAAATGGTTACGTTAGCATTACCTTTGTCAAAGCTGCTGGATTGTAACACCAACTTCTGTCGCGATACTCTACAACAACGTCACCATCGGTTGTGAAATCTTGCACGACTCCAATTTTCCCTATGTACTGTGGATGCAAGTAAACAGTTTCTTAAGTGCGAGATGTCAACGACATTTCATTGATGTAATGTAAGAGGATATGTACGAGACTAAGGACATTGTACACCCAAAGGGGAGGGTCATTGTCTCCTCATTAGGAACTGAATACTGAGGGTTTCAGGATTTCTGAACCTCAAATGAGGGTTAAACATTACAACGTTTTTAAGAGTTTTAGAAAGTGTTATGAGTCTGTGAAAGCAAGTCCCAAACGAACCCTTTCCATGTCTGCGTTCCATCCTCCATGACCAGCGGATAACTCCTGAAGCTTTACTACCGCAAGCTTCTGAAGGTAGACTTTGTCACCAGTCGTAAACCCACTTTTGGACTTTCTTATCCGCATTGTGAGAGGTGGTAAGTGATCTCTGTAATAATATCCTCCTACAGCTGACGAAGTACACTTGAGGTCAACCTGCCAGTTAGAAGGAAATGGAAGTAAAGACTCGGTATCCATTGTGTGGGATTTTTTGACTGCAAGAGTTTTCCGAAGTGACCCAGTTATTAAGTTCTTGAGTTCTAGAGTTCTTAAAGACTTGAGGAGATGTTCAAGATGTAAAATAGGGTCAGGAGTGCCAAAGATGAATCATTCTCAAGATCTTATAGCGAGAAAGTCAACAGAAACAATTTTAATCAACTGGATCCTGTATATAATTAAAAACAATTGATTTCACTTCTACTACTACCATTACTACTACTTCTACTATTTATTATTATTACTGTTATGAAACCGATGATAATAGTATTAATAATGATAATAATAACAATGATACTGCAGTAATAATAATAATAATAATAAAGCAATAATTCATTAGCCCACGTCACCTTTCCATTTTTTCCCAATCTATAAATGTCCCCCCTCGGTCCTTTGTTCCAGTTCACCCTCACAGCATCATTATTTGTCTCGTCACTCCAGCTGGTGACCTCAGTAACCTCGCCTTCCGTAGGAGATTGGTTATCCTGTTCCTTCCATTCCCAGTCTGGTCCTCTGGTTACTTTTGCTCCCTTAAACATTCCGCGGGCTTCAAGCTGAGTGGCGCCTTGCCTTTTGCCAACAGGGATGCTGTAAATTTACATCAGATTACGCAATTGAATATATAATTCATTAATACTCTTTGAGAAAATATCAGTTGATATTCTGTTGTTTTCTTCTACTAGTGACCAACATAAAATGAAACTCCGAACAACAAAATAAACTTAAAAGTATTTAATTGCTTTAATAAATGTTGTCAAATTGAAATAAGAAAATTGTTTAAAGGAAACATTGTTAAATCCCTATTAGAGTCCAGAGGCTGGACTGCTATAGGAACCGTGACGTCTTGGAGCTGATCCTTTTCCATTGAAGTCAATTTTCATTCAAAAGAAGAGCAACAAGAGAGAAAGAAACCAAACTCAATAGATAATGCAATGTTACAAAATAAGACAATAAAGTTATATATGATCGAGTTCTGACGGCAAATAGCGTTTTACTTTTTGGCGAAAATTAACGAAGTTGAAGTTGATTTAAGACAATGGAATATTGTTGACATCGATGGGTCTACATGGACGCACAGGCCGCTGACCTGTTCGTTTGGCAACTTACCCTTTGGCGCGACTCTTGTCGAATCGTTCAAAGCGATGATTGACATCATGGATATCGTTCATGTAACACTTGCTGCACAGATCATAGTTGGGACAATCTAAACAGTGCCAGCGCAGTCCAATGATAGGATCTTCTTTACAACCATCGCAGTTACGAAATAAATGTTTCGCGTCTAATAGAAGAGACAACCAGCATATGAATTAGAGAGATACCTTATGTTTAGGAGTGAACTTATTTGCCTCGGCATCACAAATGAAGATGAGAGTAATCTTCGCAGTGATGAACACTACTTAATCGGTGGTGAAAATAAGGTCTGAAAGAAGATTCAGGCTTGTGCGCGAGTTGAATCCCTGATCTACGGGTTTGAATATTAATGATAGTTATAATGATAATAATAATGATAATAATAATAATAACAATAATTAATAAAATTTCTATTGCACAAACATCAATGTAAAATTTTCATTTGCGCATTACTGTATCGTCGCACATCTATATACAAGTCAAAAATACTACGTATAAAACTAAAAATGAGGTGCAGACGTCGATCTATAAAACTGAAAGTCGCGAAACTTCTACTTCTAACCACAAACTGCTAACCGCAGTTTGGCGTTTGCGGTGAACACACCAATCGTGGGTCTAAAACTCTAGAAAACCTTTTTTCTAACGGCAATAGTCAGACCGCGCGCATGAGTTGATAATGCTTGAGATTGAGCCGAAAGTATTGTTGTGAAGGCATCAAACGTAAAGGGAAACCTTTTTTACATTACCTGTTTTCCTTTCATGGAATTTTTCGGCCGCCTAAATCAATAACAAGTTGATAGCAACTTAAATTTTTCTGAAAACAAGGAAGACTCGATACCTCAGGGCTAAGGCCTTTCGAGGTCACTTTACGACAAACTACTTTGACTTGTAGTTTCAACAACTTACTCTCTAACTTAATAATAGCTCTGGGATTGTGGGAAGCTGAACGCAGCTTTTTGAGATACAACAGATTTACGCTGTAACATACCCCTTTTCACCAGTATGCAGTTGATGTGTGAGAAATCTTATGCAAATAAAAAAGCCCGTGGTCTGAGAATTCGAACTCTATGCATATAAACTTATGTGAAGTAAAAAACAAAGCGTCAATCGATAAGTTTGACGACCTTAAATTTTGCGAGGGAAGCATTTAACGAGAAAAATAAAATTTGAAACGAGGATCGCTGTTTAATTTTCAGCTAAGGTTGTCACAAGATTTCAACTCTGGTGAAAAGTCCAATGATTTTTTTTCCGTGTCAATTGTCAGTCCACACGATTTCTAAACCTCGTGTTAGTGTGTTAAATTCAATTTCATTGAAATTGTGCCATCATTTGCTTTCCTAACAGAAGTGCTGAGATTGCATTTTATCTTATTTAAGGAATATAATATTCAGCAAGAGTTGTTCGGATGAATCTGGGCAAATATTTTCGTTCAAAGTAAGATAATCAACAAGAAACTAAAATCGTCACTCACCGCCATTTGTGAAACTAAAAATTCGAAGATCGTGTTTCTTTTCGATTCCAGCCCTGTAGTTGTGCTTCCCTCCACAATCCCACTGTACGTAAACAAGCTGTTCTGTCACAGGCGACTTCTTGTCTCTTCCGACTTGAACTACTGTACCTACAAAACCTTCTCCGCCATCTTGGTTTCCCCATTCCCAATCTTGACCACGAACAACTCGGGTGCCTAGAAGATTTATTGTCATAGTTATACCAGGATTTTCCTTATCACGTTTATACTGACAAGATCTGATGGAAGCTTCTCTAGATCTCGTCTTTTCCTAGATAACGGAGAAGCAAATATCTTGCATAAGAAATATTTCTGTTTGGCGAGCCAGTCGTCGGATGGCTTCGATTCAGTACCCTTCTGCCGGTTTAACACAATGCTAACAAGTTCCTTTCTCGATTCTAAAATTAATCAAGATGTATCAGTGAGAACAGTTGCCGATTGGGGCTGTAAAGAAAATGCTGCGTTGGCGATAAAATGCTAATAGAAGCTATATATTTTTCCTAGAATACTAAATTCATGACCGCATCAACTGTCGGGGATTCCCCTACGCATCATTCAGGACACGTCATTGGTTAACTAAATGTTGCGTTACCTCACGTTTCTTGTTATGCTAATTTTAGAGAATCCGAAAAAAGATTAGGAACGGACATGTTGAAACAGATAGAGATTGATAAATACAATCTGTGTGGATGACGATATTTATTTAAAAAGTATTGCGTGGATGTTGGATATGGTAAAAAACATTATTTTACCTCCGGCACTGCTCTGCGACGAATTCAACGAAGAAACCTACAGATTTCGGATAGCCGTTTGCTTTACAGTTCCTATAATTATAAACCAATAATAGAAAAGCAAATCATCGAAGACGAATAAAAGAGGAAAATAAAAGAGATCTGTCATAAAGTCCTGAAAACTGGTCGATACATTAGATTGCGGTCCACCATTCATTCCGTACCTGCTAAACCTGCTCTAAATGTATTTTTCTTAACTAGAAGATAAGTTTGCATTGTATTTGTTGTCCTTTGCTCAAAGACCAATAGGGATCCATCAAAGAACGTCGAAGTTTCAAAACCAAGGGTATGTCGTCATTAACGAATCCTCATTTTTAGTCAATACCACGGCCCCAAACTTGAACTTTACGGCCGTTACATTGACAACTGCATTGGCACTACCTCCTCTACCAGAGAGGAGGTCACATAATTTATAACCGCCGTCAATTCCTTTCACCCGGCTCTTAAATATAACTGGGAAATTTCCGACACTTCTTTGGCTTTTCTAGACATCAAAATTGCAATTGAATGCAGCGGTGTATGCACTAGTGTTTACTACAAACCTACAGATTCACACAGTTACTTGTTGTATTCATCTTCGAATCCATCACACGTCAAGAATTCCATACCTTTTACCTTTTTCACAGTTTCTCAGACTTCGTCGTTTATGTAGTGACGACTCTGATTTTTCCGAAAAATCATAGGCAGTTATCGTTATCATCATCATAAAATTTATTAATGTGTCTTGAATATCTAGCCGATGGGGTTAAAAACCCCTCTACTAATAAGGGACACTTAATATAGTTAATAACCTACTAACTATTTTCTAATGAACTTCTAAAAAAAAAGCCTAACAATTTAATTAACAATGCAATATAGTTGAAATTGTGTTACAATACAATATAGTTGAAACAACACACGTGAAAAAATGTCGTATTTTTTCACGTGTCTTGATATAGCCAATCAGCTGCTAACGCGTCACTCGCCTTTGGCGCCTCTCAGTCAGGTTGATGAATGAACGGCAAAGTCTTCACGATTCTCAATACAAGTTGTTTGTCGGAGCTTTCTCGAATTATGGCGGCTAAAACACTAAAAAATCCGAATCGCTGACAGACAGTGAGGTTCAAACTTTCCTAAAAGGCGAAGAAAACCAATATACTAAAAGAAAAACCGAAAATTGCGTATTCAGTGGCTTTGGTGTTAGCATTTCTCACGGCTGAGATGAAAATCGACAACTGGAAGATTTGCCACTGGCCGATTTTGGCCGTTTATGTGAAAGACTTCTTCCGTCGGTAAGGACAAAGTCAATAAATGAGAATTTTGTAAATTGAAAATTACGACCATTGTTGTTTTTGTAATCATAATTTAACGCTTTTTTCCATCTTAAGAGTCAGCGCCAACGCATTCTACGATTGTTATTTGAGGATTGTCGATTCATTTATTTTCATTCATTAATGAAGTCGGCTTTTCTCCCCTGTAAAGGGCTATTGTGTTTATATGATAAACAAAATAATACATGGTTAATTGTAGCTATGGAATTTCTCTTCTCGTGTTCGACTCGACATCTCACTCGTGAGCTATCGAGTTAAACACTCGAAGAGAAACTCCATATCTACGCGCGCCCATGTATTATTCTCTAATTAACTATCAAATAATGGGATAAATTATTAACAATAAAAAAGAATAAGAATTACAAAGGATGCAATTGGAACAATTGTCATCTTTTACCATTACGCTCAAACGAAATTTACGGATACGATATTTCGAAACCAAATAATAATGGGAGGGTTCTAATTTCGCTCGGTAGCCTATTCCATAACTCTAGTCCTAGGTAGTTGAGCGAATGTTAACCATATTTCTTGGTCCTAAATCTGGGGATAGCAAACTCCGCCACCCTTAAGTTGTAGGGTGAACAATGCGTGTGAAATAGCTCGCATATTATGCTGGGGCATAGTTTGTGTTTCACCTTATACATAAGGATAGCAATATATTGCAGTCTTCTGTTCTGAAGAGTCGTTAGATCACTTTAGTCCAGTAATGCTTGGTAGCTTGACTGCTTATCTAGGAAAACTGCGCGTAGTGCTGTTTCTTGAATCCGTTCGAGCTTTCTTTTATCATTAGCACGACAGAATTCTAAGTCAGGTAGCAATAGGTTAAGAAAGGCGATATGGCTGATTTATACAGAGTTAATTTAGCATCGGTAGGGATAAGTTTTTTAAGCCTCAACATTACACCTACCTTTTGACTCTTTTTCTTACATATTTCATTGATGTGAGTGTTAAAATTCAACTGCTCATCTATGGTAACTCCTAACAACTTAAGACATTCAGAAGATTCAATGATGTTTCCTTGTAAGTGTAATGGAATGTTACTTTCTGTCCTGTTATGCTTGAAAGTCATAGTTTGAAATTTACTCAGATTTCCTTTTAACAGATTGCTAGCATACAATTCGGAGGCCCTATTGGCATTCCTCATAAGGTTGATGAAAGCCATTTTCGGGTCCCCCGCTGTCTCATACAACTGATGGCGTATATCCGCTTATATGGAGAGATGCGAAGTAGTTACTAATAAGACTTATCAGTGTTTTTTCACAACTGTGGCGTTTACGGTATGCCGTGATTCAGGGGTCCAAACGGCTGTCAAATTGCTTTGAAATCTGGTCACTAAGTAACTGCTCAAACACAATTCTAACCACTGGAAGGACAGTTATTGGTCGATATGATCTTGCTGTCAACTTTTAAGTTGATATCAGTTCCCATAACCCCCTTCCTAGATCCAAGAAACGGTTAAAAAGTTTCGGAAAAATTTCTTGGGTTTTCTTTAGGGTCAGAAGGCTTTCTCTTCCAGTATTGCCGTAAAGCAATTCTTCTTTGTCTGACTGCCCCATTGCCACATTTCACTTTCATTTAAATACTTCTTAAAGGCTCTTCTCTTTTCTCGGATAGCATTTTTCCATGCAGTGTTGATATAGGGTGTATCTTTATCCCTCACTCGCTTCTTTTTCTGAGGGAAGCCTTCATCAACGATGTCTTGCATAATTTTATCCCAATAGTACACCTTGTCCTCTAGTCCTCCAGCAATGTGCCAGATTTTTGATAAACGTAGCTATTTTGTTTCTGTCGTTCAAGCAGGCCACCACCGTGCCCAAAAAATTGATCGACAATTAGAATTACAAACGGCTGAGAAGGAAAACACTGATCGCATTCCATTCACTCTCACATTTCACCCCACAATAAATTATTCAATTTGAACTCGTTTGATTCATAAATATCTTCCTTCGTTCCCTGAAAAACTTTAAATATTGTGGAGCATGAAAATATGGCCTGATTTGACTCGATTTCTTTTCGAGAAGCTCACAGTATGAATTGCTTTTATTCTTATTTCATTGACCTTTCATGTAAATCTTAAATACTGTAGAACATGGATTAAGACTGGTTTCACTCAGTAGGGGTTGTTTATCGAACAGGCTTTCATGGCGTATCAGCAGATAGTGTAGATTGTTTAAAAAAAAAAAAGCCGCCAGGGTACCACGCACAACTAAAATATTTGTATTTTCATCTCAATGGGCTTTTTGCAAATATGGCAGACACTAAGCTGCTTTGCACAAAACTGACATGCGCCGTGACCACAGCGGAAAATGACGTCCTTCTTCCTTTCCACGCAAATACAACACACAACGGATTCCTCCAATTTCCGAAACTTTACTTCAAGTTGCTGATATTGCGAGACCAAGGACTTGTTGTTAATTCCAATGATTGGGTTACCATCTGCGAAGAGATTTGGAGCGAACTGAATTCAATAATATTTTCAGCCAATTTCTCCCAAGGCAAACCAAATTATGGTATTATTTCGAAGGTGACAAAGAACCTTTTTTTTCTTGCTCTTAAAATCTGCATATTTGCGAAAGCTCAGAATAATCCAAATAAAATGAAAATGAAATTCAACAAGACATGAAAACTGGTTAAGAATAAAAAACCCAAGACTACCCGACATATCATTTGAGGGCCCAGCTGAAAACGGCCTTGGCGAGTTTGGTTCCCTCATGAAATATTATTACTATTGCTATTATAATAATTATTTTCATCATTATTATTGTTATTATTATTATCATCATCAGTATTATCAGCATCATCAACAGCATCTTTTTAGCAATGATAACTTGCGGACAATTCAGAGGAAAAGTGAAAGGAAGAGCAAGCTTGATTATGGATATGAAGGTGCAATAGTAAGGTTCAAGTTAGGCCAGTCTCTTCTCTAAAGGGGGTAAGTTTCCAAAGAAGCTGTGGTGCTGTATTAGTCGTTAGTCCTTCGTCAGAGCGAAGGGCTAACGCTCGCAACGTCAGCTTTGAAACTCTTTACGGTGGTCAATTTACGTTATCAACTCAGTTGATAATACTAAATTACCCCGTCTCCTCTTTGTTTGGAGTAGATATTAAAATTTCAAGCTTTCGCCGATCCATGTCATCATCAAGATGATATGCCGTGGATCGATATTATGAATCGTCGAAAGCTTGAAATTTTAGTTTGAGCTACATCAGCCACACCTCGGCAGCAAAGGGCAACATCCAAAGAAAAACCCTAAGCAAGTTACCTCTCGTTCCTTTACCAGAAATAGGCGTTTTACATTCCAAACATCTCTTTAATCGGGCTGCACATTCTGCAAATAGATTATTACGTTAACAGGTACCAAGATCAAGATGGCTTTTTCAAACTGTGTTAATCTTCTCCACACTTAATCGTGGTCGTTCCTCTTAGAATCCTTCTTACCTTTTCGCGATTGTCTTCTCTAGGAAACAGGTATTTCAAAGTTGCTTTCTTTTTCGAGACAATTTTCTATGAACGACGCTTGAATTAATTCAAACTTAGAATTATTTCAAAATTCGATTGATGAACACAGAAAAAAAAAACAGCAACTAACACAAAAAGCAGAGCTACCTGTGCATACAACAGTGTGACCACAGGGTTTGAATGCAACAACAGCCTCAGTCTCCTCACATATGTAACACAGCACTTTTTGACGATCAGGTGTCGATGGATTTTTTTCTTCATTTTCTGTCTCCTGATCCATATTTACATCGTCGTCTGCTAGTTGTGTTTGTGATGGTAGGCCCTCGCTATCGTCCATTTCTGTGTCGGTATTTTTCTCTAGCGTTTCTGCAGGTTGAACAGCGCTGTTGTTTGAGATGTCTGAGGCCCAGGTTTCCACTTCAACTCTATTAGTCACTTCCAGCACCACATTCTCCTTGTAAACAAAAAAATCAGATAAACTCAACTCCTTTGATAAACTATAGATTTAAGAGAGTTTATACCAAAAGCGAGTCCTAATAAAGCATTTTAGTCTAGTAAAGTGTCATTTTTTCTTATCTAGAACAAAAAGGTATCTTCGAAAAAGAATTTTGAATGAGTAACACCACTTATCCAGCTCACGAATCAAAATGAATGTAAGAGAGATGATCGGAAAACCCCCAACAACCGTCCCGTCTAAAATAGAAGGCCTTTCTGTAATATTTTGACACTATTATGTACAATATTCGAGAAAACCATCGTCATAATTAATACAGATAAAAACAGAAGGTTTAAAAGCAATAGGCGATTGAGGGCGTCAGACTTCTTATGATGCTTCCAGAATACACATTTAAGGATTATCCCTGTTGTAATTTTTATTTACCGATATGAAATGGTATCACATAAGTGCTTTTAAAACTTCGCATGAACTTTTCACCTGACACAATTTGTCTTCCACCATTGTATTTTCCACCATGGCCGTTTCCTGTGGTACACTTTTAGCTCTTTCGCCTTCTTGAACGTCTTCACTCTCCATCTCGTCTGACGTCTCCTGTGATACTGATTCTTGTTGATCTACACTCCACAAGTCACCTATTAAGCGACGCAAAAAAGTGTCTTCTGCCTCATCTGTGCTACTCGTACTATCTGTTTGATTTTCATCATCTTTTTCAGTTTCGCCTGTCAGTGTCGCCGCACTCGCTGAAGATGACGCATCTCCTAATTCAGGTTCGGTTTGCGACCCGCTCACGGACCCAAAACTTGGAACTTTCTTGTTGTGTGTTGTCCTACAGTTGTTAAACAAAGTATAATTTTCCGTTAAATATCATATATGTGAAAGGGACTAAATTCAGGCAAGAGATACGGAGACTAGCGAGAGAATGTTCTTAATTGTGATCGGGATAAAAATGTCATCGGAATATAGATGTTTTAGAAGCGAGGTATACAGATATTAAAAATATATACAAAAGCATTTGAATACCCTCCACCGGCTGCGATCTTCCGAATTAGTTGCTCAACTTCCGATCCTCGACATACGTCCAGCGGTGTTTTCCCCGAGCCATTAACTTTCAACACGTCAGCTCCATAGCTTAACAAGCAGCGCGAGACAGCGACAAAGGACGCACTGTTCTTTCGTTCACCAAGTAGTAACTCCAGACCAGGCTTAAATAAAACAACACTATTCCGTATAGAAGGCCAAAGACACTAATAAAGAACCAACTGATCACCTTTCCCTTTATATCAGTTGTACTAATTGCAAGCAGTGTGAGAACCTATTTGAGATGGCAGCACTACAGCGAGATCATGAAGTAAGAAGACGATTCTCAAAAGATAAGGTAGATGGTAGAAATTCTTTGCTTATCTACGTTCTCCACTTAGTTGTTTTTTCGACGCTGAGCAACGACATCGCTTGAAGAAATAAAGCTGCAGTAAATTTACTTCACAACAGTATCATCGTCCAAACCGATGTGAACAACACAAGAGCTAATTTTTGAGAAACCTTTAAACCTCAAAGGGACGACACATGCATAACTGTCTAAATCATTTCATGACTATTTTGCGTAACTTATTTTCTCACGCTGAAAGGGAGAAAAATCTCGAGAGGTTAAACTTTATGAACTTATTTACCATTAATCCCATTTTTCTCTGTAGTGCATGTTCCTTCATTAAAGTGATATGAAGCACCGTATCTCCGTCATTATCCACTGCATTTACATTGGCTCCGTGGTCCAGCAACAGTTCCACCATGACCGAATACCCTTCATTTGCAGCTAAATGAAGTGCTGATTGATTTTCAGCGGTTGGAGTATTGACCTCACACCCCGGCTGTTAGATAAAAATATACCCTCTCATCGTTAATGTACCTTTATCAGTAAGCATTTAGATTCATAATTAAAATGTTTTGTAAACTCCTTTTGTTAAAGTTGTCAATGAAAATAATACTCAGTGGCCTGAAGGTCAGCGGTTGGACGCTAGACCGAGCCGTTGTGGTCACAAGATCTGCCTGGCCACTATGTTGTCTTCTAAAGCGCCTCCCTCTGGCCAGGAGAGGACATCTTGGGGAAATCTCATGGAATGTATGACGAAGTAGCATCCCCGCCAAAGAAGTGTTGATGAACAATGTACGGGAAACAAGGATATCAGTTTGTTGGTCACTTGGCTAATGCAAAACCTACAAGTAGGCTTGTTCCTGGTTTTTACAGGGGAAGAATAGGTGTAATAGTAACCCCTAGTTTTGTGGTTATCACCCCAACTAACCACAAGCAAAACGTTATACTCCGTATTGGATTGAATACAAGCGACACTCTTTAAATTCTCACAGAGACACTTTAAACCATACAACGAGTCTTGCGCGAAAAATAAAAAAAAATACTTAATAAAATTTAGATTCTATTACCTTTTGTAACAAGATCTTAGCTATCTCAAGGTGATTATTAATTGCTGCAATATGAAGGGTCGTAAACCCACCATCTTTGGTAACATTCAAGGAATTCTCGGTTTTGGCAAAAATTCTCTCCACGGCGCTGCAAATAAATGACAAAAAAGATTTAGGATACTCTGGATGTCAAAGCGATTAACTTAGGTAACAGCATAACAAGCATTTTGAGACTGAGATTTGGTCTGGTTTCCTCCTGATCACTCAGATTGCCCCAATTGCCCAAATCCCATGAAAACCAAGCCAACGACCCTAACGATCGGGAAGACCATGAATTTCCAGATGGGCCAGAGTCACATAAGCTTAGCTTTCTTATGATGGCAAGTATGTCCCGGCCGCAATCGTCTCGAAAATTGCGACGATCAGTTGAACACTAGGCCTTAGGTGTGGGTACATTATTCAGTGTTTGATGCTTAACACCTGAATCAGTTGGCTATGATTAAGCTCTGACTAAGCTGTCAAACTGAGTAGTGATCGATAAAGTTATTTTGGCATAGTTACCGTTTATTTCCTTTCAAAACAGCGTATTGAAGATAATTGAAACCTTTTCCGTTACAAAGAGTGTAACAAATTCTTGGACAGTCTAATAGCATATCCACCATGCTGTGGTGTTGTGCAAGGATGGCATCATACAGAGGGGTATCACCTGCCTCGTCCTGAAAATGAGTCGAAGCGTGATATAAGGAGCCACCTGATACCATTCGGCCTTTTATACATTATTTTGACTGGCAGTTTGGGTAGCAGTATAGTTTATCACAAAAATGATGGGATGAAATAATCTAAAATTGTAACAAACGTCTAGCAGTCCGGTGCAGAGACATTTGAATTCGAGCAAAGTCGAAGCAAATAGACATCTTGTGCCTTTTACTAACCGATAAGAGATTTTTCATGTTTTTCACGAGCAGTCGAACTAGGTTTAAATTTGACTTCGACATGCGTCTAATAATATGTGCCATGTTTGCTGAGTTAGTCGGACAGTCGACTTAGAAAGTATCAGGAATTTGTATTCCCAGGAGAACTGATATCTTCAAAGGACCCACGAACCTGTAGATTGACGTCACACTCAGGGCACTGTGTCAGGATCTGTACTGCTGTTTCGTTTTTCTTTTGCACAGCCGAATGTAATGGTGTGCTCTTATTGCTTCCATGTTGAACATTTGGGTCAAAACCTCTCTCCAGTAACAGTTTTAATGCTTCACCGCTTTCGTCTCTAAATGATCGAGAGGATACATGTGCAATAAAAACACCAGGCATTTTAGAAATTCTCCATTAATTTAAGGAGTTTCTTATTCAGCTTTTCTGTGTCATAGAAAAAAACAACGACAAAAACAGCAACAACATACAGAAAAACATATCAACCATAGCTTGTAAATGGTGCTTGTTGGGTTGTCATTACACCAACGTGAAAGCAATCAGAGCCAGTCAGAACAAAGATAAATATCTTGATGGATAAATAAACAATAACAACAACAAACACATGCTATCGACAGTAGCTCGAGCAAAAGTTAATGATGGTGGGTAATTTTTTTTATCGATTGGTTGACGGGATGGTTGAAGATTTCGAAAGCAATCGCATTGAGAAGGAAAGAAAAACTAAAGCAATCTTAGATTTCTTAGTTTTCCAGCTTATTTAACATTACTATGATATTTCGGTCATCTTACTGGTAAGTAGAGTGATGCATGGCTGTGTATCCCTGATTATCCTGTATTTTGAGAAAAATTAAAGAATGTGACTAAGAAGGCTCCTCTCCTGAAACACTGAGATATGTAGAACATAACCATGTAAAAATAATAACCTAATCTTGTCGATCATGCATCTCTTTGTTATCCTCCTCAACCAGTACTAACAATTACAGTAATTTGAACGGGGCAAAATTTACAGTGATGGTTAAAAGTATTGGATTGAATAAAAACTTTCGTTACTCACCCGTACATTCATGTTAGCTCCTCTCTCAAGCAATTCTCTAATGATGTCACAATGCCCCTGGCGACATGCCGTATGGAGAGCTGTGTGACCACCCACTAGCTTATCAATCTGTGCGGAGCGAAAAAACACAAACCTTTGATCATGTCAAATTTTCCTAAACGCCACCAAATTCAAATTTGATTCTAGCAGTTTAAAAAATACATGCTTTTAGCTATCGCTCTTTCCTAAAACATAAGTTACGCATTACTCTTCTTATGCTGATATTTCTTGTATTGCTTTGATTCAAGAAAACTGTTGAGACTTATCTGTAGAAGTAAAAGGAATGAAAGAAAAAAGGTACCAATTCTGGGTTAGTATCCAAGATTTCCTTGACTCTTGACAGGTTGTTGCTTTGCACTGCATTCACGAGGCCGATGTCCGCCTGTTAATGAAAGAATGAGCGCGTTAGACCTGTTATAGTGTGGTTGTTACAGAAAGACAACTAAACGTATTAGGATCATCCTCGTTGTAGTTTTTTCCTTACTGATACAAAATGGTATCTCTTTAGTGCTTTAGGACTCCTTTTGAACTTTTAGCGCGACACAATGTGTTTTCCTGTGTGACATAATGTGATACACCTTCAGCCGTTTCGTCTACCTTAATGTCTTCTTGATCTCCTCTACACAAGTCCTTTATTATGCCCCGTAAAAACGTATCTTCTGCCTCACCTGTGCTACTCGTACTATGTGTCTGATTTTCATCATCATCTTTTTCAGCTTCGCCTACCTGTGTCGCTGCATTTGCTGAAGATAATGCATCGCCTAATTCAGGGTCGGTTTGCGACCCACTCGAGGATCCAAAACTTGGAACTTTCTTGTCGTGTGTGGTCCTACAGTTGATAAGCAAAGTAGAATTTTACTTAGATATCATGTAAACGCAATTTCCACATGCACTGAAAAGGCTTTCATTCAGGTGGCATCCTTCGCACTGAATATTTGTCCCCTTAGTAGTAATGTGCCTTTGATTCAGGCAAGAGATACGGAGAAATTTTGCTACCAGGATAAAAATTTCATCCGAATTTAGGTGTTTTGGAAGCGAGAATCCGTTCTACCATAACATAGATAGGCGTACTGCAGATATAAAAAAATAAACAAAAGCATTTGAATACCCTCCACCGGCTGCAATCTTCCGAATGAGTTGCTCAACTTCTGATCCTTGACACATGTCCAGCGGTGTTTTCCCTGAGCCATTGACTTTCAACACGTCAGCTCCATGGCTTAACAAGCAGCGCGAGACAGCAACAAAGGACGCACTGCTCTTTCGTACTCCAAATAGAAACTCCAGACCAGACTAAAATAAAACAGCACTATTCAGTGTAGAAGGCCAAAGACTTTAACAGAGAACCAACTGATCACCTTTCCCTTTATATCAGTCGTACTTATTGTAAGCAGTGTGAGAACCCATTTGAGATCGCAGCACTACCGTGACGTCATAGCAAAGTTAATCGGGCGGATAATTCGCAAAGGTGTGGTAGATGGTAGAAATTATCTGTCGATCTCCGTTCCTTACTCAGTCGGTTTTACGAAGTTAGACAACAGCATCGCTTGAAGCAAGAAAATAACAGTAACTTTACTTCACAACAGTATTATTGTCTAAACCGATGCGATCGACACGAGCTTATTTTGGAGTTGCCTTTAAACGTCCTGGTAAAGTAACGACACATACCTAACCAACCATATTATGACTATTTTACATTACTAATCCTCTCATGCTGAAAGGAAGAAAAAGTGAGATAAAATATACGATGTCTCCTTCGACATTTTGTTGGCCTGTTCCAAGCGTTCAGTCAGTAAAACAGAGCGTAATAACCAAAGGCGTCCTAGTGGCCTAGGAGTGAAAAGGCTAAGGTATACGTGACCTGACCCCTTCACTCCTCCGCGACTACAGCGCTTTTTAGTATCGAGCTTTGTTTACAGACTGAACGCCACGAACAGACTCACAGCACGGTATTTTATGAAGGTACTCATTTGTCATTACCCCCAGATTTCTCTTTAGTGCGTGTTCCTTCGTTAAAGTGATATGAAGCGCTGTATCTCCGTCATCATCCACCGAGTTCACATTGGCTCCGTGGTCCAACAACATTCCTACCATGACTGAATACCCTTCATTAGCTGCTAAATGAAGTGCCGGTTGATTTTTAGCGGTTACAGCATCGACCTCACACTCTGGCTGTTAGATAAAACATATACTCTAATTATCAAAGTATCTTTATCAGTAAGAATTCAGATGATCATTAAAATGGTTTTTTAAACTTTTGTTAAAGTTGTCGATAGCAAGAATACGCAGTGGCCTGACGGTTAGCAGTCTGGACCCCAGACCCGGGTTCTTTAGCATTGAGATCTGCCTGGGTCACTGTGTTCTAAAGTAGGAAACGTCCATTAGCGCCTCCCTCTGGCAAGGAGAGGACATCTGGACGGAATTTTATGGGATATACAATGATGAAGTAGCATCTCAAACAGAAAAGATTTGTTTAACAATGCGCGGCAAACAAGGATATCAGTTTGGTTGTATGAACCACTTAGGCAGAGTAAAACCTACACGTAAGCCTTATAGCTATCAATTTTTGCAGTGAAATGACCGCAAATGCAAATGACAGCTTTTTGCTTTCTTACTTTTTACAATTGGATAATAGACGTAATAGTAATGTTAAATATCCCAGCTAACCACATGCACAAAGTCATATTCCGTTCCGAGATTGAACACTTACGACACTCAAATTTTTCAGTTTAACCACACAAGGAGTCTTACGCGCGAGAAAAAAGTTTAAATTTAAAAAAAAACTGGAAAAAAATAGATAAATTTTTTTTTATAAAATTACCTTTGTTAAAAGGATCTTAGCTATCTCACGATGATCATTAATTGCTGCAATATGAAGGGTCGTAAACCCATCATCTTTGACAACATTCAAAGAATTCCCGGTTTTGGCAAAAATTCTTTCCACGGCGCTATAAAAAATGAAGCAATAGATTAATGTTGTATTGAATGTCAAAGCGAATATAGGTAACAGCATAAGAGTAATTTTGTAACCGATGTCTATTCTGGTCTCCTCCTGATCACTCATTGTCCCAGTTGTCCAAGTTATATAAAAACCAGGCCAAGTGATGACCAACGACCCCAACGATCAGAAAGATCATGAACTTCAGGTTGGACCTTAGTTTGCGTATGAGCTTTTTAGCTTCCCTATGATCACAAGTATTACCCAGTCGTCTCGAAACTGCGACGATCAGTTGAACAATATTTCTTGTGTCTGGGTACTAATGATCCATCAGAAGCCAAGCACCTGAATTAGTTAGCTATAGTACTTTTACTTTAATTAAGCTGTCAAACCGAGTAGTGATGCGATTATTTTTGGCATATTTACCGTTTATTTCCTTTCAAAACAGCGTGTTGAAGATAATTGAAACCTTTTCTGTTACAAAGTGTGTAACAAACTCTTGGACAGTCTAACAGCATATCCACCATGTTGTGGTGTTCTGCAAGGATAGCATCATGGAGAGGGGTATCACCTGCCTCGTCCTGAAAATTGTCAAATTGAGCACGAAAATGGTGGAATGAAAACATTAAGGATGGGTGCAAACGTCAAATAGTCCGGTGCAGCAGCCAAAACAGTTGAGTCTTAGGACTTTCCAACGGCAAGTCTTAGACTTTTTATGTACGTTTAAGTAAACAAAGGGCAACATAGTTTTAAACTTTACAACGAAATGCGTCTTAATAATATGTGCAATGTTTGCTAAATTAGTCGGACAGTCGAGAAAGCATCAGGAGTTTGTATCCCCAGGAGAACTGATATCATCAAAGGAACCAACGTACCTGTAGATTGACGTCACACTCAGAGCACTGTGTCAGGATCTGTACTGCCGTTTCGTTTTTCCTTTTCACAGCCAAATGTAATGGTGTGCTCCTATTACTTCTATGTTGAACATTTGGGTCAAAACCTCTCTCCAGCAACAGTTTCAATGCTTCACCGCTTTCGTCTCTGAATGATCATAAGGATAGGAGTGCAACAAAACATCGGGCATTTTTGGATTTTAGTTAAACTTAGGGGTTACTTATTTTGCTTTCTTAAGAATGTTCACTTGACTGTTATAAGGGAAAATGTATGAGCAATAACATGCAGTTGGTTTGCGTTGGCTCCTGCAAGTGTCGTAAAACCAAAAGCTAAGCAATCAGAGCCAGTGAGAGCATACAATAATGTCTTGGCGGATAGATGAACACAAAGAACAATCACATGCTGTCGAATTAAAGCACAGCAAGAGTTACTTCGTTTTCAGCGGTTTTCGTTCTTTGTTTTTCTATTGAGAGGATAGCTTAACTTTTCGGAAGCAATCGCTTGGCGTAGGAAAGCACAACGAAAGAAATCTGGGAATAGAATTATATGTTTGACCAGCTAACTTAGAGTTACTTTTTTTATATGTCAACTTACTGGTAGGTAGAGTGATGCATGGCTGTGTATCCCTGATTATCCTGTATTTTGAGTAAATAAAAGTGTATGAATGAGGAGGTTCCCTCCTGAAACACTTAGATAAATAGAATACGAATGCATGTCAAAATAATAACATATGCTTGACGATCATGCGACAACCACGACAATGGTTGGTTGGTTGGTTTTCTTCGTGCAGCACTAGCAATTACAATAATTTTAACAGGGCAAAAAATAACGGTAATGATAAGAAAATTATGACCACTCACCAGTACATCCATGTTAGCTCCTCTTTCAAGCAATTCTCTAATGATTTCACAATGCCCCTGGTGACATGCAACATGAAGAGCTGTGTGACCACCCTCCAGCTCGTCAATCTGTGCAGAACGAAAAGACACAAACCCTTGATCATGGCAAATTTTCTAAAACGCCACCAAATTCAAATTTGATTCTAAATCATAAATTGATATTACAATGATGTGTCTTAAATCTTATCCTTTTAGATATCACTGTTTACTAAAACCTAAGTTACACAGTTCTCTTCTTATGCTCATATTTATCATTTTGCTTTAATTTAAGAAAACTATTCAGACTTGCAAATGCCCTTTGCAAAAGTAAAAGAGATGAAAGGAAAAAGGTACCCGTTCTGGGTTGGCGTCCAAGATTTCCCTGAGTCTTGAGAGGTTGTTGCTCTGTGCAGCAATCACAAGGCCGGGGTCCTCCTGTTCCTGAGCTTGACGTAGGAAGTCTCTAAAGAGACTGAAAAGCCCTGGAGAAAAAAATGACAAAAGGATTGGTGAGGATAATTATACTTATGGCAGTATACTTATTATGCCATCATTTTAGCCAATCAGACGCATAGTTGTAGCTAATGACGATCTAGTCACTGACGTTTTCACGCGCTTTAGAGGTTTTTCTCTTCTGACCTAGATTGGCCATTTTTACTGTAACTTTCAATACATTTGTGCCATAACTTTGTACCTGAGGGATCTTCGCTGCCCACGTCACCAGCCTCTGTTAACTGCTGGGGTTCTGGATCAGTGACAGAGGTCACAGCAGCCGGGCTCAACATCCATCTGGTGCCCTCTACTGACACTAAAACATCACCATCACTATCAACCTCCAATACCTTTCCAGTGCGACCAAGGATCTACAAATGGATTAATATAGGATATTATCTTGTTTAAAACTGCTTATTGTTTCAACGGTTTGTGGAGGTACACGTATAATTGGCTCCAGAGTTGTGGCGTGTATCGTTTACCCCTCTAGCTTCTTTTAGTTTACATTTCTAACTTCCGCACATGCCCACAGGAGTTTGCGTTTACGTCCAAGTGAAAGCCTAAAATAACAACTAAAGTAAAAAATGAGAAAATATATAAACATTAAAAGAAAATTTAAAAAAAAATGGTATTTCTGACGAATGAGTCTGCGAATAAGGCAGAAATAAATATTTTGTCGGCACGAGATACGACAAGGCCTGGGCCTTAAGCCCGAGCATCATGGCTAATGATACAGTGGTATATAAGGGAAAGTATAGCACGTGGTGTCCATCTAGGCCTCAGAACCAACCGTTCACCTCTGGCTGATGACAAATTTATTTCACTTTGAAAACATATTTTCTTTAGCTGTGAAGCCTCGTAGGATGGGCTGCCAACTGCTCTGAGTTTGGGCCATGGTTCCTACGCAGATTTCCTGTCATGTTTTTTCCCCAAAGGGGATTTTTCTGGCAGGTTTTTTCTGGCCTCTGTATAACCGTAGTTATGTCCTTGTAAGCGGTTGCCCATCTCTGTTAATCCAGACTTGGTGAAGTTTGCATGTTAGTAATGTATACCTTTTTTTTTAAATGTGTAAGGAATTGACTGTATATCAGGATTGTATATGGTATATCAGTTGCGAATATATGTATGTATGCATGCCCCGGGCTATATATGCATTGGGTTGGTTCTCTGCAGGCTTCCCTAAATAAACTTATTTGGTGTACACTACTGTGTTATTTGTTGTGTAGTGGAGACAAAATTTAAACTTACTGATATCATGGACTCGTTCCATCCTCCATGTTCTTTTTGGAGCTCTTTGACTAAGTTCTCGTCACTTTTAACCAAGACTTCATCGCCTTGCTTAAATTTTTGTATCTGGGTAAAAAAAAAACAACATATATATATATATATATATATATATATATATATATATATATATATATATATATATATATATTATATATATATATATTTAACAGTGGAATGTCCTTTAGCTAGCTATTGGAGTGTTTCCTGTCCCACTCCATATCACCTGTTCCTGAGTTAATCGAATAACTATGCTTTAAATTATCATTACTCACAAGGCGTCCATTTTGTGCAGTCAGAAATTTAGCACATTGTGAGTGTTTTAACTTTGGAAAAACCATATAAATTTTGACTTAAGTTACTTATGTAAGATATTTCTTGATCATCTAAGCCACTCCTTTTGATATATTTGATTGCCAATGTTTACGAACATTAAAAAACTCAGGACACCCTCATAACACCGATATAGTTAACTAATTTGAAGTAAGAAGCTCTTTGCGTGACAAATGATTGCGTTAGCATTACCTTTGTCAAAGCTGCTGGATTGTAAGGCCATCTTGTGTCGCGATACTCTACAACAACGTCACCATTGGTAGTGAAATCTTGTACGACTCCAATTTTTGCTATATACTGTGGATACAAGTAAACTGTTTCCTAAATGGGATTTGTTAACGACACATCACTGAATTGGCTTAAATGTGAGAGGATATGCAAGAGACAAAGGACATTTTACACTCATAGGGGAGGGCCAATGTAACCTTATGAGGAATTGAATACTGAGGCTTTCAGGATCTCTGAGCCTCAAATCAGGGTTAAGCATTAAAATGTTTCTGAGTGTTTTAGATAGTGTTATGAGTCCGTGAAAACGAGTCCTAAACGAACCCTTTCCATGTCTGCGTTCCATTCCCCATGACCAGCAGATAACTCCTGAAGCTTTTCTACCGCAAGCTTCTGAAGGTAGACTTTATCACCAGTCGTAAACCCACTTTGGGATTTTCTTATCAGCATTGTAAGCGGTGGTAAGTGATCTCTGTAATAAGATCCTCCAACAGCTGGCGAAGTACACTTGAGGTCAACCTACCAGTTGGGAGGAAATAGAAGTATAGACTAGATATCCTTTGTGTAGGATTTTTTGACTACAAGAAATTGCCAAGGTGACCCAGTTTCAAGTTGTGGTTGAATTAAGTTCTAGAGTTCTTTAACTGCGTAAGGAGATGTTCGAGATGTAAAAAAGGGTTAGGGGTGCCAAAGATGAAACCATTTTCAAGATACAGTTGCGAGAAAGTCAACAGAAACAACTTTAATCAATTGGATCCTTGTTTATAATTAAAATCAAATTGATTTCATTACTAATACTACTACTACTACTACTACTACTAATAATAATAATAATAATAATTATTATTATTATTATTATGAAACCGATAATTATAACAATAAGAATAATTATTATAATGTTACTGATGACAATAATATTAAAGCAATAGTTCATCAGCCCACGGCGTCACCTTTCCATTTGTTCCCAATCTATAAATGTTCCCCTTTGGTCCTTTCTTCCAGTTCACTCGCACAGCATCATTAATAGTCTCGTCACTCCAGCTGGTGACCTCAGTAACCTCGCCTTCCATAGGAGGTTGGTTTTCCAGTTCCTTCCATTCCCAGTCTGGTCCTCTGGTCACTTTTGCTCCCTTAAACATTCCGCGGGCTTCAAGCTTAGTGGCGCCTTGCCTTTTGCCAACGCAGATGCTGTAAATTTGCATCAGATGATGCAATTGAATATATAATTCATTAATACTTTTTAAGAGAATATCAGTTCATAATCTGTTGTTTTCTTCTACTAGTGACAAACATAAAATGTAGCTACGAACAATAAAGTAAACCTAAAAGTATTTAATTGCTCACAAAAGTGTTGTTAAATTGTTAAATCACTATTAAAGTTCAGAGGCTAGACCGCCAGAGGAACCGTAACGTCTTAGAGCTGATCCTTTTCCATTTAAAGTCAATTTTCATTAAAAAAAAAAGGAGCAACAAAAGAGAAAGAAAGCAAACTTAACAGATAATACAATGTTATTGAGTAAGACATTAAAGTTATATATGATCGGGTTCTGACAAAATAACGTTTTGCTTCTTGGCAAAAGATAATGGAGTTAAATTTGATTTAAGACAATGGAACACTTTTGGCATCGATGGGTTTACATGGACGCAAAGGCGGCTGACCTGTTTGTTTGACAACTTACCCTCTAGCGCGACTCTTGTCGAATCGTTCAAAGCGATGATTGACATCATGGACATCGTTCATGTAACACTTGCTACACAGATCATAGCTGGGACAATCTAAACAGTGCCAACGCAGTCCATTGATAGGATCTTCTTTACAACCATCGCAGCTAGTAAATAGATGTTTCGCATCTAATAGAAGAGGCAACCAGAATATGAATTAGAGAGATACCTTACGTTTAGGGGTGAAGTGGTATGCCACTTTAGGAGTGAAGTGGAATCATCACAAATGAAGATGAGAGTAATCTTCGCAGTGATGAACACTACTTAAGTAGCAGTGAAAATATTAATCCGTAGTTTTAATATATGATATTCATACAAGTGGATTCACAAATGTTCTTGGCATCTCATGCAGTTCAGTCCCTAATACACAATATTCTTCTTTGTCTTACTTCGTCGAACAAAGCACGAAGGTTTCCGAAAATAACGGAAATATTCTCTTGGTACACATCCTTCTCTGTCCGACTTCGTTGAACAAAACACATAGATTTCCGAAAATACCGGAAATGTTCCACTGGTTCTCAAAAACAGCCCCATATGTTTTGACGACTAACGGAAATTGCAAAAGATGTTTGGTGGCTACACGAGTTTGTACGATGAATTCTACTAACATGTGTAAAGGACAAGTCGGCCGTAGCTTGGCGTAGCTCGGCATATTATGATATTGAGCTCTTCATTAGTTACCCTCTCAGCTTATGCCATAATGTCACTGAATTCTCCACCCCCTCCCTCCCTTTGAAGAAGGAGGGTGGGGAGGGGGGGAAGCTTGGGAAGCGTTGATTGACATCTCAAAGAATGCGGACTAGACGTTTACTGATCTGTTACAAAACCTTTTCTCTAACGGCAAGAGTGAGACTCGCGCATGAATTGATAATGTTTGAGACTGAGTTGGAAGTGTTGTTGTGAACGCATCGAACGTTAATGGAAGCCTCTTTACATCACTTGTTTTGCTTTCCTGGAATTTTTCGGCCGCCTAAATCAATAACAAGTTAATAGCAAGTTGATAACAAGTTGAAATTCTCGGAAAGCAGGGAAGACTCAATATATCAGGGCCAAGGTCTTTCGAGGTCATTTTTACCACAAACTACTTTCACGTTTAGCTTCAATGACTTGCTGTCTGTCTTAATAATATAGCTCTGGGTTCGTGGCTAGGTGAACGCACCTTTTTGTGATACATTTAGATTCACGCTGTAATATATCCGCTTTCACTTAGGAAGCAAGCTGATAGGTGAGAAATCTGCGTTGTTATGAAGTAATGTTACACATAACAAGTCAAAAAACCGTGATCTGAGAGTTCGAACTGTATGCAAATTAATCTATGTGAAATAAAAAAAAACAAAGCGTGGATCGAAAAGTTTGCCGACCTAAAATTTTGCAAGGGAAGCATTTAATGAGAAAGTATAAAATATGAAACGAGGCTCGCTATTTAAATTTTGATTAAGGTTGTCACGGAATTTCAACTCTAGTTGAATATTGAAATTGAAATTGTCGCATCATTTGCTTTCCTCACAGAAGTACAGCGATTGCGTTTTATCTTTAAGGAATATAACATTCAGCTAGAGTTGTTTGGATAAATCTGGGCAAATATTTCCGTTTAAAGTAAGATAAATAGCAAGAAACTTAAATCGTCACTCACCGCCATTTGTGAGACAAAAAACGCGAAGATCGTGTTTCCCTTGCTTTCCAGCCCTGTAGTCGTGCTTCCCTCCACAATCCCACTGTACGTAAACAAGCTGTGCTGTCGCAGGCGACTTCTTGTCTTTTCCGACTTGAGCTACTGTACCTACAAAACCTTCTCCGCCATCTTGGTTTCCCCATTCCCAATCTTGACCACGAACAACTCGGGTGCCTAAAAGATTCATTGCCATAGCTATACCAGGATTTTCCTTATCATGTTTACATCGACCAGATATGATGGAAGCTTCTCGAAATCTCGTCTTTTCCGATAAATAACGGAGTAGCAAATATATTGCATCAGAAATGTTCCTGTTTGGTGAACCAGTCGTTGGATGATTGCGATTCAGTACTCTTCTGCCGGTCTCACACAATGCTAACAAGTTTCCCTCTCAGTTCTAAAATTAATCGAGATATATCAGTGAGAAAAGCTGCCGATTGAGGCTGTAAAGAAAATGAAATGCTGCACTGACGATAAAATGCTAATATAAGCAACATGCCATTCCTAGAATAATAAAGTAATGACTGCATCTGTCGGGGATTCCCCAACATATCATTCAGGACACATTATTGGTTAACTAAATGTTGCGTTACCTTGATTTCTTGTTATGGTAACTATAGAGAGTCCAAAATAGGATTAGGAATGGACATGAAGAAACAGATAGGGATTGATGAATACATCTTGTGTTGATGACGGTATTTATTTTAAAAGTATTGCTTGGATGTTGGGTATAGTGAAAAACATTATTTTACCTCCACTGCTCTACGACGAATTCAGCGAAGAAATCTACAGATTTTGGAGAGTCGTTTGCTTTACAGTTCCCGGAATTAGAAACCAAAAATAGAAAAGCAAAACATTGCAGAGGAAAAAAAGTGGAAAATGAAAGAGAGCTGTCATAACATCCTGGAAATTGATTGATACATTTGATTGCGGTCCATTCTTTACCTGCTAAACGTGCTTTAAATATATTTTTCTCAACTAGAAGGAAAGTTTTCCTTGTATTTGTAGTCCTTTGTAGAACGGCAAATAAGAATCTCTCAAAGAACGCCGAAGTTTCAGAACGAAGGGTATGTCGCTGTTAACGACCAAAGCTAAATGTTTTAAAAAGTTTTACCGGCCCACGAAATACACGTATCTTTTATTTGGCGCCACCCCAGTCGGATCCTACATCAAACCCCTTTTTGGGACGCTCTAGTTTCGCTTTCAAGGCGACGCTTTTTTCGTTTTTACTTACAAACCACCTGTCATATAAGGCGGAGCTTCCTTGAACTCTATAAAAACTCTTCTTCTACGGCAGGTTTTAAACCAATTAAGACACCAGTAGATGACGTATTTCTGCTCATCTTTATTATTCAATAACAACAATTCTCGAGCAAGGAGCCTCGATACAGTTTATTGGTAATAATAACAATAATACGACTTGATATTTCTTCCGACTTCCTCATACGGAACAGATCCCGGTTTTCCGTTTCTAGAGAAAGACCAGTATTCATCATCCCATTGGAACCATTCCTCCTTCCAGCGCATTCCTTGTACCTACTGACACAGATGAGAGTTCGATTTAAACAACAAATACAGCGTGTCTGTAGGAAGGATGATGTCGTTTTCGGCGTGCCCATCCGTGCGGCAGCAGTACTCGATTAACGTGTTTTTGGTCAACTTTCCATCCGGCATAGCTCCCCTATAATTGTCGTTGTTAACGCCATTTTCATCGTCAGCAAACGAAACCTGTTTGAAACCTGTTGAGAATTTATCATGTTTGTGGTTAAGAATAAAGCAATGAGGGTTACCGAAAAATGAGTCGACCAGAGCACAGTCAAAGATGATAAAGTTATGACGATATTATTATGGCACCTATCGTCAAAACTTTACCGTCTTACATTAAGGACAACCAACACGCACTTTAGATTTTTCGTGACTTTAATTTCCTTGGCCAAAACAACCTTATTTTTATTATGTATATTACACCTCTTCATACTGTCATTCCCAACGACGAAGGACTCCGGGGCCTCAAACATTTTTTTGATTAACGCACTGTTGAGGAAGTTAGCTCTGAAACACTACTCCTTCTAGCCGAACTAGTACTTTCACTAAATTTCTTTTCATTCGATAGCAACTACTATAATCAAACTAATGGCGTAGCCACGAGCACTAAAATGGGATCCAGCTACGCCAATCTTTTGCGAACACCAATTTTTTAAGTCAATACCACGGCCCCAAACCTGAACTCTACGGCCGTTACATTGACGACTGCCTCGGCGCTACCTCCTCTACCTGAGAGGAGCTCAATTAATTTATAACCGCTGTCAATTCCTTTCACCTGGCAATTAAACATACCTGGGAAATTTCCAACACTTCTTTGGCTTTTCTAGGCATCAAAATTTGTATTAAAGGCAACGGTTTATGCACTAGCGTTTACTACAAACCTTCAGACTCACGTAGTTACTTGTTGTATTCATCATCGCCTCCATCACATGTCAAGAATTCCATACCTTTTCCACAGTTTCTCAGACTTCGTCGTTTATGCAGTGACGACTCTGATCTTTCCGAAAAATCAGTGGCAATGTGCCAAATTTTCGCTAAACGTGGCTTTCCTGTTTCTATCTTTTAAGCGGGCCACCACTGTGCTCAACAAATTGATCGACAGTAAGCACTTCAAACAGCTGAGAAGGAAAACGCTGATGGCATTCCATTCACCCTCACATTTCAACCCCAAAACAAACTTTAAATTACTCCAAAACGACTCAGAGACTGGTACAGTCGAACCTCGATTATCCGGACTCGGTGGGACTAGGGTAAATAGTCCGGATAATCGAGAGTCCGGACAATCGAAAATATGAATATCAATGAGACAATTGAGTTATGATCGTCTCGTGTGTTTACATAACCCACGCTCATCGAACTGATCAAGCATAACATTCCCTTAGCAACAAAACAATACTGAACCAATCAAAATTCAGCTGAACGCATTAGAAGGCTTCTTGTCTCTTTTTGTCTCCGAGCGCTCGATCTTTCGGAAGCGGAGCGTGTAATGCGCTGTTTTAAACACAATTTTCCTGACTTTTAACATAATTTCTGAATTTTGTTAACTTCTAAAGTTTTTAACATCTAAGGTCATTAATATTCATGAAAAAAACGGGACCAGAGAAAAAGTCCGGATAATCGAAAAGTCCGGATAATCGATGCCCGGATAATCGAGGTTCGACTGTAATATCTTTTTGCAACCTCCACTAATTTCACACAAAAGTGACAAAGTCATGGGCAACCTCTTAGTCAGAAGTTAATTTCAAACCAATGACCAATCTGGAACTTTCAAATGCGCTCCCTCACGATGCAGAACTTGTCCTTTCATTCATAACGTAGAGAAAATGTCGGAACCCAAGAGATTCATTAAGATCACTGATCATTTTACGTGCACCTCCGCCAATGTAATTTAACGCATAACTTGCATTTTTTGCAAAAAGTCATACATTGGTGAAATAGGAAGACGACTAGGTAAACGATTCCGGAGAACACCTTCGCGACGTAGAAAGAAGTGACAAGGACGTATCCAAACCAGTCGCGAATAGCATATTAGAGTTTGCGGTCTTTCCCTATATCTAGGCAGTTCGGAAAGCCGCAAAAACCTAGAATGAAAATTTACCTTCCAAATCTGCAATCTTAATCTCTACAGTATCAACGAGTGCTTTTCATTCAACTAATTTATTCTTGTTTTCTCGCCACCATTTTACCACCAGTAGCGTAGCTCCATTTTCTGGACATAAACCCACACACAACCCACAATTCCTCCAATCGTTCTGACGAAGGGCTAACGCTCTAAACGTCAGTCTTTAAAATCTTTACGGTGGCTAATTAACGTTTCAACTCAATTGATAACACTAAATTATTCAGTTTGAACTCTTTTGATTCATAAATATATTCCTTCGTTCCCTGGAAAACTTTAAATATTTTGGATCATGAATATTTGGCCTGAATTGACTCGATTTCTTCTCGAGAAGCTCACAAAATGAATCGCTTTTATTCTTATTTCGTTAACCTTTGAAGTAAATCTTAAATACTGCAGAACACGGAAAAAGACTGATTTCACTCAGCAGTGGTTGTTCATCGAACGAGCTTTCGTGGCGTATCGATAGATAGTGTAGATTGTGTACATTGTGTTTAAAAAAAAAAAGCCGCCGTGGCACCACACATAATCAAAATGTTTGTATTTTCATCTCGATGGGCTTCTGGCAAATATGGCAGACACTAAGCTGCTTTACACAAAACTGACATGCGCCGTGACCACAACGGAAAATGATGTCCTTCTTCCTTTCCACACAAATACAACACACAACAGATTCCTCCAATTTCCGCAACTTTGCTTCAAGTTGCTGATATTGCGAGACCAAGGACTTGTTGTTAATTCCAATGATTGGGTTACCATCTGCGAAGAGAGTTGGAGCGAACTGAACTCAATAATATTTTCAGCCAATTTCTCCAAAGACAAACCAAATAACGATAGTATTTTTCCCTTTCTCTCAAAATCTGGATATTTGCGAAAGCTCAGAAAAATCAAAATGAAATAAAAATGAAATTCAACAAACATCAAAAACCGGTTAAGAATCAAAAACCTAAGATTACCCGACATATCATTTGAGGGCCCAGCTGAAAACCGCCCTAGCGAGTTTGGATCCCTCATTGAATACCTTTACTACTGTTATTATTATAATTATTTTCATTGTTATTGTTATTATTATCATCATCATCATTATTATTGTTATCATCAACAGTATCTTTTTAGTAATAATAACTTGTTGCTTTCGGACAATTCAGGGGAAAAGTGAAAGGAATAGCAAGCTTGAATATGAAAATGAAGGTTTAATAATAAAGTTTAAGTAAGACCAGTCTCTCCTCTAAAGGGGGTATTTTTCTAAAGAAACTGTCGTTAGCCCTTCGCTAACGCTGGAAACGTCAGCTTTAAAAATCTTTACGGTGGCCAATTTACGATATCAACTCAAATTACCCCGTCTCTTCTCTGTTAGGAGTAGATATTAAAATTTCAAGCTTTCGCCTATCCACGTCATCATCAAGATGATATGCCGTGAATCGTCAAAAGATTGAAATTTTAGTTTTTGCTACATCGGCCTCACCTCGCCAGCGAAGGACAACATCCAAAGACTAGAAAAATTAAAATTTGTGCAAGTTACCTCTCGTTCCTTTACCAGAAATAGGTGTTTTACATTCCAAACATCTCTTTAATCGGGCTGCACATTCTGCAAACGGATTATTACGTTAATAAATACCAAGATCAAGATGCCTTTTTCAAACTGTGTTAATCTTCTCCACACTTAATCATGGTCGTTCCTCCTTGAATCCTTCTTACCTTTTCGCGATTGTCTTCTCAAGGAAACAGGTATTTCAAAGTCGCTTTCTTTTTCGAGGCAATTTTCTATGAACGACGCTTGAATGATTTCAAACTTGGAGACTATGCTCACTTAAAATTTGAGCGATTAACGCAGAACAAAGAACAACAACTAAAACAAAAAGTAGAGCTACCTATGCATACAACAGTGTGGCCACAGGGTTTGAATGCAACAACAGCCTCAGTCTCCTCACATATGTAACACAGCACTTTTTGATCATCAGAGGTTTGTGATGGTGGGCCCTCACTGTCACCCATTTTGGTGTCGGTGTTATTCTCTGCCATTTCAGCAGGTTGGACAGCACTGTTGTTTGAGATGTCTAGGGCCCAGGTTTCCACTTCAACTTTATTAGTCACTTCCAACACCACATTCTCCTTGTAAACAACAACAAAAAATATCCTCAACTTCTTTGATAAACATGGGTTGAAGAGAGTTTATACCAAAAAGAGAGTCCTAATGGAGAATTTTAGTCAAGTAACGAGCCATTTTTTTTAGAGCAGAGAGATATCTTCGAAAGAGAATTTTGAATGATCAACGCCACTAAAACCACTTACAACCGTACCGTCTAAAATAGAAGACTTCAAATATTTTGACACTATTATGTACAGTATCGGAGAGAACCATCGTCATAATTAATACAGATGAAAAACGTAAACAGAAGGTTTGAAAGCAATAAGTGATTGGGGGCGTCAGACTTCTTATGGTGCTTCCAGAATACACATCTAAGGATGATCCCCGTTGTAATTTCTCTTTACTGGCATGAAATAGTACCACAAGAGTGCTTTTAAAACTTGGCATGAACTTTTCACCTGACACAATGTATCTTCCATCATTATATTTTCCACCAGGGCTGGTTCCTTTGATACACTTTCAGCTGTGACGCCTTCTTGAACATCTTTGCTCTCCATCTCGTCTGACATCTCCTCTGTTAAGTCACTTATTACGCGCTGTAAAAACGTATCTTCTGCCTCATCTGTGTTATTCGTACTGTCTGTTTGATTTTCATCATCTTTTTCAGTTTCGCTTGCCACAGTCGCCGCACTTGCTGAAGATGAAGCATCCTCTGACTCAGTTTTGGTTCGCAACTCGCTCGAGGACCCAAAACTTGGAACTTTCTTATTGCGTGTTGTCCTACAGTTGTTAAGCAAAGTATAATTTTTAGTTAAGTATCATATGTATGAAAGGAATTTCCACGTTGAAACACCCTTCCTTCATTTGAAATCCTTTGGAATAAATTCAGGCAAGAGATACGGGGACTACGCGGAGAATGTTCTTAGTCGTGGCCAGGATAAAAACGTCATCGGAATATAAATGTTTTGGAAGCGAGGTATACAAATATTTAAAAAATACACAAAAGCATTTGAATACCCTCCACCGGCCGCAATCTTCCGAATAAGTTGCTCAACTTCTGATCCTCGACATATGTCTAGCGGTGTTTTCCCTGAGCCATTGACTTTCAACACGTCAGCTCCATAGCTTAACAAGCAGCGTGACATAGCGACAACGGACGCACTGCTATTTCGTACACCAAGTAGTAAATCCAGACCAGGCTGAAATAAAACAGTACTATTCCATGTAGAAGGCCAAAGACACTAACAAAGAACCAACTGATCACCTTTCCCTTTACATCAACTGTTCTTATTGCAAGCAGTGGGAGAACCCTTTTGAGATCGGTGCATTAAAGTGAGATCAAAGCAAACTTAACCGGGCGGACGATTCAAGGCGTGGTAGGTGGTAGAAATTCTTTGCTTATCTACGTTCCTTACTTGGTCGGTTTTACGAAGTCAAGCAGCCACATCGCTTGAAGAAAAAAATTGCAGTGATTTTACTTCACAACAGTATCTGTCCAAAACGATGTGAACAAAACAAAAGCTAACTTTGGAGATGCCTTTAAACATCAGAATGACGACACATGCATAACCATCCAAATCATTTCGTGATCATTCTGTATTACTTAACTTCTCACGCTAAAAGGTAGAAAAAGCTCGACATGTTAAACTTTATGAACTTATTTACCATAAATCCCATATTTCTCTGTAGTGTGTGTTCCTTCATTAAAGCGATATGAAGCGCCGTATCTCCGTCACTATCCACTGCATTCACGTTGGCTCCGTGGTCCAGCAACAGTTCCACCATGACCGAGTGTCCTTTATCGGCAGCTAAATGAAGTGCCGATTGATTTTCAGCAGTTGCAGCATCGACCTCACATCCCGGCTGTTAGATAAAAAAAATTGTCTCCTCATCGTTGATCTACCTTATCAGTAAGCATTTAGATTCATTACTTGAAATATTTTGTAAACTTTTGTAAAAAATGTCGATAACAAGAATAGGCAGTGGCCTGATGGTTAGCAGTCTGGACTTTAGACCCAGGTTGTTTGCCATTGAAATCTGCCTGAGTCACTGTGTTGTCTTCTATAACAGGAAACTTTCATTAGCGCCTCCCTCTGGCCAGGAGAGAACATCTTAACGAAATTTCATGGGATATACAATGATGGAGTTGTATCTCAAACAGAAAAAAACTGTTTTAACAATGCCCGGCAAACAAGGATATCAGGTTGTTGGTATGAACCACTAGGCCAGTGCAAAACTTACACGTAAGCCTTATAGCAATCAATTATTTGCAGTGAACCGCTGACCTTAGGTGTCAACTCTTGTTCCTAGTTTGTACGGAGAGAGAGAATAGGTGTAATAGTAACAATTATTTTGTGGTTATCATCCCAACATGACCACAGGCAAAAAGTCGTACTCCCTATTGGATTGAACACAAGCGACAGTAATTGAAATCTCTTAACGACAATTTAAATCACACAACGAGTCTTGCACGAAAAAAAAAATCGGTGACAAAAATAGATGATATTACCTTCTTTAAGAGGATCTTAGCTATTTCAAGGTGATCACTAATTGCTGCAATATGAAGGGTCGTAAACCCATCATTTTTGACAACATTCAAGGAATTTCCGGTTGTAGCAAAAATTCTTTCCACGGCGCTGCAAATAAATGAGAAAAAGGATTTAGGATACAATGGATGTGAAAGCGATTAACTTAGGTAACAGCACAACAATCATTTTGTAAGTGAGATTTGGTCTGGTTTTCCCCCTCTGACCACTCAGATCGCTCCAATTGCCAACGACCAACGATCTGGAAGAGCATGAACTTCCAGTTGAGCCTGAGTCACATAAGCTTAGCTTTCTTACGACTGCAAGTATGTCCCAGCTGCAGTCGTCTCGAAAATTGTCACGATCAGTTGAAAAGTAGGCTTTTCATGTGGGTACATCATTCAGCGTACCCTTACTCTGATTTAAGCTGTCTAACTGAGTCGTGATGTAATCATTTTTGGCATAGTTACCGTTTATCTCCTTTCAAAACAGCGAGTTGAAGATAATTGAAACCTTTTCCGTTATAAAGAGTGACACAAACTCTTGGGCAGTCCAACAGCATATCCACCATGCTGTGGTGTTGTAGAAGGATGGCATGATGGAGAGGGGCCTCACCTGTCTCGTCCTGAAAATGAGTCAAAGCGTGATATTGGGAGTAACCTGGTACCTTTAGACGAGCAGCTTAGGTAGCAGTATATTTTATCACAAAAACGATAGGATGAATATATATAAAAATTGGATCAAATGTCATAATACTCCATCGCATAGATATTTGAATTTGAGCAAAGCCGAAAAAAATTAGACGTCTTATGCCATTCTACTAACCGATTAGAGATTTTTCAAGTTCATTTAAGACAAAAAAAAACACTCGAACAAGGTTTAAATTTGACTAAGACATGTATCTTATAATATATGCAATGCTTGCTGAGTTTATTGGGACAGTCTAGAATGCATCAGGAATTTGTATTCCCGGGAAAACTGATATCTTCAAAGGACCCACGAACCTTCAGATTGACGTCACACTCGGGGCACTGAGTCAGGATCTGTACTGCCGTTTCGTTTTTCCTTTTCACGGCCAAATGTAAGGGTGTGCTCCTATTACTTCTGTGTTGAACATTTGGATCAAAACCTTTCTCCAGTAACAGTTTCAATGCTTCACCGCTTTCGTCTCTGAATGATCAAGTATTTTAGAAATTCTCCATTAATATAGGGAGTTTCTAATTCTGCTTTCCTGTGTCATAATAAAAAAAACAACAACAACAACAGCAACAACAACAAAAAAATAAGAACCATAACATGCAAATGATAAGCGTTAGGTTGTCATTAAACCAAAGCGAAAGCAATCAGAGCCACTCAGAACAAAGATGATTATCTTGATGGATAAATAAACAATAACAACAACAAACACATGCTATCGAAAACAGTCTGCGCAAAAGTTACTTTCACTGCCGTAGGTGTTATTTTTTTATCGATTGGTTGACAGGGTAGCTGAAGATTTCGAAAGTTATCGCATTGAGAAGGAAAGAAAAACTAAAGCAATCTTAGATTTCTCAGTTTCGCAGATTATTTAACATAACTATCATAATTCGGTCATCTTACTGATAAGTGGAGTGATGCATGGCTGTGTATCCCTGATTATCCTGTATTTTGAGAAAAATTAAAGTGTATGATTAAGAAGGCTACTCATCTGAAACACTATGATATGTAGAATATAATCATGTTAAAATAATGACCTAATCTTGTCAATCATGTGTCTCTTTGTTATCCTCCTCAACCAGCACTAACAATTAAAGTAATTTGAACAAAATAACGGTGATGGTTAAAAGTACTGGACTGAATAAAAACTTTTGTTACTCACCAGTATATCCATGTTAGCTCCTCTCTCAAGCAATTCTTTAATGATGTCACAATGCCCCTGGTGACATGCTACATGGAGAGCTGAGTGACCACCCACTAACTTATCAATCTGTGCAGAACGAAAAGACACAAACATTTAATCAGGTCATATTTTCTTAAACGCTGCCAAATTCAAATTTGATTCTAGAAGTTTAGAAAAAATATCCTTTTAGTTATCACTGTTTAATAAAACCCAAGTTACGCAATTCCCTTCTTATGCTCGTATTTATCATATTGTCTTGATTGTAGAAAACGTTTGTAAATACTATCTGTAAAAGTAAAAGAAATAAAAAAAAAGGTACCCGCTCTGGGTTAGAATCCAAGATTTCCTTGACTCTCGAGAGGTTGTTGTTTTGTGCAGCATTTACTAGGCCGATGTCCGCCTATTAATGAACGAATGAGCATGTCAGACCTCTTATAGCATGGTTGTCACAAAAAGACAACTAGACGTATTAGGATCATCCTCGTTGTAGTTTCCTTACTGATACAAAATGGTACAACTACAGTGCTGTAGAACTCCTTTTGAGCTTTTAACGCAACACAATGTGTTTTCCTCTGGACCGTATATTTTCCTTAAGGGCTTTTCCCTGTGATACACCTTCAGCTGTTACGCCTACCCTAATATCTTCTTGATCTCCTCTGCACAAGTCCCTTATTACGCCTCTTAAAAACGTATCTTCTGCCTCATCTGTGCTACCCATTCTATCTGTTTGATTTTTATCTTCATTTTCAGTTTCCTCTGTCAGTGTCGCCGCACTTGCTGAAAATGAAGGATCGCTTAATTCAGGTTTGGTCTGCGACCCGCTCGAGGACCCAAAACTTGGAACTTTCTTGTTGTCTGTAGTCCTACAGTTGATAAGCAAAGTATCATTTTATTTAGATATCATGTAAAAGCAATTCCTACATGCACTAAACAGGCCCTAATTCAGAGGGCATCCTTCGGACTGGATATTTGAGTGTCCCTTTATAAGTAATGTGCCTTCGATTCAGACAAGAGATACAAAGACCACGCGGGGAATCTGTTTGCCGTGATCAATAATTTTGTGTTACCAGAATAAAAATTTCCTCCGAATGTAGGTGTTTTGGAAGCGAGAATCCGCTCTACTTTAACATAGAAAGGTGTACAGGTATCAAAAAATACACAGAAGCATTTGGATACCCTCCACCGGCTGCAATCTTCCGAATGAGTTGCTCAACTTCTGATCCTCGACATCTGTCCAGCGGTGTTTCCCCAGAGCCATTGACTTTCAACACGTCAGCTCCATAGCTTAACAAGCAGCGTGAGACTGCGACAAAGGACGCACTGCTCTTTCGTTCACCAAGTAGTAACTCTAGCCCCGGCTAAAATAAAACAACGCTATTTCGTGTAGAAGGCCAAAGACACTAACAAGGCACCAACTGATTACCTTTACATCAGTTGTGCTTATTGCAGGCAGTGTGAGAACCTATTTGAGATCATTATACTACATGGAGGTCATAGCAAAGTTAAGTGGGAGGACGATTCTCAAAGGGTGTGGTTGATGGTAGAAATTATTTGTCTATCTACTACGTTCCTCTTTTAATTGGGTTGACGAAATAAGACGGCAGCATCGCTTGAGGAAAGAAAATAACACTAACTTTACTTCCCAACAATATCATTGTCTATGGATGTGGACAACACCTGAGTTATTATTGGAGTTAGCTTTAAACGTCCTGGTAAAAGCAAGGACATATGCATAACCATCCATGTTATGATTATTTTACATTGCTAATCCTCTCACACTGGAGGGGAGAAAAAGGGAGATAAAATATACAATGTCTCCTTCGACATCTTGTTGGCCTGTTCCAAGCGTTCATTTGGTAAAACAGAGCATAATGGCCTAAAGTGTCTTTTTAGCGGAGGAGTGAACTGGCTAAGGTATACGTGACCTGACCCCTTCACTCCTCCGCGACTACAGCGCTGTTTACTATGGAGCTTCATTTTACAGACTGAACGCCATGAACAGACTCACAGCACGGTATTTTATGAAACTACTTATTTACCATTTCTGCCGGATTTCTCTTTAGTACGTGTTCCTTCATTAAAGTGATATGAAGCGCCGTATCTCCGTCATCATCCACCGCATTCACATTAGCTCCATGATCCAACAACATCCCTGCCATGACTGAGTGCCCTTTACTGGCGGCTAAATGAAGTGCCGAATGATTGTGAGAGGTTAGAGCATCGACCTCACACCCCGGCTGTTTGATAAAAAATATCCTTTTATTATCGAGTTATCTTTATCGGCAAGAATTCAGATTCATTATTCAAAAGCTTTTGTAAACTTTTGTGGAAGTTGTCGATAACAAGAATACGCAGTGGTCTGACGGTTAGCAACGGTTAGCAGTGTAGACTCCAGACCCGGGTTGTTTACCACAAGGATCTGCCTGGGTCACTTTGTTATGTTCTATGGCAGGAAACTGTCGATAGCCCCTTTCTCTGCCCAGAAAAGGACATCCCGACTGAAAGTCATAGGATATACAATGATGGAGTAGCATCTCAAACAGGAAACATTGGTGATGAAATGTGCGGGAAACAAGGATATCGGTGTGTTGGTATGGACCACTTCTCCAGTCTAAAAACCTATACATAAGTCTTGTAGCAATCAATTGTTTGCAGTGAACTGACCGTTATTGTAAAAGGCGGCGTTATGTTTTCCTAGTTTTTCCAATGGGACGTAACAGTAGTGTTCAATATCCCAGCTAACCGCATGCAAAAAGTCATATTCCGTTCAGAGATTGAACACATACGACATTCTTTCAAATCTGTTAAAGCGGTTTAACCATACACAAGCAGTCTTGCACGCGAATAGAAATTGAGATTAAAAAAAAACCGGAGAGAAGTGGGTAATATTTTTTCTATAAAATTACCTTCTTTAAAAGGATCTTAGCTATCTCACGATGATCATTAATTGCTGCAATATGAAGGGTCGTGAACCCATCATTTTTGACAACATTCAAGGAATTCCCAGTTTTGGCAAAAACTCTTTCCACGGCGCTGTGAATAAATAACACAACAGATTTATGTTATACTGAATGTCAAAGCGAATATAGGTGACAAAATTTAAGAAATCTTGTAACTGGGATTTATTCTAGTTTCCTCCTGGTCACTCATAGCCCCAATTGTCCAAATTACATGAACACCAGGCCAAGTGATGACCAACGACCCTAACGATCAGGAAGATCATGAACTTCATGTTCGACCTTAGTTTGCATATAAGTCTAGATTCCCTATGACCACAAGTATGACTCAGATGTCTCAAAAACTGCGACGATTAGTTGACAACTATGCCTTAGATTTGGGTATTAAGCTATTGTACCTTTACTCTGATTAAGCTGTCTAACTGAGTAGTGCTGTAATTATTTTTGGCATAGTTACCGTTTATCTCCTTTCAAAACAGCGTGTTGAAGATAATTGAAACCTTTTCCGTTACAAAGAGTGTAACAAATTCTTGGACACTCTAACAGCATATCCACCATGCTGTGGTGTTCTGCAAGGATGGCATCATGGAGAGGGGTATCACCTGCCTCGTCCTGAAAATGGTCAAGCGTAATGTCAGGAGTCACGTGGTGCCTTTCGACTTTGTTTTATCGACTGGCAGCTTCGGTAGCAGTGTAGTTGAGCTCGAAAACGGTGGAATGAAAACATCAAGAATGGGTGCAAACGTCAAATGGTCCAGTGCCGCAGCCAAAACAGTTGAGTCTTAAGACTTTCCAACGGCAGGACATAGACTTTTCATGTACGTTTAAAATAAACAAAGGGCAATGTAGTTTTAGATTTTACAACGAAATGCGTCTTAATAATATGTGCAATGTTTGCTGAAATGGTCAAACAGTCGAGAAAACATTAGGAATTTGTATTCTCAGGAGAACTGGTATCTTCAAAGGAACCAACGAACCTGTAGATTGACGTCACACTCAGGGCACTTTGTCAGGATCTGTACTGCCGTTTCGTTTTTCCTTTTCACAGCCAAATGTAAGGGTGTGCTCTTATTACTTCTGTGTTGAACATTTGGGTCAAAACCTCTCTCCAGTAACAGTTTCAGTGCTTCACCGCTTTCGTCTCTGAATGATGACGAGGATATAAGTTCGACAAAACATCGGGCATTTATGCATTTTAGTTTAACTTAAGAAGTTACTTATTCTGCTTTCCTAACAATATTTGCGTGACTGTTATAAAGGAAGAAATATATTAACAATGACATGCAGATGTTTTGTGTTGGCTCCTGCAAGAGTCGTAAAAACAAAAGCTAAGCAATCAGAGCCAGTCAGAACATGTAATAATATCTTAGCGGATGAATGAACATGGAGAACAATCACATGCTGTCGAATTTAAGCACAACAAGAGTTACTTCGTTTTCAGTGGTTTTCGTTCTTTGTTTTTCTATTCAATTGGAGAGGATGGCTAAAGTATTCGAAAGCAATCGTTTGGCGAAGGAAAGCAAAATTAAAGTAATCTCTGAATCGAATTATAATTTTGACAAGCTTTTATATGTCAACTTACTGATAAGTAGAGTGATGCATGGCTGTGTATCCCTGATTATCCTGTGTTATGAGTAAATAAAAGTGTATGAAAAAGGAGGTTCTACTCCTCAAACACTAAGATAAATAGAATACGAGGCTGTCAAATAACAACCTAAGCTCGTCGATCATGTGTCTCTTTGTTATCCTTCTCGAGCAGCACTAACAATTACAATCATTTGAATGGGGTAAAAAATAACCGTGATGTTTAAAAGCACTGTATTGAATATAAACTCTTGTTACCCACCAGTATATCCATGTTAGCTCCTCTCTCAAGCAATTCTCCAATGATGTCACAATGCCCCTGGCGACATGCTACATGGAGAGCTGTGTGACCACCCACTAGCTTATCAATCTGTGCAGAACAAAAAACACAAACCCTTTATCATATCAATTCTTTTTAAACGCCACCAAGTACAAATTTGATTCTAGAAGTCTTAAAAAATATACCTTTAGTTATCACTGTTTACTGACCCTAAGTTACGCAGTTCTCTTCTTACGCTCGTATTTATCATATTACCTTAGTTTAAGAAATTTTTTCAGCCTTGCAAATACTATCCGCAAAAGTAAAAGGAATGAAAGAAAAAAGGTACCCATTCTGGTTTAGCATCCAAGATTTCCTTGACTCTTGAGAGGTTGTTACTTCTCGCAGCATTCACGAGGTCGATGTCCGCCTATTAATGAACGAATGTGTGCGTCAGACCTGTTAAAGTGTGGTTGTTACAGAGAGACAACTAAACGTAGTAGGATCGTCCTCGTTGCAGTTTTTTCAATACTGATACAAAATGGCACAGCTACAGTGCTTTAGAACTCCTTTTGAACTTTTAACGCGACATAATGTGTTTTCCTCTAGAACGTATATTTTTTACAAAGGCTTTTTCCTGTGATACACCTTCATTTGTTTCGCTTACCCTAATGTCTTCTCGATCTCCTCTGCACAAGTCCTTTATTACGTCCCTTAAAAACGCATCTTCTGCCTCATCTGTGCTACCAATTTTATCTGTTTGAATTCCATCATCTTTTTCAGTCTCATCTGTCTGTGTCACCGCACTTGCTGAAGATGAAGCATCGCCTAACTCGGGTTCGGTTTGCGACCCGCTCGAGGACCCAAAACTTGGAACTTTCTTGTTGTTTGTAGCTCTACAGTTGATAAACAAAGATTCATTTTACTTGGACATCATGTAAAAGCAATTTCCACATGCACTAAAAAGGCCCTAATTCAGGTGGTATTCTTCGGACTGAATATTTGAATGTCCCCCTATTAGTAATGTGCCTTCGATTCAGGCAAGAGATACCAAGACCACGCGGGGAATCTGTTTGGCGTGATCAAAAATGTTGTGTTGCCAGGATAAAATTTCATCCGAATGTAGGTGTTTTGGAAGCGAGAATCCGCTCTACTTTAACATAGAAAGGTGTACAGGTATCACAAAAGCATTTGAATACCCTCCACAGGCTGCAATCTTCCGAATGAGTTGCTCAACTTCTGATCCTCGACATCTGTCCAGCGGTGTTTCCCCAGAGCCATTGACTTTCAACACGTCAGCTCCATAGCTTAACAAGCAGCGTGAAACAGCAACAAAGGGCGCACTGCTCTTTCGTACACCAAGTAGTAACTCCAGACCAGGCTAAAATAAAACAAATCTATTTCTTGTTGGCCTGTTTCAAGTGTTCAGTTAGTAAAACAGAGCGTAGTGGCCAAAGGCGTCATAGTAGCGGAAGGGTGAAATAGCCATGGTATACGTGACCTGACCCCTTCACCCCTCCGCGACTACAGCGCTGTTTACTATCGAGCTTATTTTACTGATTAAACGCCATGAACAGGCTCATAGCACGGTATTTTATGACGCTACTTATTTACCATTACTTCCGGATTTCTCTTAAAAACGTGTTCCTTCATTAAAGTGATGTGAAGCGCTGTATCTCCGTCATCATCCACCGCATTCACACTGGCTCCATGGTCCAACAATATCCCTACCATGACTGAGTACCCTTCATTGGCGGCTAAATGAAGAGCCGATTGATTTTTAGCGGTCAGAGCATCGACCTCACACCCCGGCTGTTAGAGAAAAAAATATACTCTCACTATCAAAATATCTTTATCGGATTGAATTATCAGATTCAGATTCATTGTTCGAAAGTTTTTATAAACTTTTGGTGAGGTTGTCAATAAAAAGAATACGCAATGGTCTGACGGTTCGCAACGTAGACTCCAGACCCGGGTTGTTTACCAATAGGATCTGCTTTGGTCACTATGTTATGTTCTATTGCAGGAAACTTTCGTTAGCCCTTTCCCTGCCCAGGAGAGGACATCCTGACGGAATTTCATGGGATATACAATGATGGAGTAGCATCTCACTCACAGAAGGGTTGTTTAACAACGTACGAGAAACAAGGATATCGGTTCGTTGGTATGGAGCACCTGTCCAGAGTAAATTAAACCTCTACGTAAGCCTTGTAGCAATCAATTATTTGCAGTGAACTGATCGTTATAGTAAATGACAGCGTTTTGTTTTGGAGAATAGTAGTGTTGAATATCCCAGCTAACCACACGCAGAAAGTCATATTCCATTTCAAGATTAAACACATACGACATTCTTTCAAATCTGTCAAGCGGTTAAATTAACCACAAAGGGAGTCTTGCACACGAAAAAAAAAAGATAATTAAACGGGGAAAAGTCGTTAAAATAATTTTTCTATAAAATTACCTTCTTTAAAAGGATGTTAGCTATCTCACGATGATCATTAATTGCTGCAATATGAAGGGTCGTAAACCCATCATTTTTAACAACATTCAAAGAATTCCCGGTTTTGGCAAAAACTTTTTCCACGGCGCTGTGAATAAATGACACAGTAGAATTATGTTGTACTGAATGTCAAAGCGAATGTTGGTAACAGCATTAAAGTAATTTTGTAACTAATGTTTGGTCTCGTTTCTTCTTGATCACTCATCACCCCAATTGTCCAAATTACATGAAAACCAGCCCAAGTGATGACCAACGACCCTAGCAATCAGGAAGATCATGAGCTTCATGTTCGACCTTGGTTTGCGTATAAGCCCAGGTGTCTCAAAAACTGCGACGATTAGTTGAAAACTATGCCTTGGGTCTGGGTACTGTTGATCCATCCGATGCCAAGGATCTGAAAAGCTATAGTACCCTTACTCTGATTAAGCTGTCTAACTCAGTAGTGATGTAATTATTTTTGGCATAGTTACCGTTTATCTCCTTTCAAAACAGCGTGTTGAAGATAATTGAAACCTTTTCCGTTACAAAGAGTGTAACAAATTCTTGGACACTCTAACAGCATATCCACCATGCTGTGGTGTTTTGCTCGGATGGCATCATGGAGAGGGGTATCACCTGCCTCGTCCTGAAAATGGTCAAGCGTAATGTCAGGAGTCACGTGGTGCCTTTCGACTTTGTTTATTTACTGGCAGCTTGGGTAGCAGTGTATTTGAGCACCAAAATGTTGGGATGAAAACATCAAGAATGGGTGCAAACGTCAAATGGTCCAGTGCCGCAGCCAAAACAGTTGAGTCTTAAGACTTTCCAACGGCAGGTCATAGACTTTTCATGTATCGTTTAAAAATAAGTAAAGAGCTATGTAGTTTTAGATTTTACAACGAAATGCGTCTTAATAATATGTGCAATGTTTGCTGAAATGGTCAAACAGTCGAGAAAACATTAGAAATTTGTATTCTCAGGAGAACTGGTATCTTCAAAGAAACCAACGAACCTGTAGATTGACGTCACACTCGGGGCACTGTGTCAGGATCTGTACTGCCGTTTCGTTTTTCCTTTTCACAGCCAAATGTAAGGGTGTGCTCTTATTACTTCTGTGTTGAACGTTTGGGTCAAAGCCTTTCTCCAGTAACAGTTTCAATGCTTCACCGCTTTCGTCTCTGAATGATCACGAGGATATAAGTTCAACAAAACATTGGGCATTTTTGCATTTCACTTTAACTTAAGAGGTTACTTATGCTGCTTTCCTAGGAATATTCACGTGACTGTCATAAAGGAAGAAATATATGAACAATAACATGCAGATGTTTTGCATTGGCTCCTGCAAGAGTCATAAAAAAAAAGCTAAGCAAGTCTAGACATGCAAAAATAACTTAGCGGATGAATGAACACGAAGAACAATCACATGCTGTCGAATTCAAGCATACCAAAAGTTATTCAGTGGTTTTAGTTCTTGGTTTTTTATTATTATTCAATTGACTGAGAGGATAGCTCAAGTTTGCGAAAACAATCGTTTGGCGAAGGAAAGCAAAACAAAAGCTCTGAATCGAATTATAAGTTTGACCAGCTTACTTAAAATTACTCAACTTACTGGTAAGTAGAGTGATGCATGGCTGTGTATCCCTGATTATCCTGTATTTTAAGTACATAAAAGTGTATGAATAAGTAGGTTCCTCTCCTGAACACTTAGTATGTCAAAATAATGATTTAAGCTTGTCGATCATGCGACGACAACGACGATGGTTGGTTGGTTGATGGTTTTCCTCCTCGTGTAGCACTAGCAGTTACAGTAATTTGAACGGAGCAAAAAATAACAGTAATCATAAGACAAAAATTAAAAAAAATTATTACCCACCAGTATGTCCATGTTGGCTCCTCTCTCAACCAATTCTCTGATGATTTCACAATGCCCCTGGTGACATGCAACATGAAGAGCAGTGTGACCACCCTCCAGCTCGTCAATCTGTGTAGAACAAAAAGATACAAAGCCTTGATCATTTCAAATTTCTAAAACGCTACCAAAATCAAATTTGATTCTAAATCGTGAACTGATATTACATTGATAAATTTTATCGTTTTCGGTATCTTTGTTTACTAAAACCTAAATTACACAGTTATCATCTTATGTTTGTATTTATCGTATTGCCTTGATTTCAGAAGTTTTTCAGACTTGCAAATGCCATCTGCAAAAGTAAAGAATGAAAGAAAAAAGGTACCCGTTCTGGGTTAGCATCCAAGATCTCAATGAGTCTTGAGAGGCGGTTGCTTTGCGCAGCATTCACAAGGCCGTGAGCCTCCTGTTCATGAGCTTGACGTAGTAAGTCTCTAAAGAGACTGAAAAGCCCTGGAGAAAAACATACAACAGTAGTGGTGAAGAAAACTACACTTATGATCTGTACTTTAAAGGAATTTGTCTTCTTGTTTCTCAGGGCAGTTTTCGATTGAGTGACATAGATGACATTGAATTGTTTATCTCGCTTTGGGAATGGTCGAGAAAACTCGTGCTTTCATCTTAGCCAATCAGATGCATAGCTCAAATCACTCACGTCCTAGTCACTGACATTTTCATGCGCTTCAAAGGTTTTACTCTTCTAGATTGGCCATTTTTACTAACGCTCTCAATACGATTGTACCCTAACTCTGTACCTAAGGGATCTTCGCTGCCCATGTCACAAGCCTCTGTTGACTGCTGGAGGTCTGGGTCAGTGACAGAAGTCACAGCAGCTGGGCTCAACATCCATCTGGTGCCTTCTACTGACACTAAAATATCACCATCATTATCAACTTCCAACACCTTTCCAGTACGACCAAGGATCTACAAATAGAATAAGATAAGATATTATCTTGTTTAAAACTGTTTATTCTCCAATAGCTTTTTGAAATACATATATAATTGGCTCCAGATTAGTGGCGTGTATTGTTTACTTTTTTAGCTTCCGCACATGCACACAGGAGTTTGCGAAGAAGAAAATTTAAAAAAAATAAAACTTACTGATATCATAGACTCGTTCCATCCTCCATGTTCGTTTTGGAGCTCTTTGACAAAGTTCTCATCACTTTTAACTACGACTTCATCGCCTTGCTTAAATTTTTGAATCTGGGTAAAGAAAAATTATATATATATATAAAGTGATACGACACTGGAATGTCCTTTAGCTAGCTCTTGGAGTGTTTCCTGTCCCACTCCATGTCACTAATTCCTGTTGGCCAGTTAATCGAATGGCGATGCTTTAAATTATCAGTAATCACATGGCGTTTATTGTGTGCCGTCAGAAATTTAACACATTGTCACTGTTTTAACTTTGAACGAACCATATAAATTTTGACATAAGTAACTTCTGTAGGATATTTCTTGATCATCCAAGATCCAAGCCACTCGTTCTAACATACCTGATGCCAATGTTTATGACAGTCAAAGAAAAAATTAGGGCTACTTCATAACACAAATATAGTTAAGTCATTTGAAGAAGCTCTTGGCGAGACAAATGATTGCGTTAGCATTACCTTTGACAAAACTGCTGGATTGTAACGCCATCTTATGTCGCGATACTCTACAACAACGTCACCATTGGGTGTGAAATCCTGCACGACTCCAATTTTTCCAATATACTGTGGATATAAGTGAATTGTTTCTGAAGTGCGAGTTGTCAACGACATTTCACTGAATTGGTTTAAATCTAAGAGGATATGCACTAGACTAAGAATATTGTACACTTATTGGGAATTGAATACTGAGACTTTCAGGGCCTCAAATTAGGGTTAGACACTAAATGTTTTTAAAAGTTTTAGATAGTGTTATGAGTCCGTGAAAGCAAGTCCCAAACGAACCCTTTCCATGTCTGCGTTCCATTCCCCATGACCAGCGGATAACTCCTGAAGCTTTCCTATCGCAAGCTTCTGAAGGTAGACTTTGTCACCACTCATAAACCCACTTTTGGATTTTCTTATCTGCATTGTGAGCGGTGGTAAATGATCTTTGTAATAATATCCTCCAACAGCTGGCGAAGTGCACTTGAGGTCAACCTACCAGTTCGAAGGAAATAGAAGTAAAGACTAGGTATCCAATGTGTGGGATTTTTTTGACTGCAAGAGTTTTTCAAAGTGACCTAGTCTCAAGTTGTGGTTGAATTAAGCTCTAGAGTGCTTGAAATGGCGTAAGGAGATGTTCGAGATGTAAAATAGGGTCTGGAGTGCCAAAGATGAAATCATTCTCAAGATATAGTACTGAGAAAGTCAACAGGAACAACTTTAATCAATTGGATCCCTGTTTATGATTAAAAAAAATTATTTCACAACTACTACTGCTACTATTAACTATTATTAATATCATTGTAAAACTGATGATAATAATAATAATAATTATAATGTTACTGATGACAATAATAATAAAGCAATAATTCATTAGCCCACGTCACCTTTCCATTTGTTCCCAATCTATAAATGTCCTCCTTCGGTCCTTTGTTCCAGTTCACTCGCACAGCATCATTATTAGTCTCGTCACTCCAGCTGGTGACCTCAGTAACCTCGCCTTCCATAGGAGATTGGTTATCCTGTTCCTTCCATTCCCAATCTGGTCCTCTGGTTACTTTTGCTCCCTTAAACATTCCGCGGGCTTCAATCTTAGTGGCGCCTTGCCTTTTGCCAACGGGGATGCTGTAAATTTGCATGACCCAATTAAATATATAATTCATTAATACTATTCAAGAGAATATCAGTCGATATTCTGTTGTTTTCTTCCACTAGTGACAAATATAAAATGTATCTACGAACAATAAAATAAACCTAGAAGTATTTAGTTGCTGACAAAAATGTTAAATCCCTATTAGAGTCTAGAGGCTGGACCGCTACAGGAACCGTGACGTCTTGAAGCTGATCCTTTTTCATTTGAAGTCAATTTTCATTAAAAAGAAAAGAACGACAAGAGAGGAAGAAACCAAACTTAATAGATAATGCAATGTTATTGAGTAAGACGTATTAGTTCTGATGGCAAATAACGTTTTACTTCTTTGGCAAAAGATATTGAAGTTAAATTTGATTTAAGACAATGGAACATTTTTGACATCGATGGGTTTACGTGGACGCAGAGGCCGCTGACCTGTTTCTTTGACAACTTACCCTTTGGCGCGACTCTTGTCGAATCTTTCAAAGCGATGATTGACATCATGGACATCGTTCATGTAACACTTGCTACACAGATCATAGTTGGGACAATCTAAACAGTGCCAGCGCAGTCCAATGATGGGATCTTCTTTACAACCATCGCAGCTAATAAATAGATGTTTCGCGTCTAATAGAAGAGGTAACCAGAATATGAAATAGAGAGATACCTTACGTTTAGGAGTGAAGAGTTATGCCTCGACATCACAAATGAAGATGAGAGTAATCTTCGCAGCGATTATCGCTACTTAAGCAGCAGTGAAAAGAGGGGCTGGAAAAAATTTAGCTCTGTGCGGGAGTTGAATCCATGACCTACAGGTTTGAATGTTTCCCAGTCTTTATTCTCACTGCTGCCTAAGAAGTGTTCACAACTACGATCATCACTTTTTTCTTCATTTATTAATCTGTGGTTTAAATATATGATATTCATAGATTCACAGTTGTTCTTGGCACCACATGCAGTTTAGTCCCTGATACACAATATCCTTCTCTGTCTGACTTCGTTGAATAAAACAAAAATATTTCCGAAAATAACGGAAATGTTCCACTGGTACACATCCTTCTATGTCTGACTTAGCTAAACAAAAGACTAAGATTTCCGAAAATGCCGGAAATGTTCCACTGGTTTTCAAAAACAGCCCCATATGTTCTGACGACTAACAGAAATTGCAAAAGATGTTTGGTGGCTACACGAGTTTGTACGATGAATTCTACTAACATGATGTGTAAAGGACAAGTTGGCCCGTAGCTTTGCAGAGTTTGCACATGAGCATATTATGATATGGAGCTGTTTATTAGTCTCCCTCCTAGTTTTTTTGATAACGTCACTGGATTCTCTACCTCCTACATCTTTCTTTTTCAGAGGAGGGGGAGGGGAGCTTGGGAAGCGTTGATTGACATCTCAAAGAATGCAGACTAGACGTTTACTGATCTATGTTACAAAACCTTTTTTCTAACGGCAAGAGAGAGACTCGCGCATGAACCGATAATGTTTGAGACTGAGCCGGAAGTGTTGTTGTGAACGCATCAAATGTAAAGGGAAACCTTTTTACATTTTTTGTTTTTCTCTCCTGGGGTTGTTAAGCCGCCTAAATCAATAATAAGTTGATAATAAGTTGATAATAGGTTGAAATTCTCGGAAAACAAGGAAGACTTAATATATCAGAACGAAGGTCTTTCGAGGTCATTTTACAACAAAATTTTTCAATAACTTGCTGTCTGACTTGAAAATATAGCTCTTGGTTTGTGGGAAACTGAACGCACTTTTTGGGATGCAACAGATTCACGCTGTAACATATCCACTTTCACTTAGTGAGCAAGCTGATAAATGAAAAATCTGCATATTATGAAGTAATGGTACACATCGCAAGTCATATGAAAAACCGTGTGTAGTTATAAAAGACATAGTGTCCATCGAAAAGTTTGACGACCTAAAATTTTGCAAGGGAAGCTTTTAATAAGAAGGTATAAAAATTTGAAACGAGGATCGTTGTTTTCATTTTGGTTAGGATTGTCACGGACTTCAACTCCAGTTGAAAATCCAATGATTTATCCGTGTCAGTTGTCAGTCCGCATGGTTTCTAAACCTCGTGTTAATGTGTTTAAATCGATTTAATTGAAATTTTTGCATCATTCGCTTGCCTAACAAAAGTGCTGAGATTGCATTTTATCCTCTTTAAGGAATATAATATTCAGCTAGAGTTGTTTGGATGAGTCTGGGCAGGTATTTCCGTTTAAATTAAGATAAATAGCAAGAAACTTAAATCGTCACTCACCGCCATTTGTGAGACTAAAAACTCGAAGATCGTGTTTCCTTTCGATTCCAGCCCTGTAGTCGTGCTTCCCTCCACAATCCCACTGTACGTAAACAAGCTGTGCTGTCACAGGCGACTTCTTGTCTTTTCCGACTTGAACTACTGTACCTACAGAACCTTCTCCGCCATCTTGGTTTCCCCATGTCCAATCTTGACCACGAACAACTCGGGTGCCTAGAAGATTTGTTGCCATAGTTATACCAGGATTTTCCTTATCACGTTTATACCGACTAGATCTGATGGAAGCTTCTCGAGATCTCGTCTTTTCTTAAACAACGGAAAAGCATATATTATCCATCAGAAATATTCCTGTCTGGTGAGCCAGTCGATGGATGACTGCGATTCAATACTCTTCTGCCTGTTTTACACAAAGCTAACAAGTTCCCTTCTCAATTCTAAAATTACTCAAGATGTATCGGTGAGAACAGTTGCCGATTGGGGCTGCAAAGAAAATGCTTCGTTGGCGATAGAATGCTAATATACACAGCATATTTTTCCTAGAATTCGCAATTCATAACCGCATTTGTCGGGGATTCCCCAATACATCATTCAGGACACATTATTGGTTAACTAAAAGTTGCGTTACCTAATATTTCATGTTATGGTAATTTCTGAGAATCCAAGTGAGGATTAGGAGTGGACATGAAGAAACAGATAGAGATTGATGAATACAATTTGTGTTGATGACGATATTTATTTAAAGAGCATTGCGTGAATGTTGGGTATGGTGAAAAACATTTTACTTCCGCTGCTTTAAGACGAATTCAGCGAAGAAATCTACAGAGTAAGGAGAGTCGTTTGCTTTACAGTTCCCAGAATAATAAACCAAAAATAAAAAAGCAAAACACTGAAGAGGAATAAAGGAGGAAAATAATAGAGATCTGTCATAAAATCCTGAAAACTGGTTGATGCATTTGATTGAGGCCCATTTTGTACCTGCTAAACCTGCTTTTATTCTATTTTACGTAACTAGAAGAACATTTTCCATTGTATTTGTGGTCCCTTGCTCAACGACCTATCAGGATCTCTCAAAGAGCGCCGAAGTTTCAAAACGAAGGGTATGTCGTTATTAACGACCAAAGCTGGGTGTTTCACAAAGTTTTACCAGCCCACAAAACACATGTTTGTTTTATCTGGCGCCAGCCCCGTCGGATCCTACATTAAACCCTTTTTTGAGACGCTCTAGTTTCGCTTTCAAGGTGACGCTTTTTTCGTTAATACTTACAAACCACCTGTCATATAAGGCGGAGCTTCATTGAACTCTTTAAAAACTATTTTTCTACGCCAGGTTTTAAACCAATTAATACACCAATAAATAACCGTACTTCTGCTGATCTTTATTATTCATTAATAACAATTCTCGAGTAAGTAGCCTCGATTCAGTTTACCGGTAATAATAACAATAATACAACTTAATATTTCTTCCGACCTCCCCATACGGAACAGATCCCATTTTTTCGTTTCCAGAGAAAGACCAGTCCTCGGTATCCCAATGGAACCATTCTTCCTTCCAGCGCATTCCTTGTACATGCTGACACTGATGAGAGTTCGATTTGAACAACACGAACGGCGTGTCTGTGGGCAGGATGATTTCGTTTTCGGCGTGCCCATCCGTGCGGCAGCAGTACTCAATTAGCGTGTTTTTGGTAAACTTTCCATCCGGCATAGCTCCCCTATAATTGTTGTTGTTATCGCTATTTTCATCGTCCCAGCGAATGAAACCTGTTTTGAAACCTGTCGAAAACAGCAATTCATCATCTTCGTAATTAGGAGATGAATGAAAAATGGGGGTTACAGAAAAGTGAGTGGAGCAGAGCACAGACGAAAAGTATGTAATAGTTGAAAAGAGATATGAGTGAAGGATAACCCTCTTGTTGTAGATTTGGTTTAGCGGTGAAATCATTATCAAAACCTTATTTTCTTTAATAAGCTCAACTTTTTAGATTCATAGCTATGGAAAAGACTGAGGGTAGAAAACCTGACTACGAGTTCTATCATCATACGCCCTTTCACGACCCCATATCTCTCTTAGCAGGCTCAGATATAGATAAAACTTTATTTTATCTTTATGGCAATGGCGCGTTGTCAAGAGGTCTCTGCTTCAGAAAGATTCAACGTCGTATGAATATCTGCTTTTTTAATTACAAGAATGGCCAAGTATTATAGACGTTATTCGACTCATTATTATTATCTTTACGAAAACAAACCTTCGGGACAGTCTCCTTTCTTGAAGAGACAATATTGTCCTGGTGACCAAGTAAGGTCATATTTTGTGCCTTGATCCTTGGTTTTGATACAAAAGGCCTGCTGATTTGTCCAAATACTTTTTTTTCCCGCCAAGTGGTAGGGATAAGACCAGCTGTTACCGATCTCGTTTTCATGATAACGATACCCATGATGCCATGTAAAACCAGCTGCTTTAGGACAGCCGTGGGTGGTCATGGGAAGGCCATATGTTCCCTGGGGCCAGGTAAGCGGTATAACTACAGGTGGATCTATGAGAGGGAGGAAAAAGAAAAGGAAATGAAAGGGAAGGGAAGAACGACGAGAAAGAAATCAGAAGGGCATATAAAAAAATTTTTTAAATGACTTCAGAAGGCATCCAAACGCATTACTATTATGTCATCATTTCCGGCACGCTTTTCAGCGCAAGACCATAATTAGTTCCTTTTAGCGTTTTAAATTTCGAATACTGAACAATTTATATCCAACCTTTAAAAAATTGGAGACAATGACCGTAATTGAACAATAAGAATGGGAAGTAGGTTTTCCCTCCTTTTGACGAAGAAGTATTAATTTGAGTATGAGCCTCCACTTCATAGATTGCCAATGATCATTTACGAGATTGAGTCCACGTGGAAAATTTAAAAAGTTCCCTTACAGAGGAAAACTCCTCAACGATTTTAGGCTTGCGATTTAACCCTTTAACTTCTAAGATCTCATTAGTAATTCTCCTTACTGTCTGCCAAAGGATTCTTATTATGTTAGTTTGGAGAATTTGGTATTGTGTCAACTAACAATCCCCTAATTAATATTTTTTTTTATTCTCATCACTTGTCTGCTTGCTATTGTATTGATATTGTAAGGAGAAACTATGTCCTGGTCATTTATGGCAGTTAAAGGATTAAGAGACTTTTATTTACCAATTGGTACATTGGTACCCTTCAGCCGTGGATATTCCTTCAGGATTTGAACCAAATTATCCTTTCTAGATCTCAGAAGAGATTCCGTATGTTTGCATGGAGACCCAGATCCTGCACCCGACAACTGGTAAAAGTTTTTGTTCAGGGCCTCGTACACAGGAACAAGCTTCAATCCGATTGGCTCAGGCATGTCCATGCCTCCAGATGTAAGAACAATTTTGTGTTTTCCAAATTTATCCTCTTGTGTCATCTGTTCTCGGAATTTGTCCATGTTAACTGTGAGTGACCCGGAGAAGCCAGCAAAAGAACCAGAGGGTGACACAGATCCCTTAATCTATAAGTAAACAAATGAAAAATATCTTAGTTCTCAGTTAAGCTTCTTAGCTCAGACAGTGTGAGCCCCACAACGCCCTCTATGGGGAGATTTGGAAAACTTCGGAAGACGTAGTTTCTGCAATGACGACAGTGAGATGCTTATTGTCCCAGATTAATAAAACTTAAAAATTTATTTGCCTCTCTGGTGAGAGGGTCAGACACCCCGAAATTAATGTGATTACAGAGAAAAAAGTTAGATTCCGTAGCTACTTACATTTTGGATGGCGTGTTTTATAAATTCTGTCTGGCTTTCTTTTGAGCGCTCGATGACTTTCTCTCCCAACTCAACTTCAACTACAATGTGCTGAAGTTAAATGAACATCAGTAATTATTTTTTCATAAAAATCAACCGAATTTTAAATTATAAAAAATGTGCCAGCAATAGCTTCGTTGTCCCCAGGGTTTGTCTTCCATTCAGCCATTTTATGATGTTCCAAAATTGCTCATAAGATAATGAAGGATTTTAGGTGTATCACAGTAAAATTTACCCGACGTCCTCCCCCCCACACACACACACAAACGCACACTCACAAAGGCTCCATAATAATCTAATCTCTAGTCCTCCTCTACACTCTGTTTGCGATAAAAAAAATGACTGTTCCTTAGTTCAGTTTTTACGATCCCAGATAACTTACAGTTCCCCATCTTTCAATAAAGTTGAAGTAGGTTCGTTCGGAGTAATCATCAGGTAGACCACAAACAGCAGCAGCAAAGTCCTCAGACACTGGGAATTTCTTAATTGGGGCCAAATCTAACTGATAACGAGCACGACCACGATTGCAGACCTTCTTCTCTTCATAAAACACATTTTTGTAGGTGGATGTCTCTTTAGTCATTTTCTCAAAGTCTATAAGGATGCAGTTTGTTATAAAGTTGATTACGTTATGATTATCATAAAGACATATTTTACTCCTACATAGTACTGCATTCATATATAAATCATTTTGAATTCGACACGGTTGAGTGCCTATCGCCTGATAGAAATAAACTGGCGTATCATGCTGTCATTAACTACATTCAGTGAAAGGCGGCAAGGATTATACTCTTGAAGACAAGGAATACAAAGCTGATTCGCGCCATGTCCGCTTAAGTGTCCTTGATAAAGCGAACTATGTTTTAAATCTTTAAATGAAGTTTATATTGCACTCACTTGAACTCAAAGTGAAAGCCACATTCCATAACCCTGCGTCATAACCACCTTTGAAAATAAACAAATGGGCCGAGAAAATATCAGAAATATCTGAATTAGATGATTTCTTTACAGGTACAGTTGAAACATGAAAAAACATAAAAATACTGAGAATATAGCAAAACTCGATTTCTTCGTTTTTTACTGCAAAATATTTGTTCAGCTTTTACCGTTTCTTATTAATGTTTATGTTTGACTGAGGCAATAAAATACAAGGAACAATAAAAAATAGCTTACAGCAAATAACCCCAACAGGTGTTGATTAAAATGAACATAATAAACCTAAACTGGTTTAAAGCTTAATTTGTAAGTGTCTGTTTTTTCCAAAAAACAAAGGCAGCAAAAGCGAAATAAAATTGAATGATTGAACTTGCTAATAACCTACCATTAGCGGATACATCAACAGTAAGTTTGTTCTGATAGCTTTTAGACCCGGAGAAAACCTCGTTCTTTGTCGTAGTAACGCAAGAAGACCTTGGCGCAAAGCTGACCTGATCTGGAATCAGATACTGCCTGCCTACAGACACTTTGTTTGTGTCGTAGGATAGTTTAAACACTTTCCTTGTAAAGAGCAATCCTGGATCAATACCTCCATTGGACAGATCACCGCCATCGGGGTTTCCTTCAAGAAGATTGTAGCCGACGCCAAGAAACTGAAGACCTTTAGGAGGTTCTTGATAGGCGTTGGTTTCAGTAACAAAATAAGCCAATAAACTTGTAAGGATGAGCGCAGAGAAAGGCAACATTTTTATCAATAAATGTCAACGACAACTATGTTCCGATGAAATTGAGATCCTGTAATAGAGTTAAAAGTTCGTTTTGGTGAGTAAGGCGTATGAAAAATCTACTTATTCTTACATTCTGGCTGGTCACCTATTGCCTGCAGCAATTTGCTACACAGTTATGCCAAACCATGAAATGCATTATTGTGCTTCATCCTGATGAGAAATCACAACAACGATTACGACTTAAAGAAGAAGGGAGGTTCATTTTTGTGAATTCTTGAGGATGCCTGAAGTTGTCTAACTATCTACATCTGGACTGAAACTCAGTTAGAATGTGAATTATGCTTGCATGAGGTTAACTGAAGCAGTAAAACATGAAATGAAAAATAAAATAGTTAAAAAAATCCAGAGTTTTATGTTGAGATCTCAGGTAATGTTATACTGACCTGCTCATCTATAGAATGAAGCTGATCCAAGTGTCGGTAAAAGCTTTATATATGTTCAAGATTGTTTGTTCCACCATTTTTCAATTAAAGAAACATAATAAAACCTGTTAGTTCAGAGGTCCAACAAACAAATTTGAGGGAAAGTGTAGCCGACATCCTGGCCCTTAACTCGAATAAGTATTCCACTATTACATTTTACCAAATATGGCCATGAGAGCGCGTAACGCACTGTAGAACAGGGCAAAAATACGGAGCAAAAAAAATTTTTTTTCGCTTTGTAGACTTGAAATTTAAGGAAACGAGCCCTTAAGTGCGACAGATTTTTTTTGTTTGGTCACAAAGAACGCTTTAATGTTTTCGTTCGTGTTGTTTTAGTCTTTCGCTTACTCCTTACGTCATTGATACGTGCACAGATAAGGCCGTAGGATGTATTTCGCAAACTAAAATGAATATAAACCTAAAGGTGATCTGTAATAGCTAATAATAACTCCGTTGTTCGCTGGCTTATTATATAATAAGAGGGAACATTTTGATCATTGCTCGTATTTTTCTACGCCTCTTTGGGGCTTGGAAAAATACTACGCAACATGCAAAATATCTTCGCATATTATACTGTAAACATCGAATAAGGTGTATTTACAGTGTTCCTTTGGTATTATTAAAAGCAAATATTCTAAGGTTCTGTTGATCATCTCGAAGGAATATTATTTTTGTGCTTTTCTGCCAAGATGAAGAAGAATCAAATGATTTTCAAGAACTGTTTAGCAAATCTTGCAAAAATTTAAATTACGAGTCAAGAGTTCATGTTACAACTGAAACTTAGCTCTCTTCCAGTTACCATCGTTTGATGACTTAATTCCTTGCGTTAAAATCTAGTTTTCAAATCCGATTGCGTAACTTTAAGACAACTCTCTGAGCTGATTTAGCGGATAAATGTCTCTAACTCTCTTTTAAACTGTTTCTGAGCTATTAGTGAAAGAGCATGCTAATAAGTCCTCGTCAAATACATCTGTTCAAGGGTTAATATTTCCCAACAAAAACTTCCTTTCTTTTGTTGTGTTCAAATCTGGATATGCCTAAACTGGAGAAAAAAATCAATGATATAACGGCCTGCGATGAATTTTATTTACGAAATCTTCTCTACATTCCAGCAAGTTATTTTGGATCTCAGTGATTTATTCCCTTCTCAATATATATTTACAATTGGTTTATTCCTGTTTTTTTTTCTTTTAGTGCTACCCAATGGTCTTCAAAAAATAGAAGATACTCATACTTATGTATGTTATAGCAAATAATAAAATTTGTCAATAATTGCTCCTAAGTGCACTGTCATTGCTTTCCCATTGGAGTAGCTCCCTGATTTGAAAGTGACCTTACGCTATTGTCGTAGAAGCTACATTGCACGTCATCATGCAAGTTCGCAATCATTTTAAAACTTCTCTCTCTTGAACTTTTAATTACCATTCCAAGTGTATCATTTTGCGTCTTAACGTCACAAGAAGGAAATTGATAAGAAAATAATTAAAATAGCTAATGCAGTCTTAACAGAGCCCTTTCAATGCTACGTAATGTTGAATCGAGCCTGAAGACGTCATTTCAATGACAATTATAGCTTACTTAAGACTAAGTGGCGACAGAGGCATAGTTCAGTGCGACCTTGGCAGTAAACAACAAAGGATAAAACGTTAATTCTGCCTTCTGGTCTCGATTATTTGTGCAGTAAAGTATTTGCCCTCTGGCAGTAGATGAGATAGGACTTTTAGGACTATGCGAAAAGTGAGTAAACTTAAATCAGAGCTCATTTTTGTCAATTTCCGTTGCCGAGATAAGTGAAACAATGGGAACTATTCAACTGTAACAGATTTATCTTATTGGCGTCATTGAGCTAAACTGACCAATCACTGTCAAGAACCAAAAACGGAGAAAGGCTCCTCTTTACCCTAGTTCTTTAGAGTAAACCACAGCATAATCTTCGAAAGTAACCCCTAAATTAGAGAAAAAATCCCGTCTGTTCCCAACAATTACAATTTTGATGCCGAATCTCTCCCTTGAGAAGTCGCCCAGGAAGTAATGTTTTAGGAATGATGATAAAAAAACTAATCTGTTCGAAAGGTTCACCAATACTTGTCTCCATTGTTATTCAAATTTGCGTTAACATTTCACGAGACAAAGAGCTCCTATGGTTTAGGGATTGAAAATAACGGTTGCCGTGGCGACTAAACGAGTTATTATGGATATTTTAGCTATACAGGAAAAGTCATATATAAATAAGACGCGCTAAGTTTTATATCAGTGATTTATGGATGGTTATCTGGGAATCAAACATCGTTTTGCATGAAAGATATCTGTTTTGCCCAAATGTAAATAATTGTGGCAGTTCGTTTGGGATCACATATATCTTGCGAGCTGTTTTTTGGTTTCTCGCTAACAACAGACAATCAAACACCATGAATATTGATTTATAATCGAGGCGAGCGATAAATGTGTTTTTCATGACGTCATTCTGACAACATAAATTAGTTATTCATGATTCTGGTGATACGATTTTAGACAAACGACTGTAGGGAACTCCTAATGGCTCCAAGAAACGTCTAGGAATTGATAAATACTTATTAAGGCTTCAGGATAATTTTAAAAAGGTAAGAAACATAGTTGCTCATCAACCTTAGAAACTGTGTATTAATTCGGAAAAATAAATTATGTAACTGTGAAATAAGAGACAATATTTGACAAAAATTTACACCCAACATGTTTATTCACTACCTGAGGTCTTTAAGATCTGTGCATCTAATACAAAGAAAAGTGTGGCCAAAATATAACGTTACTTTTTGCGACATTATAAATCGAGCTAAAAAAATTGGTTGTATAATATAACCGGTAAAATACTATACTTCAGCTAATAAGATATAGTTGGAGTTTGTAAAATAGTAAAACTGTTCAAAATATGGCAAAATAAAATATGAAAACATCATTTCACTTAAAATAGATTGACTAGGTATGAAGCGCTATGTGAATCTAAAAATATCACATTTGGCAAGGCTAGAATTTAGTCCTCAGCACTTTCCAACGAACAGCTGAAATAATTCACTGACAAGGACAAAATGCGTCAGTCTCAGAATTCAGGCTTCATACTTAACTTTTATTCATCATATTTTCAATGAGTTATTTTAGTTAATTTACAGTTTTTCTTATGTTATTCTATCAGGAAATAAATCATACGCTACAGAAAATGTCTTGGTGATGACTCTAAAATTTTAATTACCATAACTTTCCGCACAGTGTTATGTTTAGGGAAATAATTACGATTCAGGAATATTCATCATATTTAATGAGTGCACCATGAAAACATGCTCTAATTGATGGGAACCTTGTGCGACGCCACATTGGGCCAAATTTTTTTTTAACTAAAACAGTTTCAAACAATGTTTCTCTTTTTATCGCACGATGCTTTTCGCAACGACATTAAGTTGAAGATATATTCATAAATGAAATACAAAACTGCTTTTTTTCTGGAAATGAAATGGTTCTCCTACTAAGAAAAAAGTGTGATATGTGAAAGATGATAAGTGTTCGTGACTCAGAATCTGTGATACGTAATCCGCTATTCGTGATGTGTGGTTCGTGCCATCGAGCCATGATCCGTTCTTCCTACGCACACTTACGCGCTTTCCTGACGAGGACCACTCACGCAATCTATTTAAACATGATGCAGAGTTTACGTTACGTCATCAGCAGAACACTAGACCCACCCACGAATTTAAGTTCTTACTTAAAGCGTGCCATCGTGGTTTAATGTAAAAATTTAGTAAGTATAAAAAATATAATCTTCTCCCTGTATTTCATATTTTGTCTTCGTTACATCTAATTATTTGGATATGGGATCTGCCTGTTGGGAAAGTTTCAGGCATGGTTATGATGAGAAGACGTTCTTCCTCTTTCGTTGAACGAAAATTCGCAGTCCAGGATCGAACTAAGTCGGATTGAACGTTGGAGCTACAGGTAAAACAGCAGAAAATTGAGGAAGCGTCAGAATACAAATAAGTTATTAGTTGTTTCTTATCTCAAACTTCCATTCATTTTGCTTCATATTTTACATATATTTTTAAGTGTATTCTTCATCAATAGTTGTCAATCGAAGCATTAATCACTTAAGGTCATCTATGTAATCGAAAAAAAGGTGTTGCCTTCTAAAAGAAACTTCCTTCAGTTATAACTTTGACAAGAGGCAAATAAAAGAGAGAAGGAAGTCGTTAGGGACGACTTCTAAATTGAAATGACCAAGTACGTTCATGGTGTCAAAGGGTTCGCTTGTAAAAGCTTACAAATTTACAATAAAATTATCTGTATTTAGCTACTAGTTTTTGTTGCACATGCGTTACATTTAGTCATAGTAGACACATCGATTTCAATTGCAAGTTTTGGTGATGTAAACAAAGCCCGCTTAGGGACAATTGTCTCCTTGGCTTTCATGAAAAAATGCGACAGATCAGAGAGTAAGTTATTTTCCATTTTGCCCCAAAAAATATCTTTGCTAGTAATCAAAACAAACTTAGAAAGTGATGTTTCATCGAAAATTATTTTGAGAAGTGTTTGAAGCCATCAGAATTCTTATTGGAACACAAACCTCTTAGTGTATACTCACACTGGTTGTTAAAAAAGGGTTTCGTCCCGTAACTTGCTCATGTACATCAAAAAAGCTACTTTCTCATGACTTAAAAAGGTATATCTTAATTTATTCATAAAAGGTTACATTATGTTATTTTTTTACTTTAGGGGTGACTTTTCCGTTGTTACCGAGTTTGTTTGCGGCTTTGATCCGTGGCGTCATTGTCAACACTTTTTCAAGTCAACCAGACTTCGGAAATCCTGGTATTATTTCTAACTGAAAGAGTCCATAGTCACAGTGTAAAGCTCAACAGTTTACGAAGGTAAGGCGTTATTTTTCTCTTTTTCTGGCTTGTTTACCCTGAACGTTTAAAATGCTTAAATTTGTTATTTTCAAACAACACACAGTTATTGTGACCTTAATAAAGTTTACTGCAGTCAAAGCGTATTACTTTAGTGTTGAGTTGAGACAATTTTGAGCCAGAAACCGCACCTATTTATTTTTGAAATTACAGAAATTTCAAGAATATTAATGATTCGAAGAGTTCTTGATTGCAATAGCCTCAACACCATAAAACTCTCGAAAAATGTTTATGAATAACAACAAGCCTTTCTGCTTGTAATTATTAATTATTAAGCTACGTGATCTATGCTCATGTCAGCGTTACGAGTTGCTCGTATAGTCCACTTGTAGGTTATATTGTAACTAAAAACCTTGATAACTTATTTAATGGCTCGTTGAGACCAGAAAATGACTATTACGGTGTCAAGTTAAGATTTTTATCATTTCATCGGCACGTACTGGCAAGGCAAATCATGAGTTAAACCTCCTACGCAAGGTGGAGGTGTTGATTGTCGTAGGGAAAAGGTCGAAGAATTATGGTGAAAATGATAATCATAAATAATATATGAATACATCTTGTAACTCAGCCAGCAAAATGAAAATATAACTGCAACATACTCGATCAAGTGGTAAAGCTAAAATTTTCCATAATATTGATATTCCCCCTCCTAGCCTCATCATAGTTAGTTTTGGTTGAAATTATTTAAGATGCCCTGTGATCGTGCTACTAGTTACAAAGAGCACTTTCATTTTCTGTTTACCAGTTTCCAGTTGAAAAGTAATCAGGATGACACCTTCCAAAATTATAACCCCAGGACATTTAGGAAATTAGAAATTGTAAAAATACTTTCATCATGCTTTGTGTCTATTGTGCTTTGTGTCTGGTTGTGCTTTGTTATTGTGCAGTATGGTTGCCACGCTGCGAAAAGTTTCATGAAATGATTTGTATAGAAATACATTACGCCACATATAAACTTACACCAAATAACCGAAATTAAATTATTACTGACTTTGTTGATGCACAAAAATGTCGAACTTTCATGGTTGTTTTTGGGGTGGAATTATTAAAGATGCCTTGTGATCGCGCTGCTAATTACAAAGAGCACTTTCATTTTTTGTTTGCTGGTTTCCAGCTGAAAAATCAGGATGGCGCCTTCCAAAATTATAACCCCAGGACGACTAGGAAAATAGAAATTCTAAAAATACTTAGGCAGTCAGTTTTAAGCAAATCACTTTCATCATGCTTTGTGTCTGTTGTGCTTTGTTATCGCGCAGTATCGGGTCGCCATGCTGCGAAAAATCTCATGAAATTATTTGTTTAGAAATACATTACACCTTGGATAAACTTACGCCAAATAATCGAAATGAATTTATTACTGACTTTCTGGATGCACAAAAATGTCAAACTTTCTGAAATAACACAATAGGCTCTTTGAATAAATTGTCTTTTTCTGCTTCTGATAAAATAATTTGTTTAGAAATACGCTACCCTTGTGTAAACTCACACCACCAAGTAAAAATGAAATGATTACTTTCTTGAAAAACACAAATTTCGATCTTTCTGAAATAGCACACTGAGCTTTTTGAGTAAATTCTCTTCTTTTGTTTGCTATCATGAGGTTTTACACTCAGTATTTTGTTATCTCTATAGTATATTTTAAATTTACATAACATATTAAGATCTGATCCTCTTCGAAAAACCTAATTATAATTCAAAACTCGCTGTTTGGGAGAACTTTTCTAACATGTAAAAAAAAAAAACAAAAAAAACAACAACAACAGCGAACATGAAACCTGTGAAAGAAATCTTCCAGTCACCATATTTGTGTTTCACGGTAATCAATGAAGCGAAGAACACTACGGTGATAATTGCTTAGTAAAAACTAAGGTTTTATTAAAGATATAATGAACGCAAAAACTGAATTGTGGCTTAATATTTATATAGATTGAACTGTCACTTTCTCGTTCCGGTTGGAGACGAGACCGATTGTCAACTTTCTGGAGGCAGCTGACTTTTCTTGTTTAGTTTAAGTTTAAAATCAATTTTAAGTGAATGAGGGCTTTGACATTATTTCAGCAATCGCACGATTAGTATATTTGCTATGTCAGTCAAATCTTGCCGAGCAGATCACATATCACTTCGCATCCTCTTAGAGTGAATTTGAATGTTTTTCTTAGATTGTTTCCTTCGTTTAGGGCCAGTAGCCTCGAAGACTTGTCAGCTATATCCTCTGCAACCAGGCACTCGATATGTCGTCGAGTCTAGGAGAGAGAGAAAATGGAATAATTGTTGCAGAGGCCACAAGCCTGATCATCCTGAATGTGGTGTCCTTGGTCGGTAATTTTCTCATATGCTGGACTGTGTATCGCAGCAAGAGTCTCCGAACCACAACCAATCTTTACATCGTTGCTTTAGCTGTGGGTGATCTCAGCTCAGCCATATTTGTGATGCCAATTTCATCTGCGGTATTGATTACTGGAGACTGGCGGTTCAGTGATTTTTATTGTAACATTCAGGGTTTTTTCGTCGTACTGAATATATATGTCTCACCTTGCCTAATGGCTTTAACAGCTTTCAACCGATACGTAAGAATTGTGAGGACAAACATGTACCCCAAACTTTTCTCCATGAGGAAAAGCAAAATTTGGATCATAGTTGTGTGGTGTATTGCGATCGCGTACATCTTAATACAGGTATTCGCGGGAAACCAGGCCATCCGATTCGTTCCTGGCTATGCTGTTTGTTCCACGACTCATCTCAAAGAGACGCAAAAGATCGTTCATTACAGCATTGTTATCCCCGTTTTTGTCGTGGCTCCCATTGTTATCACATCTTTCTGCTACTACAAGATTTTCCGAACCATTAAGCTGCATAACAAGAATGTAATGCCGTCGTTACAAGCCAACAGCAATAATTTCTCTCGAGTGAAAATCTCCAGGCGTGAGTTGAAGATCAGCATGTCCTTATTTGTCGTGGTAATAGTGTTTGCATTTTGCTGGATCCCGCTATGGATTTTGGCTCTACTGTTTCGCTTCAAACTCGTTAAGAGTCTTCCAAGAAACGTGGCTTTGTTCGTCAGTTTCTTAGTGTTTTTCTCTTCCACTATAAATCCATTCATTTACGCTGGTATGAACAGGTCTTTCCGACGTGAGATCCGTCATATCTGTTTGCCAGCGAGTAAGCAAGAACCAGTCTCAGAGCGAACACGACCAAGTGGAAAAACCGATGAGGAGTTAGATGAGCCAAACCAAACGCGTCTAAATGAAGTGGAACTGGGAGTTAAAGCCGCCTATAGTGAAAATACTGATTAGGCGATGAACAGAATTTTATCCATTGGAAAAAAAGAATACTTCATCTTTGATAACGTGCTTATAAAAAGAATTTGTTCATTTTCCATCATGTTGATTAATTGACCGGTCATGCAAAATGAACTCTACTCTGCATTAACGCCTATCGGAATAAAACGGGAGAAATGTCTTAGAGAATGGCCGTCATAATTGAATTTAAAAAAGAAAACCGATATTAGTCACAAAAAATAACAAATAGGTCATTGCATATAAGGTAAACAAAATTTATGAAGGATAATATTTCCACAAATCAGAACTCGAGATCTTGTGTTGCATTGTTCAGCTGATTTGAACTCAAACAACCATACAATTACTCTTTTGGAATCAGATCTAGCAACTCAAAAAATTTCAAAATCCCTTCAATGGTTTGGTTAATGATATTAGTGAGCATATTCAATTTAGTCGGACAAGCGAACATGATGAACGTATTTCTAAACTGCTCAGATTTAATATAAGGACCAATCAAAATGCGAATAGAACTCATCACATCACGTGCGGGTCAACCTTCATTCTAAACCGATGTAGCTTATCAATATAAATGAGTATTTTACATTGTGCACTAAAAACATCACTAGGAATAAAGAAACTATTTACCCTTAAGGTTTTTTGCATGGCAGGAGTAACTGAACCCTGACGATCTGTTGCCAGGGTGATTTTAGTAAGTAAGAGTTATACTAGATATTAATAACCAAGTATTATCTGAACATCTGTATTTATCTATATTCATTGTTTATAAATCTGATTGGCTCCAACATGATTTTAATTATTCAGTTTACATTTCAGTTAGGAGGTTGCCGCGATGTTTAGTTCATGCAATAAACCAAAATTATTTAGAGAGTCCAGTACTAATGATAATTTGAAAGTTCAGTCTATTGCAATTTCTCGAACTCGCGGGTGAAATATTAAGATCGTTAATGCATGTAATAACTGTTTCTTTTATTTGTACTTTTTACGATTTTATCCTTAACAATGTAGATCATAGGATGATAAGCAAACTCTCCTCTGAGTAAAACTTATAAATTAGATTTTCCCTTAAAGACAACGAAATAATTTCAAAAATTGATATTAAAAAAAAAAAAACGGTGAAAGGATGCAAGATGATCTGCCAACTATATATCATGTTACAAAACTAGGATTGCACGCGGCTCATTGAGTTTCACCCCTGGCGCTCATTATTTTCTCGTAGTATGATAATCCGATCAGGGTTCGTAATAACAGGATGTTCTCCAGCAGCAATGGAGACCAAACAATATGGTTCAATTAAAGTTTATATTTTATTCTAACCGACAACTGAGGTTATTACGCTGTACTCGCACGGAATTTTCAAAAGTTAAGACCCTTTTTTCCATGAGAGAATGTAAAGCGTGACCGACATCATTTAGGAATAGCATTTTCCATCAGAACGAGCAATCGGATAAGGAAGAGAAAAACTGCCGGAAACGGATTTAGGCCCCTACGGGATTTGAAACCATGACCTATGCGATACCGATGCAGCGTATTACCAACTGCGCTGCACCCGTATCGCAAAGGTCATGGGTTCAAATCCCATACGGGCCTTATTTCCATTACTACTTAAGTAGTGTTCATTACTGCCAGGATCGCTTTCATATTCGTTTATTCAATCTCAGTTCACATACTGATTTTCATTTATTTACAGTCATTTATTCTGCCGGAAAAGGGTTCACAGTAAACTGAAAACCTTCGTTATCTTTGAGCAGCAAGTTATAGAACACCTTTAGGTAAATCATTCGGTATAGCCCTAAGGAATGAAGGAAAGCGTAGAAACAACAGCGCTGCAATTGCGCTGAGAAATATGAGTGATAATTTTCCCACGTGGATAGAAAACATGCGGGTTCTTGATGGTATATTCTTGCAAGCGCAAGAGTTGATATGTACATTAGAAATATACAATAAATTTTACACGATTTAAGGTGGTTTCGAGTGTAATGACGTTCCCTTTTTTGCATTACAAACGGGGTCCTCTATTGTCTACAAGAATAGGAACAAGTTTTCACATCCTTCTTATAAACTGGCCGATTTTTGACAAATACATTTTATTGACAGCCGAAGACAGATTCCTTGTCAGAATAAATGCCTTACTGAATGGGAGGGTTTTATCTGTTCAGATTTATCAAAAAAAATATTTGCAAATACCTTGGGCGATTCATGGGGTCTTTCAAAATCGTACGGATTAAGGACAAAAACTCTAAATTTCCAAAGGTAGAAGGAGCCTTAAGATTCAGTTAAAAATACCCAGGTTGATTATCATTGTTATGCGATTTTTGGTAGCTGTTCGGAACGCGGATTTAAATAAATCTTGATCTTCAAATGAAAACAAGCTGTTTCCAGATTAAACTCAAGTCCCATAAAAGGAATACAACTGGGGATTTCAAAAACATTCCATACAGAAAATCTTACCACGTCGAGATAATTTTTGCCAGTCTTTTTTACCGATAGCTATAGTTGTTTGCTTTTTTGTTTCACTAAGACAAATATTGGCCTACCATGCCGGATAAGACCTTATCCTTCTAAAAAACGGAATCCTAAATCTAATTCCGTGCCAGTTATCCATGATACCAAAAATGTTTTCAATTTTTTTTGTCTTAAAGTTTTTACCGGTAAAACTGAAAATAAAAGTAATCAGGGGTTTTTCTAGGCAGAGGTATTTAGGACCATGATTGGAAAGATTGTCCTACTTATTACATTATCCATGTATTCATCAGTTTTAGAGCAGGAAAAATAGATGATTCGTTCTAGTCAGTTACGATGGTTTTACGATCCGTAATGTACTCTGCATAAACACCTACGGCCAAATTGTAGATTAAAAACATGATTAACATTGTCCACTGTTTTAAATTCATTATTTGTCATTTCTTTTTTCAATAAAAGGGCAGTTCAGACATTTTACTGAAATAATTTTCGGTTCACAAACTACAAATACATGGGTAAGGAAATGCTATTGTCTGCTAAATACTCGTTGGTACAATAATAGTTATTTCTTGCTAATGACTTGTATGCTTTTTTGAACTAATGAATGACATTAAAGATCAAGTATTCGGCTCGTTTGTTTCATTAGGGAGTGTCCAGTGACCGAACGTTGAAACAGTAGGTTCTAATGTTTATAATGGATTTGAATAACATAGATATCATAGCCTTTGCTTTGTCATTTTAGATGAAGGATTTGAGCTCTTACCGAGTCGAATGACATATTTATTAGTAACAAAGGGTTTTTCTCTAAATTTTGGGTAATTTTTGTCCTCATTGGTATAAACAAGTTTGGATTTAATGTAAACGTAAATTGTGCCATCGATTTCTTATCATGACGGCTTGTTGCTTAATTTTGAATTAATTTATTTCACAACATAATGTACTAAATAGAGAGCGATAAAAGCCGCAATGAAAAAGCTATATATATATATATTATTCAACTTACAAGGAAACCGACATTGGAAGGAACTTGCGGAGTATTTAGTTGTCATAGTTATCATCAATCGACTCTGATGAAGCAGGAGACAAAAGGAGGATCACTGATTAGCATCAGCCGACCCATGTATTTGTATTAACAATCTCCAAATTGAATTTATTTGCTTTTCGAGGCCAGTTGATGAAAAAAACAAAAATCATTGCAGATGTATTGCACCTCAGTAACTGCGCGCAGCGTGGTGTTTACAGATTTTACACGGCCTAGAAAAACATAAATTCGTGTTTCTCTGTTGGAAACGCGTTTTGTATTGATGGCTGTTTCTGTGACAATAAGAGGAAAGGAAACATTTTGAGAGCAATGTTTTCCAGCTGTTGAAAATGAAAGAGAAAAAGGACAAAAGAAAATAGCAACGCGTCAAAAGCTGCTCTGTAAATGGACATTACTATTGGATGAAATTGAAATAAGCTTTAATTAACGTAAGGCTTGAGCCACAAATTAACATATATTTTGAAACAAAATTAAAGCATATTTACAGTACAAAACGTGTTTCCCTGATAAAGCTGAAGGGGAATATTTGTTTTCACTTAGTTTAGGCACAGGCTCGACACGAGTCTAAACAGCCGTCGTGATTTCTTTTTTGCTCGACAGCGCTTCAAGACCAGCGAAATCGAATAAGGTTTAAAATACGTAGCTACCTCTGCGTTTGATCAGATCAAAAGTTTCGCTATACAGGGGATTAGTTTGAGGAAAATCACGTTAACGTGGCTGGAAAACTGGAACTAATGGAGAAAAACCAGTCATGTGATGGCAATTTGACTGCTATCTTTAGGAGGGAGGCCAACAAAACCGGTGAAGATTTGCCCGAACTCGGCTTAGATTACAGCGTGCCTTTGACAGTGATAGGCTTCGCTGTTTTGGTTTCAAACGGGCTTGTTTGTATACTTTTCTGTCGGTTCCGTGCCCTCCGAACGATAACAAATACTTTTATTGTCAGCCTGGCGATAAGCGATCTTATGGTGGCCACAGTTTTCATCCCGACTTATCTAGCTGGTCTGGCAGTCAATCCCTATATTATTGCCTACATTCTGTTTGCATATCTGTTTAATTTCTGTGGCATTACTTGGGACAGGTACCAAGCCGTTCTTAATCCTCTCATGTACAGGTCAGTGGTAACACGCGCGATCGTCTACAAAATCTTGGCCCTGGTGTGGACTATACCCCTCTTATTAGCGATCATACCAATCTTCTGGGAGTATCGGAACGGTGTTAAATTACTGGCCGGTCGTATTTACCAAGGAATCTTGGTTGCTCTGGTCACTCTGTGTTCAGGGTCTATCTGCTGGGCATATGGAAAGATTTTTGGTGCCACGCGACGTCAAGTAAAACAAATGATTGAAATGCACGAAACAAACGCACGATTTGAACACAGTGTTCTCCCAGACAGACAATCAGGGCGATCAATGAGAAAGAGGCGGTCAATTACCATTTCCAACGAAGTGAAAGCGGCCAAAGTTTTTGCTCTTGTAGGAGGAACCTTTGCAGTATGCTGGCTTCCTTTGATAATTATTAATGTGTTTTCCGCACTAGATTATTCCCACATAATTCCGAATGTATTTCTTGATGTCTCCCTTTATTCACTGGTAGGAAACGCTTTAGCCGACCCTCTAATTTATTCATTTTACAAGTCGGACTATAGGCGAGCCTTTAAGCGATTTTTTTGTGGTAAAAAACCAGATCATGATAAATTTGGGAATTCAATCACCACAAGGAATTCTGTGCTGACAGAAGAAAACAGTGAGAAAATGGACGAAAATCTTATCTAAGGCATATTATTCATGAACTGGAAAAGCTAGCATTTTAAAACTAATTGCACTGTATTATTTTTAAGCCGGTTTTTATTGCTAGGAAAATTGAATTTTATGAAAACACCAGTGTAAAATTTTGACCTGTAATAAATATAATATTTGACAATAAATTGACGACAAGCACAATGTTTTGTGTCATCTGAAATACTGTTTGAACCATCATAATTGCATTTGTGTACATTCTAGTTTCGACCGATGCTAATGACCTCTCAGTATACAAACACTAGGTTCTAACGTGTCTAAAGATATCAAACACAATTTACCGATGTTTCAAAAGCTTTTGAACCATTAGACCTCAATCAACTGTGTTAAAAGGCTTTCTTCAGTAAAATAAATTCTGAGATTTCTGATGCATTTGCAAGTGGAAATAATGTAATGCATTTGAACATAGATTTCAAATTTTGCAAAGAGTCATTAAGGGTAAAGGAAATAACTATAAGTCGGTAAACAAAAGTATGATGCTTTAGTTGAGTTACATTACACAAATGAATAAAGGGGTAAGTTTCTAAAGAAACTGTGGTGCTGCGTCGGTGGGAGAGTATAGCAGGTAATTTAGTGTTAACAACTGAGTTGAAAACGTAAATTAGCCACCGTAAAGGGTAAAAAAGCTGACGTTTCGAGCGTTAGCCCTTCGTTAGAGCGATAGACGAAGGGCAAACGCTCGAAACGTCAGCTTTTTTACCCTTTATCGTGGCCAATTTACGTTTCAACTCAGTTGTTAACACTAAATTATCTACATTACACAAAGGTTGCTTCCTACATTTCGGAGACTGTCGCAGTCCATCCATCTTTGGTATAAAATCGGAGTTACCCTCCAGCACTCATTAGAACCTCGTTAGCTCGGTTACAAGGTTAACTTAAGCATGGACGTGATTGTCTTTTGAGCCCTTGTAAATGCTTGATGAGTAAGGGGGACTTGGAGCCACTCCAGGTGAATATTGTTCCTATATTAAGTCTATTGACTTCTGTGCTCTTTAAATTTTCTCGCTTGGTTATGGTTTAAAAGACTGATTGTCCAATTTTAACCGGCACAAGGAATTTGACAGCGAAAACTGCAGTGATGTTGTTATGAAATTGGTAAAATTAAAACTCCCAAAATAAAAGCAACTTGACCTTGGAATGTATTCCAGAATGATACGTACAGGAAACTTTCCGATTTCGAGTGTCTTCGAACTGAGTAAACCTCACTATTTAAGGAATATTTCGATTTAACTTAATCTGAGTCGTCTTATTTCGTTTAAATTGTTGTTTTGGGACAGACTTTGAAATTGTCTTTTTACGCTCTAGCACAATTATTTCATAAATTACATAATATTATTTTCCTGCGCTTTGTACTTTGTCCACGAAAGTTAAAATCCTTGTTCTGAAGAATCGTAAGCCGTAGTTTTCTTGCTTAATCGTTCAAACTAATGCTCCAAAACCTTTGTAGAAAAAACCTGACCATAGGGAAAAAACCAAACAACATGCAAACAAAATGTAATGTCGAAAGATGGAGATTTATGCTAATTAAAGATGTTGCGTGTCTGGCCTCCTACAAAAGTCTTAATTTCCTTTTTGTTACAAAATCAAGTCTCGCTCAGCGACACTCTTTCTACTAGTAATAATCTTCAGCCTAAAAAAATGAATTCAACGCATTTCTCAAACGACGAGAGATATTTTCTATGAGCTACTTTGTGCCTGATCGAGTTTATTTTCCGTATGTATCGTTTGTGCAGTCTTTCCTTTCGAGCGTCGAAAAAAAGTCTAAAAAAAAGGAAGAAGATGAAGACGTAACGATGGTCTTCAGGAGCTTTTTACTGATCTTTCTTCAGACTTAGGTAGAAAAATCACGTGGTGTTTTGTTTAACCCAGCGCCTTGTCGAACACGAGCTACAGTCGATCCAACCGTGGTATCCATTGACAGCTCTGTATCTGCCACCTGCCAAGTTCTTTTAATTAAGAGAATTTTCTTTGCCTGTCGGCGAATCTTGCCATTGAGTGTTAAGCAAACTATCGGGTTGATACAGCTACTGAGATATACAAATGACGTGTAGGTTACATAGGCTCCTCGAGGAAGGCTACCTGTACCTAGCACTGCATTTATGGAATCCACTGTTGTAACTGGAAGCCAGCAGATTACAAACGTAACGACGAGAACAAGAAGCATTTTGGTCATTTGAAGCTCCTCTGAGCTCAAACTCCCAGACTGCCGTGACCGAATGGTGTTTCTTGTAGCCATGGCATGTTCTTTTACCATGCGGAAAACTTTGTAATAGCATACAGTGATAAGAATCATGGGCAGAATTGTGTAAACGCATAGTAACGAAAGAATATATGTCATCTTTTCAAGTCTTTTATCCGGATTGAAAGTCATGAAACAAGAAGCTTTTCCCGGGCGAAAGATGTAAGTAAATAACCCACTGAAAAGTGGTGAAATGGTCAGAACAAAGGGCGCAATGGTAACTGCACAAATCATTGCAATGGAGAATCTTTTGGTGAACCATTTCCGATAAAGTCTCGGTCTAAGGACACAGAAATACCGATTAACAGCCATCAAAGTCACCATATGGAGTGAGATCCAAACGAGGCAAATTGCAAAAATTCCTTGGAATGTACAAACCGCGTCACTGAATACCCAGTCACTGTGTATAAAGATGGAAGCAGTGAATGGCATGACCAATGATGCTGTGAGTATATCAGCTACTGACAAACAAACCAAAAACATGTTTGTCACAGTTCGAAGACCTGGATTTCTTAATATCGCCAAAATCAAAACAAAGTTACCGAGGAACGCTGCCAATATAATCAGTAGCATAAAACAAGATTCGAAGACTAAAACCCCCTGGCTTCTGTTTTTCAAATCCCTATGTAATCGCGCTAAATTTTCCTCCTCCATTTTGGGCTATAAGTCGGGTAAGTAGAGGACGAACGTTACGAAGACTTTCGACTGTGGTTTTATTAAATTCACAGCTGCTATATAATTATGTTGGTAGTTACAATATCAATAACAAACCTGAAAATTTTCTTTATTCTGATTTGCTTAATGCAATGCAGTTTGCAGGTAATACAGTACAAAAAAGTGTTAATTCAGCGCAGAATAAGGTAACACATTGTTTAGCCACAATAAACTAAAAAAAAACCCAAAGAAAAACAAAACAGCATAGAAATTGTTGTTTTCAGTAACACGGTTGTTTTGAACAAACGCACAGTGACATTAGCAAGATTTAAAGACAGTTTTTGCACGTGATTTGCGTGCGTTGCTTCTGCATAGTCGTGGAAAGCCATCACAATTTTTTTTCTGAATAGTACTGCTAAGTAATCACGTTTTTTCTCGTGCAGTACATCAACCATTTCTCGTGCATATTTATTCCAAATTGCTCTCGAAATGATGTGATTACCTGAACAAAGCAAACACTAAAGCTTGATATAATGAGTCTTTTAATCTTTTTGCGTCCTTTGTAAATTAATTGGTTCGGTTCCGACAGTACAATTATACCAGGATCACTGATTTTGTCAAAACTGACTGTACAATTTGTCGCATTGCTTAATATTATTTTGTTTTGGAGAGGACCTTAATCCAAGCAGATGCATTCTTGCAAAATGAAGTTTGGCAACAACTTTGCTTTTCATTTCATATCCAGTAGAACACATGCTTTACAAAGAAGTACGATAAAATAAATGAAACAATAATCGACCCTAGGCCTCATTAAATGACAGCACCTCTTGTCTTCAATGAAGCCCTCCTTCCAGAAAAAAATACGAGACAAAATAAATTAGTATTTCCGATGATAGGCTTACAAATTAGTAAATTTGATTGGTTTAGTTTATTATCAAGGCAATTATATCATCGGTTTCAGTCCTTAAATTCAGGAAATTAAGAATTTCATAGCAAGTTATTCCAAGCACGACAATGTTAATGGCGCGCACTCAGTTCTTTTGACAAACCAAACGCTGGGGTGGGTTTGCACCAAATGCACGCGTCTTAAAATATATCACAGGCTGAACACTTGTGATAAAACGCTGGAAGTGGAGTAGCGAAAGGCTTCAAACATTATTTCAAACAGGCCCTCTTTCTCGCTGATTTTCTTGCTCGTTATGATCGTGCGTTTGTTCAAGGTGAGGCTGGTGTCATGATGGACTTTGACATTTTAGTGTTACTGTCAGTTTCTTATTCTTCTTACCTTACTTGAAATAAGTAGAGATTAATCCTCGACCTAGCTTTTGATATTGATCCGAGATTTGTTGTTCTTAATAAACCTGTGAAGTCCCAGCTTGTAGCATACATCAGCATAATCTTCGTCTTTGCGAGCGACCAGTTTATTGCGGCCTGCGTGTTAACGTCGATATCGCCAGGGCGAAATTTGCCTCGTGAAAGATTCGATCAAAATCTATCCAATCTACATTCTATCCAAAATAATTTGAGCGACTTTTATAAGTGTTTACTTGGGCTTAGGAGTGTATGTTTTTCGACTTTGTACCAGATTACGACATGCACCGTCTTAAAATTTAAAAAAAATACTATCATGGCATGCCTCTGCTGTTAAGTTGTTTAATAACTTGTCATTCCTCAAAACTAAAAAGAGGTTTATATGTAAACACATGTTAGGTATAAAATAGCTTAGTGTTTTGTCATCCGTTTTTGACTAAAACAAACATTCTACCACGCGAAGGTCCTGACCGCCGGCGCAAACCGAGCATGTTTTAGTGCCGAACTGATTGCACCCTTTGTGACGAGTTAGCGTGGATTGTTATTGCTATTGTTATTAATAAAAATAGATTGATAACGAAAAAAGCATAAAATTTTCATAAGCGCGGCTTTAAAAAGCGTTCATATAATTTGATATGAGCGATGATATTGATAGCTCTGCTCTAATAAAAGGGACAAATGGAAAACGTCAACGAGGAAACAGTACTGCCTTTAAAAAACAACCCTAATTCTAACTTTGTATATCTGTCACGGTTCTAAAAGTTTTCTGGAGATGGCCGAATCAAATTGTCTTTACGTGGCTCCGCTGAGGTGGATGCTATCATAAGCTATCTACAATGTGCAATTCTCGCTTCGACTTTGTGCGTAATTATCTTATTTGCTTCACTCTTTTAGCGATCAATTTACTAAATATAGAGCATTGTTCATTAACCGACAATGAAGCAATGAGGCTGGAATCGTGGAATGCATCATCAGAAACCAGAAAGGGTTTTTCTGTCGCTTTTTTGTGACCTACGTGCTATGAAACGGAAACTTATTGAGCATTTTTAAGGTGTAAAATACAAGCCATGTGAGTTGTAAAATAGTCTGAAAGGAGCGGCACTGCCCTCAAACAATATCGCTTTTCCTGATTTCCATATATTCTCCATCCGCAAATAAACTTAATCTTCCCATTTCATGCACGGACGCGTCCAAATTTGACCTCGATTACTCTCAATTGACAAGGCGAACGCGGCCTGGTTTTTGTTCAATTTACATCGAATGTATTCATTTTTACTTCGATAGAGAGAACAGAATGTTTCTTCTTTTGAGGCAAAGTATGACAGCCGTGGGATGTAGATACTTGAAACTAGAAGGCGTCGTTGCTCCAACGTCAGACCTTTTTTTTGGGCTTTACCGTAATTAATTACAGCAGGCACTCTTGTTGACTGAAAAAGATAAAATCTCCCGGATCTTACGCATTTACTGACTGACAATGGTTTGAAATTACTGCGCATACATTGCATAACATGCTTCATTAATTAAATTTTCACAAAGCTTGTTTAAACCCTCAAATTAATAGTTTCTTCATGCCTGACTGTTTACAATATACACATGTGCACGATAAACGCGTACTGATATTTCCTAGGGGTAAAACATCATTACAGGAGCAGTGAAAGGTCTTAATGATATAGAGCTATCTTAGTAAATGGTTATTTTTCGGCAGATGAGGCAAGAGTACATAGGGATTCACATTTCCGTTTTTGCGCGTGTGACACTGTTTACTCGACCTCCACTAATACTATGCATAGTCTGAAGTATCCATTTGACAAAGGCGGCTCTTATCTCTTTCAAAGCGCAATTCGTGTGAAGTATATCAGACGATCTCTAATAGGTACTTGAGAAATTAACTTAACAAAAAAAAGGCAAAAATGGGAGAAAAAATTGAAAGCAACGTAAAACGCAGGCAAGGGCTTAGGTTAGGGTTGGTTTGTCACTGAGGCACATACCGGTGACTTGAGACGAGTTCCCTTTAAAATCAACAGCGCAAATATTGTGCGCGTTTGAAGGAAAAAAAGGTGGAGTAATATTCCATTGATATTGAAAGTGAGGTATTTTAGAAGGAAAAGGAGAGTCCCAGGCAGCTTGCGGAAGTCCGGCCTCTATGCCTTTTGAAAGGTGGTCAACCAATATCTTTTGATCAAAGTTGAAATCAGCACATCACAGAAACGTTCACAGTTTGATCTTCGAGAAGGGAGAAAGCTGGAAAAATGGCAATCCAATCAAACGACTCAATACCTTTGACCTCAAGAGATATTTTGACTGTGGCCATCGAAGGAGGTCTGATGTTGATTATCAGTTCTGTTGCCATAATGGGAAACTTACTGATTTGTTTTGTTACGTTTACCAATCCACGTTTTCACACAGTATCCAATGTGTTTGTCGTATCTTTGGCTATATGCTACATTTTTGCAGCATTTCTCGTCCTGCCTACAACAGCAGGAACCCTCTTAGCGGGAAGATGGCCGTTTGGTCAAGTCTTGTGCGACATTCAGGGATTTACTTTTTCAAATTTCATTTGGGTGTCTCTGTTGACGTTGACAAGTATGGCGGCAAGCCGATATTTCAAGGTAACTCATATGGCCTTTTACAACAAAGTGTTCAATCTTGATCGGTCCATTGGAATGATTATGATTTTGTGGGTCCTTACTGCTGCGTTATTGGTCGCTCAAATAACCTTTGGTAGGGCCATTTTTAGATTTTCTGCCGAGAAATTAATCTGTTACATGTCCTCAAGCAAGGAAAACAACCAGCATGAAAACATCACCAACTCAGTAATAACGATGGTGCTTTACACAATACTGCTCATTGTGTCGGTCATTGCATGGCACGCGACCAGAAGACAAGGCTCATACAGTCACTCCTCTCCTCAACTGGAAAGAACTAACACTAAAACCGAGATTGAGTTCAAAATTCTACTAGAAGAGAGAAGAACAAATCAAGTGTTATTGGCAATGATCGTGGAGGTTCTTTTGCTATGGTTGGCGGCTATTATAATCAAGCTGTTAGAGTTGTCAACTCAGTCATCCAGCTTTCCACGTCAAGTTCATCTCGCCACTACGTTCCTTTGGTGCTTTGTACCTGCCCTTCATCCTTTTACGTACGGGATCTTATCCAAAGCATTTGCAAGGAGAGCGATACGAATTTTTCACCGGTTGCCACGATCGAGCATACGTAGGAATAAGGTGCACGCTGAACAGGCCGAAGAATCCGTGTAATTTGCTATCTAGATGAACGAATTCGAAAACTAAAATCCGGGTCAGTAAAAGAGATACCGGTGATAAGTTGATAAAAATATTCAAAATAATAAAACGGGAATACGAGATGTTTGTCGATAGCGTTTCATAAGCCAATATCAAGAGTCAGAGTTTTGTTATGGTTCTATTGTGGTTATTGAAATAAATATTACTTTTTCAATGATGTTATACGTTGGAAAATAACCTTTTTTAGCTCAGGAATTATTTGTCCCTCGTCATTTACTGTAACCAGGTAAGAATACAGCTTTGTCACTTACGTACCTATACATTTATATTTACACTCGCGATTAAATTTATTTCTTACATTATCATTTCTGTACACGAAAGATTGATGGGTGCTAATAATCTTAAAATCACAACAACGCACTTTACTAATAGATTTGGAGTTTGAAAACTGTCACGACAAAATTGTAATCCCTTATACAATATATCATCCGTATTGTAAATGAAGAGTCGTCAAAGGGATACACACTGCATGCCTGAAAGTATATCATCATCTTGTACAACTAGTGTAAGATATATTTTACTACAATAATAATATAGAAACATCATATGTACATTGCTGTGTGAAATAGGCTGTCTACAGCATACCCGTGCTGTAATGAGCTTAATCATTACCATTACAATTTCCTCAAATGTGATTGGTGCATTACCTGCTTCATTTTTCACTAATCATTCTGTACAGCTGTAATAGGACAGTTGGCTGTAACCGGACCGTAGAAGAACACAGTCATACTAGGTCCACTTAGCTAAATCCATCAATCACAGAATTTATCACAATAACCATAGCAACAACCACTTATCCAAAGAAAAAGAAGGCAATTTCCAAAATGCAAGAATATTTAACTAAAGACATGGTCTCCACTGGAGATATTTGTTCTAGGTGTGTTTGTTTCTACGGAAATTGAAATGGTTATGATTAATTTGAAACAGGATTTCTTGTCGTCCAATTCTGTCAGTAATCATACTCGTGATAAACAAATCGGACTCCCGCTTCGCGGTCGTCCGATTTTGTTAATCACTCGTATGATTACAGACCCAATTGGACTCCACTCGGTCCTATTACCATTATTTATAACCCTGATTCGAGCGTCAGTCTTTGATTTCTGCCTCTATCATTTACCTTTTAGCCATGAAGATTTACAAACTAATCATGGTCAGCTCGTTCGATTCTTATTCGTTGTTTCGTGAAAATTATTGGTATGTCAATTATAACAAAAACAAACAGTGTGTACATCTATTTACATTTAAGTCTCTATTCATGGTCAATTTTTTCATCTTAGCCCGTTTCTTATCACCCTCCATACTGATGTATTCAACAAGTTTTCGTAAGTCGTTCTCAAAGGTTACTTGTTACCTGATTTATGAAACTTCAACACCGAGTTTAATTTTTCTGCTCTTACACTTTTTACGGTTACGTTCACCGTCCTCGACAACATCACTTATTTAGTCAATAAATCATTCATATGTTCGTTCATCCCTTCGTTCATTTCATTTAATACTTTTGGGTGGGATTGAGCTCAAAACCATGAAATTACTGCCTAGTATTTATCATTTAAAACTTCAATTTTAAGCTAAAACTAATCATAATCTGTCCAATTGTTTTCATCAGCCATTTTTACATTCAATAATTTTTTTTAATCATGCAGTTGATCAGTTTGATTGAAAACAAAAAAAACCAATCGGCTTAAAATGTTTACTATTAATACCTTGGCCTTTCAAAGAAAACCAATCTTTGTAAGTATTTGTTTTCCTCGGAGCAATTTATAACTTAGCACCATCAGGAGTACTAGTATTGTATTTAATTCTGCACTTAAAAACTTTTGTTTAGCTTTCCTTGAGAGACAACTTCACCAGTGCAAATAGTTACTGTGGTGAATTTGAGCTCTTCAAAATTCCCTTCATTGCTGTTATCTGGACGAATGTGATAGTTGTCTTTTCGACTTGTTAGAGCATTTCCGATTACAGTTGCACTTTGTGTTCCATCTTCTGTTGCAGTGACTCCAACTCTGCCCTTAGTTTCGCAGCATAATATTTTTCGGAACTCACGTTTGAACAAGTGATTCATGCCAGCATATATGAAAGGATTGATTGTGTTGGAAAAGTAGAGGAGAAACATGCAGAGTAACTCAAAACTCCGAGGCATTTTCCCCACCAAATTGAAGCGCCTCAAGATGACAATCACCCAAAATGGAATCCAGCAGATCATGAACGCAAACACAACAGCAAAAAGCGATTTACTCACTTTTATCTCGTGCGCACTTATCGCTACGTTTCCTGTAGATCTCTGAATCGTTGAAGACGCCCCCATGTTGTGTTGTCTGATCATTTTGGCAACTTTTATGTAGCTGATAATGGTAGACATTAGCGGGACCAAGAAGAATAGTGTTAGAACGATCCCGTAATGAATCATTTTTCCGCTTTCGCTAAAATGAGCCAAGGAACATTGTGCATAGCCCTGAACAAATTCAAAGCCTTGTAGACCAGTTAGGCGAGGAACAAGGACATAACATGCGACAAATGACCACACCATGATAAGCAAGGCCCGTGACTTGCGCGCTGAAAACAATTTTCTATATTGTTGGTCAGATTTGCACATTCTCACATATCTGTTAACAGCAGTCAGTCCCATAGTCACAGGAGAAACGTAGATCACAAAAAGACTGAAAAAAGCGTGAAGCTGGCAAAGAACCTCTCCAAAACTCCATTGGCTGGTTATTAGTACACCAGTTCCAAGGGGCATGACAAAAACAGCGGAAAGCAAGTCACTTACTGCTAGAGCGATGATGTATAAGTTCGTGGTAGTGCGAAGTCTGTTGTTCTTGTAAACTGAAATACAAACCAATGTGTTTCCAGTCAAGGACAGAACATTCAAGATGATCAATGAGCTTATTTCCACAATCTTTAGGGAAAGACTCCTAGAAATAAGATCGTCAGCCATTTCACCGTCCACCGCCGGAAAGCGTAGAGAATATGCTGCTACGTTTCCTTCCTTATTTGTTTTATCAATTTTTAACGACTTGTAAAGTTACAAGAAAAATACATTAGCACTGAGGGATCTCTCTAGCTGCTGGTGTCAATGAGGGTGTAAGACTCTAATGAGCCTGCTCGTGTTGATGAAAGCACACGATTGAACAAAACAAGAAAATTGTCTTATTGATTATGATCGGTTTGTCGGAATAAATTTACTCAAGTTGGCAACGTTTGAATAAAAACACCTGGCGTGATAGATATATCTTGATTAAAACCTGGAAGAAATATCTTTTATCTATCCCGATCTTCTTTTGATTTTCAGATACTTTTGACTAAAAGGTTTAGTCTACAAAACTCTGGGATCTAGATTTTTAGATAAGGAAACTTCAGGAATATTGAGCATCACTAAGCACTAAGCACTAAGAAGACTTTAAATAAATAAAGCAAGTGCCAACCTTCCACATCAAACAAAGCAAGATATAAATATTGATTGTCGAAAAATTTTTCAAAAGAACCCGCGGCTCGAATTGAATCGGAGAAATTGAGTGAGAAGAGAGAAATAAATATAAAAATATTAATAAATCAACGACCGGTTAAAACTATGGTATCAGATCACTCTCTCTCTCTTTGAGATGGATTAGATTGAATATAATAACTTGCCATTTATATCGCTTTTTCAAAACATTTCCTTTTCACCACGAAGGTGAATAGCATATTAATCTTCACAGAATAAGGAATTTTAAAAAGTTTGAGGAACATTTTTCCTTTAAGCATCAAGATGAATAATGAGGAAATCGACGGAGATTATTTGGATAAAACGTTATCTCTCTGTTCGTTTCGCACAGAAGGGCAAATTTTCCCTTCTGGTGAAGTTTTGATATGAATAAATTATGGATTCATCATATGAGTCGAATAATAGTCAATTCTAATTGACTAAGGCTGTTGCTGTCAGTTTTAAGTTTCGATTTTAATTAAAAAGAATATCAAACTAACCTAGAGAGAAAAATTTGAATTATACAAACGTTTAAAGTTATTGTGTGTTTCTGTCAAGTAAACGGAAATTTGGTCTGTGTGAATTCAAGCAGTTTTCGATTGAGTACTGAGGTTGGCTTTGTTTTGCCTTGCACTGTAAAATATCACCATCCATAAGATGCACCTGTAAACCAATATTTTTGATTACCAAAGCATGCAGGAAAATGCAGAAAAGAAAGGGTTGAAGAATTGGCATATATAACAAGATGACGGCAGGAACAGACAATTAAAAAAAGCCATACCGAATTATATGTTGTTAAAAAAGCAACATGTCAAAGTTTAAGACAATGTCAGAAATACATGATCGTGGAATAATGACTAAGTAAATAAAGTAAATACATAAATGGATGGATGGAAAATGAATAACGCATATCTCACTGTTTTACCGCTTGATTGACACACCTGACAAAACAAGTGAATCAAACCATAGAGTGCTTCTGAAAACAAAACCTTTTAACCAAATTGTCGATTGGTGAGGGGAAGAGCTTGACAACTAAGCAGGTTTTCATTTCAAACGAGATTTCTAACCGCTTCCGTGCCAAACGGAGTATAGTCATGCACAGAAGAGAAAAAGGTTAATGGATTGGAATGGAAAATGGAATGTAAACTTCTCCAGCTCTCTGAAAGTGTATCAGAACCGATCTAGATTTCTTGTTAAAATTTTTCTCAGGACGACGGACCACAGTGGTCATTACAGACCATGCACCAGCACTACACGTAGGTCTCTAAGGCACTTCTGGTTGATTGAAGAAATAACATGAATAAACATACCTTTGGAAAGGTTCAGCAAGTATTTTGTCATTAAAGGGATTATGGTAAGTTATTTGAATAAAGGCTATCGTGTGATAGGAAGAATAGAGAAGAATAGAGAAGGAAGAAGAACCTCTATGTTCTATTTGAGTTCTATGGTTCACCTTTCAATGGTCCTCGAAGAAAACGAGTTCACATGCATGTTAACTCTTTAACTCTCATGAGTGACCGAGACAGAGTTTCTCTTTACAAGATCAATATAATATAAAGCAGACAAGCGATAAGGATAAACAAAATATCAATGAGGGGAAATTATTTGATGCAATACAAAATTCTCCGAACTAATATCATAAGAGTTGTATGGCAGACAGTAAGGAATATTACTAATGAAACCTTGGGAATAAAAAGGCAAATAGACTTACTGGTCGCGTAGGTACTACATGCTCATTTTGATTTGTCGGATTGAGATATAAAAGTCATCAATGCAGTTATAAAGACACTTTAGAGGCCCACCTTCCTATGTCCATAGTGCCGTGTAATGAATTACTTGAGCAACGGTTTCATTCGTTACCCTAATATCACTTAGGGTGTTATTTAACTTTGTATTTAAGACTCAGTTGGATGTTTTCTCCAAGTAATTATATATTTCTATGGAAATGACACAGTAATCACCCAACAGTTTGATCAGAATTTGTCATCATGACCATAATAACCAAATAAGAAATATGAACAGATCTATGTGGTACTGTCTCTCTTATTGCTGTCTAATGGGTACGCAATATCAGAGGATTTCTTCTAGAATCCCATTGAAAGCTAAGGGAAAATTAGGAAATAATGACAACAACAACAGCTTCATACAAATAAACACCTGATAATAACACTGGATGAACATTCAAGAGGCAACCTAAACGCCCATGAACTATCGAGTTTAATGAGGAGAAGTTCTCAAGTGACCAATGTTTTTTGTTTGTTTGTTTATATTTTTGTCTGTTTGATTTTTTTCTAAGCGTGACGAAAAGCAACATAATCACGTGGCAAGAAAACCAATGTTACTTTCATTTCATAGGACATGGGCATTTAGACTGGAATTTAGATGAATTTCACGGTGGTGTCTACATTAGAAAAATGATACCAAAATATTTGGGAACAACATTCATTCTACTTATTTTCTTATTTGCAATTGATATAAGAAGAAAATTATTTATACTTGAGGTGATTTATTCTTTTGTAGAGCAGGTAAAGGTATAATGCTCTATTTGAAAAATATGTCTTCAAAGAAGATTTTTTGTTTTTTTTACTTTTTAAGCCAGACGAGATTTTCATATACCCGAGGAATTATTCATATTCAAAACTGAAAAGAGTAGATTATATTGTTTCTGTGGCAACGAGCGGTTTATCGACTATAATGTGAGCGCTCTCTTATGTAAGCTTTGTTACCAACCTAAACGAAAAGATTACCAAGAGAACCTTACTTTTACAAACGAAAATAAAAAATAAACCTGTCGTCATTAACATTTCCTGAAATAGGAAAAAGTTTAGAAAAACTCACTGAAATAGTAAAAATGGATAAGTTTACAAACGCTACCAGGTTTTTGGTTCTTCAAATTTTGCATGCACTTACATGTACAGATTTATTTTTATGACAACCCTGTAACGTTGCTAATATGACAAAAGCCACGCATGTTCTTCTTAATTATGTCCCCTCTCAGTCTTTAATACTTTTCAGTTCCTTAAGTGAAATTTGTTGTGCAAGGGAACTGAAGCATCAATATAAACAATGTATCAGACAGGATACACGATTATTCATATTTGGACTTGTCACGATAACCTCTTAATTGATTATTATTGAACGTCGAACATGTGCGCATTGGTTTTTTTACCGAGCAAAGACTGAAATTAAAATTTGCTGCCGAAGATCGATCAAAATGCTACAATTTACATGGAAAGAGCTTTTTAAAACCTTTTTCTAAAATGATACCATAGTATTGTACGTTTTATTTTTGACAGAACTGCCTTTCTTGAAAATCAGGCTCCACGTACGAGCAAAACGGGAACAAGTCTGTTCCATGACAGAACACCGCCGCTTTGTGGAATACCTCGAGACAAACTTGGTAGTATACAGTGAATAAACATTTGAACCAAGAACTCAGCTCCTTCTTATTAAACTAATTTTAAAAAAACTCCCTGTAATTTCAACTGGAGTTACAAAGTTTTCCTGAGAAGTGATTCTGAAACGAAAGAGAACCGTATAGTTCAGTATGAACGTTATATCAGCATTTCAGGTTAGGAAACATCAACCAACAATGCAATCACTCTTATTGCGCGAAGAACGGAAATTAAAGACAAATAATCAAGTTTCTCCAGGGCAATCTAATCATTAGTGACATTTCATATGAAAGGAATGATATATATTTCATGCCTTGGTGTTAAAGGTAATGCTACGGTAACAACAATCGTGTGTTTGCTCAGTTTAGCCTATTCGGAAAGTAATTCAGTCATTCAGTGAATGGTAACGGCCAACAATCTTGGTCGTTGTCGAAGGATTGTCATTAGTAATGTTGAATATGTTCTCGCTCGTGGGAAATATGTTGATCTATCCATCTGTTTAAAGAAATAAAAAATTACGCACATCTACAGATCTTTAAATCATAGCTTTGGTTGTGAGCGATTTACTCTTAGCGGTCTTTGTGATGCCTATGACCGAGTAAGTTCTGTTTTCAGGATAGTGCCCATTCGGAGAAACAATTTGCCAGCTCCACGCTTTTATTAATTTATTTGTCATCTACGTTTCACCGGCTGCGATGAGTTTATCAGCTGTTAAAAGATACGTGCGGATATACTCATCTAACACAAGCTGAAAGAAGCTATTTTCTCGCCAAAGGTCTCGTACTGGGTTGATGTTATGTTTGGTTATTTGTGGCTGGCTACATTGCAATTCCAAAATTGGTAAATTTGCAAGATTTTGAGTTTGTGCCTGGTTATGCTCAGTGTTCAGTATAACGCCGTGGAGAACAAGAAAAAGTAAGTCATTACGCAATAGTCTTAACTCTTATTCTCATCACCCCATTGTTTGCTGCAACGCTTTTTTACTCGAAAGTTCTCAAAGCTTTTCGTCAGTAACAAGCAGGGCTCTTGCCGTCGCCTACCGTCTGAGACACTCGATACGAAACGACACCCACATAAATTTTCCGCTCAAGAATTGGACTGAGTAGATCTTTATTCACGGTTGCAATCACTTTCTTATCAATACAATACAATACGTCTACTTTATTTACCCAGGCTACATCTCGGAGTGATAAAAACTCTATAAAACATGTGCGTGAGACAAAAAACGTTGAAAAGAAAAGAAATCAGTAATTTAAGTTACCATTCTTAAATCTATCTAAAAACTTGCCTCTTTAAAAGTCATTTAAAAGTAGAAATATCCTTGACGTTTATAACATACGAAGGTAACGAATTCCAAAGTTTTGCTGCCAAAAATGAGAATGACTTATGGCGCCATTCTAGATTGAAATTGGGTAACGTTAAAAGTGCCCCCGACCCTCTTAATTTATGATTGCAGATTTTAATCTTAAAAAAAAATTCCTCAATATACCTTGGGCTTCTTTATAAATACATTTATATACCAAAACCAGGGCCTAGAATTTTCATCTTTCTTCAAGCGTTCTTACCGGCCAGCCATATTTAATAAATGATTGTATGGGGTATGCTTTCCATACCCTAAAATAGATCCAAGAATATTATTATTGGTGTCTTCTGGTTCTTTAACTTGACCTCTTCCAACTCCAAGTAATAGCGGACAACAATATTCTAGATGAGGAAAAATATATGCTTTATAAAGGTGGCATATTACTTCTAAAGGAATAATCCTGCGATTCCTCCGAAACACAAAGGCTTTGGCAGACGCCTTTTTTACTTTAGTCGGAAACATGATCGACAAAATTGTCATCTACACTGAAGTTAGAGCGATATGGTACTGGACCTATAGTCTTTACCTGTGTCTTAGACGCATTGATCTGTAGATAGTTTTGCCGAAGCCATGTTGATAATATATGTGGATCAGAGTTAATAATATATTCTATAACTGGAGGGGAAGCGTCCGATGCATATTCAGTAGTGCGAAGAAGAAAGTACCGGACTGGCGTGTCGTGCGATTAGCGCGCGCGCGCTGAGACATTTAAATTTGACCAGTTCGTTAGCAAGTTACGCGTACGATTTCTCATGTGTGTGTTTTTCAGTTTTAGTCGCATTTTGGAGGTTTTTGTGGTTGAGTTTGTATTTTAAGCCGTTACCATTTTACCGTCTTTTTACCGATTAAACGTGCCTGCTTTTAAAGGAGATTTTTGTTATCGCTTCCGAACAAGTGTCGTCTGGTGTCATCTGCATACAACCGAAGAGAGGAAGAGAGGTATTTCTAACCTGAAGGTTCAAATCATTGATGTTAATGTTCAAAAGCAAAGGGCCCAACATGGACCCCTGAGGGACCCCAGTTTTGATAAGTTTCCAGTTAGAGTAAGTGCCATCCAATTTGACTCTCTGTCTACTATCTTGCAAGTAATTGCTCATCAACTTCAATGCTTAATCTGTGAAGCCATAGGTTCTAAGTTTTGCAAGCAGTAGGCCATGGAAAAAATAGAAACTGGTTAGCAGTCAATAGATGTCTTTTTGCAGTACATAGATGGTAATATTTAGTCATACTCATCCTCTTCAATTTTACAATCTTGGTACAACGCGGGATTTTTATAAAAAAGATGATCTGGTCTCTGGATTAAACTCTGCCAGAAAAGCAATCGAGAAACAAAATTAACTAATACTGTGTCCTGCTTAATGTCACAGGAGGAACAAACAACGTTCCATTCGTTCAAAGAGTTTCTCTTCTGACCTGACTTAAAGATAACCCTCCGACTTCAATTTACACATTCATTTAAGTGTAACTCTGGAATTGGCTTTTTAAGAAACTTTAGCTTGACTTTAACCATGTCAACTGGGCTGTCATGAGTGGTCTGGACGAACAAATACACAGTTTATGACACGGGCTTTCAGACATGACAAAACACAGTTTTGTAGAATTAGCCTTCGCTAACCTTCGCCGGGGGCATGGTTGTTTCATACAGTAAATAGTTAAATTGATTTTTTTTTTCAGATAAGCCGTATGGCCCACTCGAGGCAAAAAAGATAGGTGGATACAACGTGTTTCTAGGGTAGTCAGCGTTTTCCACAGGCAAAATCCGTCTGAAAACAGTGGAAACTTTAAGATCCTCTTTGTGCGTTTGCTATTATAATATTTTTATTAAATGAGCGTTGGAACCTAAACCGATCAATATTCTGCGTGGAGGTTATACCTGTGTCAGAGTGTGATGAATAACAACGAACAACTTCTTCAAAATTGAAATACTTTAATGCATCAGTAACCTGTATCAGATTCTGAATGCAATAGGTTAACTAGTGCAAAAAGCATGCAGGTATGCATCTAGGGGACTTACAGTGTAAGAAGCTTGGAAACAATCTCGGATGTAATTTCGAAATCATTCACCGTCTCATTTTAAATTTCTTCCTCATCTTTATTCTTTCCCCCACCCCTTCTCCCCCAATTATCTATGCTGCCCGTTACACAACTTAGACAGCTCGTAATAAACCGATCTTAAACTTTAAGTAAAGAAACAGATAAAAATTCAGTGTGAAGATTCCTGGTTCAAAACCAAGGATGAAGTAGTAACAGTACAGTTCAGAGATATTTTCCGAAGGAAGAACGACCCAACACGCTGGCTTCGTTCATTAATGACAGCCACGACGTCATCTAAGATGAGGAAGATAAATTTTTTACAGACAACTAAGAGGCAAGCGTCCTCGCCGGTTAAGAAAAAACCGCTCTCCTTTCATCCTTTCTCGATTTAAATTGTTTTTTGACCGATTCATTCGCCGCTTAGTGTCTTGAATTTTCAATTCGTACACAGTCATTACTGTATTTTTCTTTGTAGTGACCAGAGAAACCCAGCGGCAGATGCACTTTCCTTTTGGAAAAGCTCTTCTGTATATATTTACACAAAATTTCTGTGAAATGCACGTACGTGAACTCTTTCTGTCAGGGATAAAAAACGTCATTAGCTGACCGAGCCAATTAAACAGCGGAATAAATTGATCGATGAACGCTTTGTGGATGAGAGCGTCTTTGTGACGAGATACAGGGAAACGATAAGATCTTCTGCTATATTTGCTAGTAAGGACAGAGTCATGTGCAATCAAGCCAATAAAATTAGCCGATAATAAAGAAGCGAAGGTATGTATTTCATAACAAACATCATGGAAAGCAACTGAATAGTTGAGGGACTGGATCTTCATAATTGTAGGTGTAGCTCTCGGCATCCACCGTGCAATTAACAAAGTAAGCGTTCATGATCAAGAATCTCGTGGAAAAAAAAAAGTTGCAACTTACCTAACAGTCATTAGTGAAATTTTACCCACACAAAGAAACACATACACGACGGAATAGTTCAGAGCCTGCATTGACCAGGATAGATACAGACAATTGTCATTAAAAACGTCTTCCTGTCGAGCATACAAGAGTCACTGTAATCAAACTTCGGCATCCACTAGAATGGATAAGGGAGCATATGATAATTGGCTTTTTCCTACAAACTGTTTTATGTCAGATATATTTGCGCAAAATTATAAATTCAAGCTCGATAGATAAAGCAGTTGTGAACTATAGGGTTTCAAAACCAAAGTCACAAATTGAGAATGACTAGATAAAAAAACGGAACGAGAAATCCTTGAGTGTGTTTGAGTGTGTTTGTTTAATCGTGACGATACTGCTGATTTCAAAGAAGCGAAAAGCTGCCGTCCCATTTAAAGGAACGGAGCTTACTTAATGTTCTTATTGTCATTTCCTGTTTTAATGGTGCAATGGATTAAACACTCTCTCAATTATAATTAGGCAACAAAAGTATAGGGTATGTATCAGAGAAACACAACGACTTTCTATTTCAAGCAGATATGGGGGAACATCGTCCAGTGTTTTAAATTTAAAAGAGCGTGCATTTAGTCTTGTCGTGCTTGATGACCAACTGAATTTAATACGAGCCAATCATATGTTACGGAATATAATTTGTTTGTCTCATTCAGTCATGTTTCAGCACGCACACAGATTGTTTTGCGATTAATGTAGCAGTGAGCTATGGAATAAAACTGCACTTTGGGAAATAGACACTGAATTTGATACAGGATTACGAAGAAAACATCTAAATACATAACCAAAAGGAAGAATATTCAAGGTTTATTGTATATTGTGATTAGACAATAAAAATAAACAGTGCTGGTGACGTCACCGGGTAAATAGCCCTTAGAAGGCAGATGGTGTTTAATTGTCTCAATTTAAAATTTAAAATTTTTAGGAAATTCATTTCCTAATATACTGTTGCTAAAAGTTGCTACTTGTAGTTTATTTGACTGAACGAAAGGGTGTTTGTTGGTACCTTTCAAATGCTATGGGGATATTAAGTCGGCGAGTAAGAAACTCTTTTAATAGACGGCATTTTTAGCAAAGTATAAAATTAATAAATATTTTAGCATTTCGTTCCAATTCTATAACTGCATTCTACATTCTTCTTTTTTAAAACGAGATCTCAGGTAATTTAGGAGAAGTCGGTTGTTTGTAGAAGAAGGAAAATGTTCTCTTTTTGGTGTGCTATTACAAAGACTGTATGTTCAAAAGAAGTCAAACAAAAGCAGGATGCAGCTATTTACTTATGTCAAAATGACAAAACACAACAGGGGATCTTCGGTGAAGGCTGTCAAAACTGATCAGAAATAATTTCCTCTCGGCCCTGCTTTGAGCAAATTGTTTGCTTTGACTGAATTACGACTCCTGTGAAGCTGCCGTCAGTTTCATGGTCAAACGCCAGGCTTCACATTGAAGCCAGACGAAAGCCTTCCTTATTTTGAGTATACACCACGGGGAAAACGACTTTCTGGTGAAGAATAAATTCTCAAGCCATTTTCGCATCTCTGAATTTGCAATTCATTTAAGTTTTGCGATGATATTTTAAATTTTGCATATTCATTATTCTTTTTGCAGAGTTAAAATGACGTTTGTTCGAGACTTGATGATCATTGGCGGTCTGCTCGTATTTGCAAGCGGTTTGTTCGATGACAGTTTTCTTTTTTTTTTCGTTTTGCTCCATCTGAATCACCCATCTCCATGGTTTTTTTTTTTTTGCCCTTCAACGCAGTGAAATCTATAATTGTTTGCTTAGTGCAGTTCATGAGCCATTGTGTTCCTTTCCCTTTTTGGGGGACGGTTGTTCTTATGATAACACGAAATAACGCATTTTCCATTTACACTGTCTGTATGGGTCTTATGCGAAATTACCGGCTCGGTTCATTACCATGAACCATGTATCAAGCTGCAGTGTAAGGAAAGGTAAATAGGCCTTTTACATGTTGTTGCTAATTATTCTGATGTTTCTATGGAAAAATTACTTTGCTCAAGTACCTTGAGAGGCTATTAACACGTGCTTAGAATACAGATCATCTCTGGTTGGTTATAAATAGCGATTGAATTATCTCCATGTAACCCGGCTGGGGAGTTTTCTCAATGACCCGTGGCGGATCTATGGGAAGGGGTCTTTTTAATGGAATTATCCGTCTGTTCACTTACTGTACAAACTCCATTGAGATCCTTTTGCATCTATACTTGATATTTATGAGTATCGCAAAACTTTCTTTCAGACTAATAAATCGAATTTTATCATAATGCTGCTCTCCAAATATAATACTAATTCAGTTTTGAAGAGAACTGTAAGCCCAACGAACTTTAGATAGAGTATACTTGTACGTAAGATGTCACCAAACTGTCGTTATCGTTGGAATTTAGATAGATATATGTTGTTTAAATTCTTAAAGCACAATCTTCGGATACTTTACTTAACGGTTAAAAAAAAATGTCATTCACCTTGAATGACGGTGAGAAAGAGGTCAGTGGTATGTGATGTTTGCTCTCTGAGGTCGAGACTTAATTTCCGTTGTCCGTATTAGGGAGAGCCAATGTAATAGAAGTTTTTTTTGACAGAAATCCTATCAGAGTTTTATCGCAGCACGGTAGACTACCTGCAATAAAGAGCAGTCCGTAAGGAGGGGTTCGACTGCATCATATTGCAGATGGCAATGATTTTAGCTACTAGTATAAATGCTGTTGTAGGGGAAAGCAACGTTACTAAGGAAACAAGATGCTGTTAAAAGCGTTAAATCGAGCCTGCTTGAGGAGTATATAAGGAATAAGAAGGTGACTTTTTCTTGAGAGCGTGTGTGTAGTTATCACGACCACTGGAGCCATGAGGTGAGGGGTAAAAGAGCGCCAGTTGCTGACTGCCTTTGCAGTGGTGGGTGAACTGACAGATGATAGGATTATTGGACCTAATGACAAAAATAGAAATGAGAATGTACTCAATTTGAGAAAAAAAGTGATTAATGTAATAATCATTCGAAAGGTCCCATAACTTCAAAAATTTTGTCCAATAAATCTGATCATTCTTCTATTCTTCTACCACTGGTGTGAAATATTTCAATTTTCAGAACATGAAATCAGGTGATTATGTATTATGTATTATGGTCTTAGCTCCGATCAGATTGGTTATTTGTAATAAAGAGTAACAAATATTCCGCGGAAATAAACTATTCCTATGAATACCTTTCTATAAACCTTCAAGTTCATACATTTCAATTATTTCATATAGACTCTGAAAGTATCGCACTAAGATATGTCTAATAGTACACAAGTTCCTTGAGGATAACTCTCACCATAAAAATATCTGGCATGAGAGTCAAACACTTTAAAACGGCCATCATCAGGAGAGTAGACAATAGCAACAGTAATGCAAGCAATTATAAAAATGAATATATATTCCTCTGATATCGATGACTCAAAAGCTCTTTTTAAGCCTACACAGTAATCATATCTTTAAATGGTAGCCTCATGATGGACAATACTATTATACCTTGCACTGTATTTCAGCTGGTAAATTTCTTCTGATACTGTGAGCATTGCTAGTTGTAACAAACTACTCTAAAGTGGATTTCCAATGAGCATTACTTCTTTTAAGTCACCAAGGTTATTTAATATTCCTTTCATATTGTGATATAGTAAAGCGCGCACACTCATCGCAGTATATTGTTTTCCTACATTTTTTCCAACCACAACAACATCTGCTTGACTATATGATGCTTTTGTTATTTTACTGGGATGAACATGGTGCATAAATCCTCCACATCATTAGAAAGCTGGTACTATGTACATTTGCCTTTACGAGTTACATTTTGTACTAACTGTATGGGAAATTACACGTAAACAATCTCAATACTTAAAGATATTTTTTTCGATGTTTGCCTTTCCCTGTATAATAGCTATATAAAGATAAATGTTTGCCCAAAGACTTTCTACAACTCAATGGTTTTTGGTGCAGCGTTGATCGTGTAGAATGCCATTTCGTCCTCATTTTTTTTTTTACGGACTTAATACTGTGATCAAAGTCTGCGATAAATTTTTGACGACATAGGAATGTTTTTAGGAATATGCCTCCACGCCAATTTCTTTATTTTATTTTTGTTTTTCTTTCGTGAGGGCCTTTCTGGTTATTTTTTTACAGGTATTCTGCTGAGAGCATGATCGAATCGTTGTCACCGCACATGTTTATTACTACAATTAACGACTATCACATTAATAGACCTTAATTCTTCTGCATAATTTATTTTCTTTAAAATGTCATTTTGCTGTACACACGGCGCTGATTTGTCCAATACAGCACACTTTTGTTGTGTACATAATTTGAGTAATACGTCAGCTTTGTCCGATCCCAGATTTTTTGACAGGGCATGCACAAACATAGCACAAAATGCGAACACAATTTGAACACAAAAGTGGCAAAACTAATGCAAATAATAGCACTAGCAAAATAGAAGCTGATAATGTACTCAATTGAACAAAAACATGATAATGTCATCACTATGATAAAAGTCACATAAATTCGATGATTAAGTGTACCTTCACTTTGATAAGAGCCACTTTTGCAATCCGGCAACAAGGCGTCCGTATTGTTTTTGTTTTTGTTTTTTTTTGCTACTTGATCACGCCGCATTATGTCTTTATCAGCGCCTAAAAAGTTAGGAAATGGCCTGCAGATTTAGACTCTCGCCGCCTTCGGCTAGGCTCGAGTAAAAGCGTCTTTTTGTTGATCCCTTAAAGTATATTGCAATGAAAGGAGGTCAGCTTTAACTTGCGCCTGACTGAAAATTTAGACGAAAACATATAAAAAAGGAGAATTTCAAATCAAAGCAAAGGAGAAATTGCTTTTTTTACTGTCCTTGTAGGTAAAAATTTTATGGTCTACAATCAAAAATTAAATCACACGAAAGCAGACAAGGAATGTCAATTACGCCATGGTCTTCTTGCAAAAATCAGAACCAGCGAGGACCTTCTATTGGCCAAAAATATATCAAATACCACCAACGGCATAAAGCACTGGATAGGTCTTGGGTATTCCAGGCAGACGTAAGTAACAATTGTAAACTGTGTAATTTTTTTTGAGCATTTACATGCAGGTGGTGGATCTGGTAATGATCAGCAATTCGGATATTTTGGGGTTATTTGTCATTATGTTACTGTTGCTGTAGCGTTTTTGGATTTGTTTTTTCAGAAAATGGGCCTGGACTGATAAGAATGTAATTACAAGGCTGAGAAAAGTTGACATGATAAAGGACTATCATAGAATAGAAAATCAGAGCAATGTGAATAATTCTGGGCCGTTCTGCTGTATGGTAACTGATGATAATAGACTAGAGTGTACAAACTGCACTGAGGAGCACGGCTATATTTGTGAAGGTTAGACGCAGCTTCTGTCAGGCAGTTTTATCTAATCCTAGTTAGAGGTGCCTCATTTATGAGTCCACTTTCAATTAGACTATTGGCTGAATTTTATATCAAGACTTAAAAGAGTACACAACTTAGCTAAGAACCAGTGATCACGCGCATATTTTTTCCACTTTGTTGGGTGATACTTTTGAAGAGCTATTAACAGGATGAATATAATCAAACTTACCCAACTGACTTACCCAAAGTTTGCCATTTCTCCAACACTTAATTACCCCATCTTAATCGCGTTGAGGCCTAGGCCTTAAAACTTAAGGGGTTACACTGGCTTTGAGCTTTATCTTCGCTTCTGTTCTGTTTGTTCTCTATGTGTTTGAAAGGGATTTAGCATTACTTAAATACTTTGACTCTTCCTATATAACTATCATTTTAAAGAGAGACTTAAATGTGAAATACTTCACTAAGAGACCTTCTTTCGTTTCCTTCAGTGAATACTCCACTGATCGACTTGACTTTTGCTCTCAGTGCTACTTCTCCTTCATCTAATAATACTTTTGCATTTATGAAAAGCACAATCTGCGCCATTATCGACCAGTATGGCATAAACAGAATACGCTACAGCATTTTTGTCTTCGGTTCTGATGCCATAATAAAACTAGGTTTTGTCAACATGCGAAGCAAAGACGCCTTAACCTCACACATCGATGAAATCAAAAAAGCTTCTGGATCTCCACTCTTGGTCAAAGCTCTAGATCAAGTGAAATCAGGATTCCAACAGTTTTCTAAGGGTTCCAAGGCAAGTCGTGCTCTTGTTGTAATTCTGGACGACAAGATGGTCTTCAGTAACGATGATTTAAATAAAGTGTTGAAAGATTTAGATAATGAGCGAGTTTTCATCGTTGGTGTTGGAGTTGGAAACTTAGTGAACGAGACAGATTTGACAGCAATTACGAAAGATGAAGCACACATACTAAGAGTTGGCTTAAATAAATCGGCAAATGTCCTTGGAGGGGAAATCATGGATGTTATACAAAGTTACTTAAAAAGTAGGTCTCTCTGCCTTCTCTCAGGAGGTTCTTCTGAGCTGGTTTCTTATTTGTTCTGACTCTCAGGCGTGTTAAGACTATCTTTTATTTCAAAAGTCCGTGGTCTCATTACCTCAGTTGGTTTAATTTTCTTACCATTAGGGTTACTTCTAAAGCATTTATGCCCTAAGATATTTCATTTCTTGTTCTTGACCTTGTGCACGGGCTCACCAAAGAGACCCTTCCTTCATGTATCTGAGTTTCCATCCTCGTAAATCTCATATACATGCTCTTTGGTTGTGATGTTACTTGAAGTTGATTTCCAGTAGTTTTTTTTCACGCAGAACAACCTCCGATACGATTGCAAAATTCTATTCTTTGCTGAAACGTCCTAGAACTCAGAAAAAGGCAACTTAGACTATTCTAGTAAAACGTGCACCATGCAAGACGCAAAAATCTATTTTAACTTCTTTAGTTGATAATTTTACATTTTTCAAGTTAAAAACAATTGATTAGCTTGGTTCTTCTGTCTGTAGTCCTGCATTAATTATATATTAATATATATCAAAAAAGAACATCGCCATTCATCCCAAGCGACGTTTAACACGTTCACGGAAATATCTTCTAGTATACGCTCCTCATGATAATAGAAAGTTTTACACTTAAAATCTTATCGTCGATAATAATCGTTATAACATTAATTCGTATCAAAGCCGCAACGTTTTCTGTGCCTCAATATTCAAAGTGACAGTGAGCTTCTATTGTTTCTGTATGTTTAGAGGAAGTTTTACCGTCATCTGTAGAGGAATTATTGCCTTCTACAGGACAGACACGAGCGACCCCCACTACATCACTTGCGTCAGAAGTAACAGTAACAACATCAACTAACATTGGAAAAACAGATACCTCAACGATCATAGCGTCTAAAACATCCAGAATGTCAAAGGATTTATCAGCGAGTGTCTCTCCAACGGAGACTGGTAATAATCAAGAGAAGGTGATTATCACATTATATAGTATCAGTTCAAAACAGATTGATCAGCATCTACTGAATAAACTAAACAACCGATCACCAAACAACCTCTCAGTTGATAGTGATGGTAGCTTCCGCCTATAGCTGGCTGCAGTCCTTCCCAGGACTACTTAAACGTGCATTTTGCTATCCCACTGTTTCTTCTGAGTTCCAGCCATTTGCCATGTATGTCGTTTTATGAGGGTCTCGATGGGGTGATGGCTTTTAAAGCTAACGGTTGAAATGTTGGACATTCTACAGCTTAAGGTCTACCCAAAGAGGTTTTGTAGGGGAGGACAATTTTTTACGGTTAACTTTTCTACGAGTAACGGTTAAAATTTGTCAGTTTTTACGCCTAACGGTTAAATTTTTCGGCTATTTTACGGCTTGCGGTTAATGCCATCGAGACCCCATTTTATCACTTGATTTTTACAGTTTACTGCTTATAACAGAGCGCAGAAAAACAATTCAATACAACCTTATTTCTAGATTAGACGTCATTACAACGTAACCTTATATACCTGCTTATTTCTTTTATATCCAAATTGACGTTGGAAATTGATTATCTTTGATACACAAAAAGATGGCCTACAATTTGAAATTATATTTATACTGCAAGAAAAACTGTAAGAAAATGCGTACCAATACAAATCATTTATACAATTAACAACTGTAAAATGTTCCTTTGTTTCTTTAAGATGGTTGAAAAATACTTGGATAAGTTGAATCAGTTAAACTTAAGTGACGAGAATTCTCTCCAGGTAGGCTAGATACTCAGTATGTTTTTATCAGCTCATATGTAATTGTAACATTGCGTATTGCTATATCCCTCATGAAATTGTTATCATCCTTATTTTTATTCTTTTTTTACTGTTACGGATGATCATTTGATGAGTTTCATTATGATTACGATATTTAGGCTGCAGTCAATGAGACAGAGAAATTGCTTACAGTTTTCCAAAAAATCGCAAGTAAAGAACGTTCAGGCGTAAAAGTGAATTTGTTGCTAGCCGCTCAGCACCTTGAATTGCTGGCTTCACAATATGCTGAGAAGCATATGTTGAAAAATGGCAGCTACCACTCAACCACAATACCCACTAAAGAACACCTAGGTGGGTAATGCTTTTATACCTTTTAACAAGTAACAACGCAATGTATTATAGGTCGTAATTAAAATATGATTAGATGTAACGATTGTTCATTAAAAGGAAATAAGAACTGCGAGTGGATCCAAAAATAGACGGAATTCGAGCCACAAATATCAGAAATTTTCGTTGATTTTTCTTCCCGTTCCGCGGACGATTCGAAAAGCAAAATAAACTGAGTGAAGCCACAGAAACGGTATTATTGATCAAGTTTCTGCTGTCTATCCTGGCGTAAATTTTTTTTACAAATAAAGATAATTTAGTTACTTCCTTTGGAATAAGCCTAAGAATAAGTTTTATTATTGCTTCTCTCCCTTTAATAGTCATGGAAGTTCAAACCATTAAAGCAGGTCATAAAAAGGAAGTGACGTTTCCTTCTGAGGAATTTCAAGGTCAACCGTCAAGTGATAATAATTTATTACGTGAAAGGTTCATTTTACCACCAAAACTTTTCGAAAAACAAGGTATGTTAAAAAAAATGCAGTATGTGTGTTATGTTATCAACCAGGCAGCTAAAAATCTTCAGTCGCACATTATTCATTGTAATTTATTGCCCATATTGGATCTGCAGTGAACATTTTTTTTAATATTATCTAATTATATGCTCTGTGATCCTTACGGGTAAGTTTTCTTCGGGCCTCAAAGATATAAATGTCAGTACGAAAATTTGCCTACCTATAAAATGTTGGGAGTAGAGGCAAATGTTGGAAGAGTATGAACGTGTATAGTACACTATATCCTTCTGAGGATTTTTTTAATTTCGCTTGGGAATTTGTTCATCATGTTTTCAACAATCGTGAACGCTTAAGTGTATCTTCTTCTCAATAGAAACTGTGGTACTTGGAATAGCTTACCAAGACCTGCACAAGCTTCTTCCAGATGAATGCCAATACCTTCTTGATGGGTATGTATTTTAAGACATACGGAGTAGAATTAGACAGGAGCTTATTCAACTTCTAATACATTGAATACTCTACTTTTTTTCTCACTTTTCTATCTAAATATTTAGATGAGACGATTAGCAAATTTTTACAAACGAGCCAGATTGCTAAAGGAATCAAATACATTTTATTTGCAGGAAGAAAATGATAAATACTAAACTCCAAACACCAATCATAGCGTGTTCTCTCTTACCGGCCCCGCCACCAGTGCTGGCACAGAACATTACTATTTCATTTACTTTACGAAAGGTAAAAGTGCACGTCTCATACGCTGACGAACTCCTGAAAAAGATGTTTTTGTTATAGTCTTTGTATTTCCTTTTTTTCATATTGGTTAGAATTTCTACAGTTGAAAAGATATATATGATTTTTCATCCAGCCATTTAAAAACGATATAAGTTCCATTTGAAAAGATCCTTCTGGTTGATTGATATGGGAGCAACACGAAGCATAATCTGTGGAAACACTAATGAATGCACGATGTAGTTAGGGAAACTGTATATTCTGAGTCGATTTTTGCAATACGTAATTTTATGAGTTTTGAGTGTATTTCATGTAGACGTTGCATGTAGACGTTGTAACACTGTTATTTTTTCTTTTCGTTCCGTCTTTAAAGTTTATAAAACCCGAGGACAAGCCTTATTGTGTATTTTGGGACTTTGCCATCAGGTATGTTTTCTTAGCTGTACATGAGGCTTAATTCATTTCACAACTTATATTACTTGAAATACCTTTTTTCTGAAAACGACCATTTTCTCTAAAAATGTCGCGACAGTAAATGAAAGATAAACTTCCCGTCCATAGGAGTCAGGTTAACGGCTCCTGGTCAAGCAAAGGATGTTCCCTGATTAATAGAACAGACACCAAAGTTGTGTGCAGCTGCAATCATCTGACGAACTTTGCAATTCTTATGCAACTGGGAGAAGCCAAAGTGAGTTACAAAGTAAAGAATAGCTATCCTGTCGTGTTATTGATTTGCATCCGCAGTACAGTACATCAGCTACCATTTGTCAATGTGTGTCGTTTTATACCTGAAGCGGTTAAAATATTTTTGATTAAAACTTGTTCAAGTTAAGTACTCGGTATTTTTGTTTTAGATTCCTCTCAAACATCAGCTCGCATTGCAAGTCAGTACATTTGTCGGCTGTGGATTGTCGCTTATGGGTGAAGTGTTTACCATCTTAACATATCTGGTTTTTATGTAAGTACAAACTCTTCTTTTCTAGAGGTGCTTGACCAACCGACAATGTTGGAGATTTATGAGATTGATTTTAATGAATGTGTCCTTTTTCCTTTGCCTAGGAATCTGAAGCAAGAACATATTCAGATACGATTCAACCTTGTTGTGGCCATAGCAGTGGCGCAAATTCTTTTTCTGGCTGGAATTGATGCCACATCAAAACAGGTAACTGCAAACATATCTGGTCAATCACATGAACTTTAATTACAGATGACAAAGATACTTCACTTGATTACTAGAACATTTGTAAATATTATCAGAGTCAACCGTGATAATTTCTCCAGCAGGTCAAAATGGAAAGGTTAAGGTACACTGTAGATGTATGCTCCAATGAATCTTGAGTAAACGAAGAGACAAAACAACAATTCAAACTTAGACCTTATGGCTAAACTAATTTATTTTTTTGTTTACAGGAAGCTTGTATATTCGTGGCAGTGTCTATTCACTATTTTTATCTAGCCGGATTTTCTTGGATGCTCATGGAGGGAGCCTACTTGTATCTGATGGTGGTTAAAGTATACAACGCCGTCGTAAGAATGAAGTTGCTGTATGTTTTCTCCTGGGGTAGGTAAACCCTATTACTGTGCATGCACTATTGTTATCCCTTTCTGTATCATTATAGAAAAAAAAAAAAAAAAAAAAGGTAAAACTAAGGTTATACCTTGCATGTATAAATCTCGCTTGGCGATAACTTAATTGCTAGAGTTTAGGATCGCATGTATGATGCAATCTATTGATGTCAAATGTGAAACAAATGCAAGAGTCGTTTAACTATATTTATGGCGAGATATACACGGAGGTAACTCACTGTTTTGTAGGATTTCCTTTTCTAATGGTGATTTCATCCATTGTCATCGCTTCTGGCTCTGCTGAGGGAATATCGGGCTACGTACATGGTGACTTGTAAGTATTTAAAAGGGTATATTAAAGGCTCAATATTTTCCTTATAACGTCAGGGAGTCCTATATTCTATCCTAGCGCTTTATTAGTGGCATTGCAAAAGGTTGCGGGGGATTCTTAGTAATGAAGAGCTTGTAAAGTCTCTTTGTGGTTCGAACTGACACAGACCGGTAAATAGCGCTTTAAAAAAGAAACGAATTAACAATCGTGATCAAAACGAAATAAAATTTGATCGTGTGTTTTTCATTTTTGTTCAAAGATTATTAATTTCTTCCTTTCTACAGCTGCTGGGTTTCATTTTCAAATAGTTTAGTTTGGACCTTTGCCGCCCCAGTCCTCGTGGTTTGCCTGGTGAGATGGCTTCTGTTATAGTTTGCTCTACTATTTAGAAGAATTTCTCATCATTGTGATTGTGGCAAAATTATACACAGCGTTCGTTAATATACAAGTGACATTAAGATGACTGAACCTGAAATAAGCTCCATTTCAACAAAATAATGAAAATCAATGCTCTCCAGTTTGTTCTTCTTCTGTTGTAGAAATCATTTGTACATGTACTTGTTCATTTCATCAGATAAATTCCTTCATCCTTTGTCGGGTGGTGTATGAGATGACGAGAATGCACTCTACGAAAGACACCTCTAACGTCAAGTGAGTGTGTGTCTGCACCGTGCTGTCATTTTCTGGTTTTATCTCAAATTGAATGCTCACTTTTCCCCTCAATATCTGATTATTTCAGACAGGGGTTAAAGGCATGGGTGGTGCTGTTTCCTCTCCTAGGCCTGACCTGGGTATTTGGAATTTTTAGCATTACAGCTGCCGGTGTGGTGTTCCAGTATATCTTCACCATATTTAACTCACTTCAGGTAACAATTTCAAGCTTGAACAACTTTGTAATGGGAGCCTCTAAACAGTATTTTATTTTGCACGACAGTAACAGAAAACGGTCTTGTTTTCTTATTGTAAACTGTTATATACACTCCGCGATTGTTAACAGTAAACAATATCACAAGGGCACCGATTGATGATGCAGCTCAGCGAGATAGACTTCTTACCTTTTTCCAACCAAACACCTCTTCACTTAAGTCCTATTATGACTCTAACTCTTTGCCACGCTGTGATGGTGACTCGAGATACCTCGCACTACCGAGACATCAGTTAGTGTTCAGCAAAAGTCTTTTCCATGACTATTCTCATTCACCGTACAAGACTAGTATCCCAGACTAATGCAATCACTCGTCCTTCTTACATTTGATACCTTTAGGGATTCTTCATTTTCGTCATTCATGTCCTGCGAAGCAGTGATGTACGCGCTGCATATCTTCGCAAGAAACAGAAGTGGGACAATTCTAAGAATTCAACCTTCCCAAGCTCTCGTTCAGTGGCAGAAAACTCAAACGCTGGTTTGGAAAAGCATGACATGAATAAAATGCCTCTCAGAAAGGAGAGCCCTGATCCAACCTTTAGACGACATCAGGTGTCTCCCATTAACTCGGACAGAATAGACACAAGAGAAAGCTGCATCACTCCTGTTGACGCAAAGTGAAGTAACTTTCAAAGTGAATTCCTAAAGAGGAAAAGGATGTTATTTTATTAACTTGTGGAGAAAAAAAATTTTTTTTCACCATTTTCTGAGTATAAGTTCATTAAAAAATGAAAAAGTCACTAGGTAGGGAGACCTGATGAGTTCAAGATAAATATAGTAATGCATATGTCTGGTTCGTTTAAGCTTCTTATATTAGCTAAGAGGACTCTGATTAGTAAAACTCAAATTGTGTCCAATAAGTTGCAGGTTGACAGTATAATGTTTTCTTGGTTTATTCGCATTGAATCTACTTGTAGTTACCATGAACCTCCGCGAACTGGGAAATTTGACTGTGTCTGCTCTGGAAGCAAACCGTGAGGTAGAATGTATATCTGGCATGGTACCGAAATTTGTCGCTCGATAAGTAAAGATGAAGTTTAAGTTTTCCAATAATTTTGCATTTTCCAAATTATTTCCATTTTTATATTTCACAGTTAAGACTAATAGTCTGCGGTAAGTGATTCCAAGGATTGATCATATTTTGGAAATATAGCTCATGTCCGTTCTAAAGAATGTGTTTTGTTTTTCTTTGTTCTCTCACTAACTGAAAAGATGTCACTAACACTGACAATAGACATTATCAACTGAGTGTAAATTGGCTACTGTAAAGAGTTTCAAAGCTGTCGTTTCGAGCGTTGGCCCTTCATCAGAGCGAATGGAGGAATTGTGGGTTGTGTGTGTGTTTATAAGTAGAAAATGGAGCTACGCTAATGGTGAGAAAATGGTAACAAGAAAAAAGTTCCTTATGTTTTTCTCGTTTTTGAATTAAATATGTGGATGTTGTGAAAATGAAGATAGTGCCAGTCTCTAAATCGCTTTGACGTAATTTAAAGTTTTAAGAATAATAGATTCAACTGCGTGGTTGTAAAGGTGAAATTTGAGATTGAACAGAATGCAGTCGATATTTTCTTTCTGAGGGTGGTAGCTGCTTTAACGACAGAGACAGGATAGCCACGTTTATCGCAAATCTGGCACATTGCCTCCGATTTGTGGAAAAAATCAGTGCTGTCACTTCATAAACGATAATCAGGTTTTCGACTTTTTTCAACTCAGTTGATACTACTAAATTACCCTGTTATGCTCTCCCACCTACGCAGAACCACAGTTTCTTTAGAAAGTTACTTCCTTTGCAGGACTACATCCATACCAAGACAACAACGTTATACCTGGGAGGCTTTGAATGTCCTTGATAGGAACATGCACTGGAGTAATGATTAAAAAAGAAAATGATTATTTAAAAACACCTACCTATGTTATCGTGAGAGCTGAAGTTAGCCTGAACGCGAGTGCTCCTCACAAATGAAAGCTAAAGCACTCGTCAGAAAGCCGATTATTCTCCATGATGACTTTGTACCTGCTTTAGGGTAGCATTTATTGAATGAAAGACAAAGCTAGGTCCTGAATATTTTTAAAGTGTCATTCTGGGTTGGTACTGACCTTTCTAAAAGATTTTGGCCTCGCAGTTTGACGTGGGTTCCTCTTGCTTTTGCCAGCATTGAGTCTCCTGGGAGGAAGAGAACCTTAAACCTCCGCAGATACAGAAGTTATATTGGCGAGACAAGCGGGGTAATAGATTCATGATGCGACTAGCGTTCCAAGCGTTAAGAGGAGCTGCAGGTTCGTCAGCGTCCTATGTGTAAATGTATAAAGAAAAATGGTCAACTTTACGTAGTCGTAATTCATCTTCCTTTTCATAAAGGACGTTTGTCATTGGACATTCCCGTTGGATGTATCAATACAGTAAGTAATTGATACAAAGTAATTTCAAGAGCTTCAAATTGGTGCTATGTATTTCCACCAAATGAAAACCATTGTGCGTGGCTCTTTAATCTTAATCTATTCTTCGCTTTATAAAATTTTACTTTGGTTCATTTGTTTACTCTAAATCACACTGACGTAAGGCGACTGCTTTGCATTACAATATCACTTAATCCGCAGCTGCATCTTTATCCAAAGCAACTTTATTTTAGCAAGAATATCTCTCCCTAGGAAAATTTCCTTCATTGCCCAAACTGACCCAATTTTTTAATATCGAATAACACCGCGATGTATTAATGGGAAGTTCGATATGCTCACTACAAAAGCAGCCTAAAGGCTAAAATCATACACATTGCCTCTCGCAATAACCACCCTTAAGGATTGAGGGCATATCTTTTGCTGACGCATGGTGTTGAATACGTTGATAGAGTGTTGTGTTAAGAGTTGCATCTCAAAACTCTCACAGAACCTAAAAATTAGATCTTAACTTCCGCACAATTGTTAAGTTCACGAAAGCAATGAAAAATGAAATTGTTTCAAAAGAGAGCAGTTCCATGAAGTCAATACTCTTAATTGCATGCAAAAAGAGATAATTTTCCAACTAAAATATTCTTTAGCTTAAAAAGGAAATGGATATGCATATAGCTATTATCCTGTTAGTGATTCACCCTATTTTGAAAAATTTCTAGCCTGTCAATTATTCAAACAAGGTGTTTCTTTGTTACTATTACATTTGAAAGTTAAGCGGATCTTGCAAAGCACGTATTTCTTACATGACTGAGAAAACGCACGTTGGAAAAGCTACAGAGTGTTAATGTACCAAAATTCGCCGACGAAGCTATAGAAAGTTGAGTTATTTAAAAAGGAATAGTGCATAAAGCCACATACTGACCGCGATTTAAAACTTGGTTTTGAATCTTAATGAGGGAAAATTATTTTATGGCAGGTTCGTAGTTCTTATTCACTTTTATATTTTGCATGGTGTTAATAACAATAACCTTCCCTCTATTAATCTTCTATTGTGCTCCGAAGGAATTTTAGAATTTATTTCTCTGAGCACATTCTTTAATTTTCAAATTTTTTTTTTGTATCTCAACTTTTCAAAAGATTTATGGTAACGCCAAGTGACATATAATATTAAACTGGAACATTTGTTTTAAATCAAGACTTGGTTATACTAATGATAGATTGCAAGTATGATTGTTAAATTTATCTCGGAGGAGCTCTCTGGTAAGTATCATAATTTTTTTAAGCAGAAGAAACTTCCGTCGTGAAGACTCCAGAACGCTTTTTTTGTTCAGTGAACATTTGTTTCATTTACGTCACGTCGATTTGAGATCTCTTCTCACCTATCGTGAATGTTTAATTTTTTTTTTACATTTACGTTATTTTTTTTCTTTAGTTGAGGATTAATTTTGTTCCTTCTGTAACAAATGTTGTAAACTACTGAGGCAGGGAAAAACTCGTTTTCCTACATCCTCTTATTTCACTAAGGAAGAAAAAGGAAGGCATATGAATTATTTTCCATACAATTTGATATTCCATTCGATAGTCAATAAATGTGCAGGTGAAAAAAACATATTCATCATCGACTACAATTGCATCTCTGAACAAACAAAAGATCTCAATAGCTCATAATCATGGGACGTCAGTAAAAGCAGGATATAAATTTATTTACATAACTAGCAGAAAACATTTCTTCTTTCAAACAGGCGGCACGGAAATTGAGCGGTTCTTCTGATGCTGTTTGGCTAACAGCTCTAGGAAACAGATCAGACGAAACGATTTTCCAAAGGAAGGTTCAGCTAGCTAAGAGATTGCAAGCTACAACACCGTCGTGTTTAGTTTATAAAATGAATTTTTATTTCCATGTCAACTTGATCAACTTTCAAATTCTACTTCAGATCGTCGTCTTCCTTGGCGGTAAGTAACAACTTTTGTTGGTTTCATGATGATAAGTGGAATTCTTTATTCTGTTCAGTTTATAACTTGACTTGTAAAAGTTTTATTCCTGTCTTTTATTGTGCGGTATGTTAATATAAACTAATAATGATGCCCCCCTCGCGGCGTCAACCTATCCATTAAACATATTTAGTTGGAAGTTTCTGTTTTTTTTGCTTTGAAGCTCTTTTAGGATCATTATTTTCCTATCTTATTCATATTGTTTTCTTTTTTCCATTTTCAAAACAAAAAAAAAAGAAAGCGTCTGTCTTTCCCCTAATAGTCTGCGACTAAAGCCGTTTTCTTAATCGAAAAAGACGAGAACGGAAGTCACATTCACGTCGTCATCTTACATTGTACGTTGCAACTCCCACTGACATTTCATCACAAGTCTAAACATGTTTACGATTCAATCGAGGGCTGAATTGATCTACAAAGCGTGAAAAGGATCAATTTTGGCTAAACCTTTCACTCATAAACTTATCATATGACAGGCACCGTGACGATACCAGTCAGAGTAAAAACCTGTTGTGCAAAGTATGGAGTACATTTCTGGCGACCAAGTAGAGCTGCTGTGCGTTGAAAATTGGTTTATCAAGAAATATAAAACTTGATTTGGTAGAGTCTGTAGAAGCTGAACATTTAATCGTGCCTCGAGATGAGCGTTCATTTAATAATCAGAAAAGTTTCGAAATTTTCGCATTTGGCTTGTAATTAAGCGTTCAATTCCTTTACAGCCCTAAACAAAATAAAATCGGCTTGGATATGAGTTTGCACTGAAAGTGTTGATTATGACTAGAGTATTTGTACAAATTTGTACATAATACTCAAGAGCGACAGAAATGCAGTACTTACACGCTTCCGTTTTTTTTGTTGTTGTGTTTCGCAAATAATCTGAAAGATGACAAATCGCATGTCCGCCATAAGGAAGAAAGAGATGATCCTGAGGGTATATAAATATTTGAAATTTAACGTTATAAGAATAAATCATATATTCCACCCACGTGCAGCAGGCTATTAAGATTTTTATCCTTGAAGTGCCCATCAAAGTTATGTTACTAGGTTACGTTTAATTCAAAATATATATTGCTTTCCATTCTGTTCCATGAAAGATTTTGATGTATTTTTGAGTACGGAAACTCACGTTAAAGTTGGGAACTTTTCAACCGTGATGCGGGTTGCTACAAATTTTAAGGCTTCATTGTACACCGGTCGATTGACTCTAAGTAAGTAGTTGAATGATTTGTAAGTTGGGTTACATAATAAGCTGCAATATATCATATTTAATTTCCTATTAGATCTTTGCCAGTGTTCCACTTTCACATACCGCCCTAGTTCCAATCGGTGCAAGGGAAGGGAGCTAGGAGAGAAAAACCATTGCAAGTGCAACGAAAACGAAAGACTGGGAAGAATAAAAGGCTTGGCTAATCTTCAAGAAATCAAGAATTCTATCAATGATAGCGACTCATACTGGATAGGACTAAGGTAATGTAGAAATGGGAAATGAGGATTTTATAGTTGTTGTATTCTGACAGAAAGAAGAGAGCAAAGTGAGAAAAGAAAGCTCGTGAATTTTGATCAAATCACCGCATACAGCGGGAAAAATGGAAAGTCAATTTCATGTTACTACTTTGAATCCGTCACTGGGACAAAAAAGGCGTGATCGGTGGCTTGTAAAGCTTAGGGTTTTATGAAACATTCAAGGGGATGGAATTGGGAATCTGAGTCAATCATTTGAATTTTTTGCCGTTTAGGTAGTAAAAGACAATTACCAAACGCGAATATGTTTATCTCGTAGCTATGAAAAAAATAAAGGTTTCTGTTGGATAACGGAGAAACACGATAGATGTACAGAGCATCCTGCGGACCAGGACTCGCTGACCAATATCATTGAAGGTGAAAAAAGTGAATGGAACTCAGGGTGGTACTGCTTTTTGACCCGTAAAGAGGAGCCTAAGATGCAAGCAAAGAAATGCAATGAAAATAACGATGAGCGCTTCATCTGCGAGAAAGGTAACAAGTTAAACTTGTTATTAAGAAGTGAAGTGAAAGATTGCTCAGATGAAACATTGAAAATCACACACAGACATCTTG